GAGACAGCCACTGCGATCCCGACGACGTAGACGCACGAGGCAACGATGTACGGGAGAGCTTCGGACAGAAGGGACTGCCGGGTCATCGCAGCGTACAGCGAGGAGAAGACGATGGGGCCGATTGCGTCAAAAACTGATCGAGCGCCATAGATTGCGCCTTGAAGACGTCCTTGTTCCTGCAGATTCAGAGTCAAATTATGATAACCCCGTCAATGTTTTAGCTTGTTCAGGTGAATAGATGCTAAAACATACCTTCTCCGAGACGTTCATTGACTTGAGAGCCGATATGGCGGGGAAGGTGAGGTCTCCGATGCAACCAGGGATGAACGACAGGAATACGACCCATTTGTGCGGGTAAAACGCGGCACCGGCAAAGCCGCCCGTCTTCATCAGACTGGCGATCAGCGCGATGATGATCACGCCTTTCTCCTTGAAGCAGCCCACCAGCGCCTTCACCAGTAGCCCCTGTCCTAGCAGTGCTAAGACGCCTCCGAGTAGCATCAAGTTGGCAAAGTCTTTCACATCGAATCCCACAATTGTCTGAAATCCACCATCATGGGCTGCGTTAGACCAGCTCGCAATTGCGTTTATATTGTTACATTCAGGAAAAAGGACTGGATCTGGAAAATCCCGTTCCTGATGAAACTCGTGATCACGATCAAGCACGTCAGCCGCATGAACAATTTATTGCGGAAAAGGATGGACAGAGAGCTGATAGGACTCTCCATCACCCAATGCGTCTTGGTCATACGCGAATGCTTCGGTACCGTTTCGGGCAGAATGCATACTGCCCAAAACACCCGGATCACGAAAATACAAGCGGCAATCTGCAGAACTTGCTCCTACATAAATAAAAATCATCCGCGTTAGAAACGAACAGTCAGCAATACAGTCATAAACCGAGCAGCAAGTGAGAGAAGAATGGGGCTGCGAAAGCACTCAAAAGAAAACCCTGAAGACAAGCTCGCAAAAAGAATGCCAAATGCTGCTGCGCGGTTCTCGGGGGACACAATGTCGCGACCGCAGCGCCCATAACTCCAGCAGTTCTGGGTCAAGATCAATATGGCTGTTAGTACATAGGGGAAACCGAGCTGAAACGTAGGTACGTACCCAAACCCATAGTCGATTAGCCTAGTACAAAGTACGGCGTGATGGATCCGTGTGGCTGCATGAAATACATGATGGAGAATGGCGTACCAACCCTTGCGAGCTGGTTTAGCACCAAAAACGGCTAATAGCAATAACAAACATACATTCACATTTACTAAGCCACAAAATTATTTCCCAATGACCCACAAACTGACGAACCTTGCGTCCGTAGACGTCTGACGCTTGACCTAGCATCGGTGCCAGGAAAAAAATGAATACACAGCCTAGCGACGAGAAGAGGCTGACACAAACAATAGCGTCAAGTTCACCCCACATTCTTCACCGACTCCAAAACCAATAGTATTGATTCATTCCTCGACAACCAAGCCGCTTGTCTTGACCCTTCAGTGCACGCCTTTTTAGCAACAATTGCAACAATTATTAGCACGAAATGATTCATGCCATTTGTACTTAACCATGATGACTGTACCGCGTCGAGTGGGTTGGCTCCACAGTCCATGTCGATGCTGCCTGGCGAAATACTGCATACAATTAATGGATAGAGTGAGGATTGTCGGTGGGACTGACACATTTTTGCTCATTTGCAGACCTCCGTCATGATGATGGAGAGGATGGGGTTCATGATGCCGAACGCCGCCTCCGTCAGGAACTGCAGCACCACGATGGTGCCGAACTTGCACGAGAAGCCCCGCTTCCGCTGCGGCTTGCAGGGCGACGTGGCGGCAACAGTGGCGCCGTGGCTCTTCCCTGTGGGTGGACGAGATGCCCTTCGAGGTGCTGCATTTTGACTGAGGGTCGCCCTTCTAGTCTGAACCCCATCGGAAAAATATGATCCGATGCGTTGAAGTGCTAGAAGTGCATTGAAATCTGGAATATATTTCTTAGCTTTACAGAAAAAAGCGTGCCTTGTGAGGCTAGCAACGGCTCTGCAAGCAAGTACCGTACCTCACACAAAGATTATTTTTGGTCTTTCTCGTTTGGCACTCAAATTACCGTTAAAAAGCTCTCATTTCCTTCGAAAATGCTTTCTTCCTGTTAATATTTAGCAGTTATATGCGTTTTGATTGGCTAAAATTACATTTCAATTTCAAAAAGATTGCCCCAGGTCTTGAAATGGTAATCTAACTGTTAACCGTTCTTTCTGTGAGGTACGGTAGTCGTCATCTACGTGTAGCACCGTTCTGCCAGCAACAGCCATGGCATCGTCACCTCCAATTTCATCCTCAGTTTCGGGCTCGGTCTTAAAGTGTGAGGGTGCTGGTTCCCCCCTTGGTGACAGTAAATGAGCTTCCTCGTCCACAGGCTTGCTCGATTTCTTGCCGGCGGGTAGCGACACGGCAATAACAACACCGACGAGATAAATGCACGAAGCGATCACAAACGGGAGCGCTGGCGACCAAACTGACTTTCGAGTCATAGCAGCGTACAAGACGGGGAAAACGACGGGTCCAATCGCTTCGAAAACCGATCGAGCTCCGTAGATCGCGCCTTGCAGGCGACCTTGCTCCTGTAGCAAACCTAGATAGTTAGATAATGAATGACTTCACAAGGAGAAGTGCAGCGTACCTCTTCCGAACAGTTAATTGATTCCAGCGCAGAAATGGCTAGGAAGGCCAACTCGCCGAAACAAGAAGGTATACACAGAAAGAACACCACCCACTTGTACGGGTACACTGCCGTCCCCGCAATCCCGCACGTCCTCACTAAGCAGCTCACTAAACCTGTGATGATCATGCCTCTTTCTCCCATGAAACTCACTAGAGTGAACCTGTTCAAGCTTGTCCGAGCATGACTAGAACGCCTCCAACCAGCATCAGATTGCCAAAATCATTCACGTCGTACCCCACAACAGTCTGCAGAGCAGTACAGAATCACTCAGTTGGATGACACAGAAAGTCGGACTATGCATACTGTTGAAAGGACTTACATTGAGGTAAAATGGCTGCATCTGGAAAATTCCTTCGGAAACGAAGCTCGTTAACGCGATCAGAGTATGAACAACTTGTTCCGGAAAAGGATCGAGAATGAGCGGATCGGACTCGCCGCAACCCATAAGGTTTCGGGCAGGATCAGCAGCGCCCAGAAAACGCGCATCGCGAACAGAGCAACAGCAATCTGCAAAATATGTTCCTGGTTCGTAAGATATAGCACGAATATCAGTTTATCAGGTATCGGAATGTTATGAAGCGAGTGGGAAGCACTCACTCGAGAGAAGAACGGGGCGATAAATGCGCTTGCGCAATACCCAATCGCTACGCTAGCGGCCAGAACTCCAAACGCTGCTGCACGATGAGTTGGAGAGATGACATCGGTGACCGCGGCGCGGCACTCATGACACCAGAAGTCCTAACACAGAGCATCATCATGTAACATAGAGCGACGACAAGCAGGTGCCGATTGGACCAGAGTAGAGGCCGCGGCGGAAGCGCAAGTGGCTCGACAGTCCCCCGAACTGCGAGTCGCCCGCAGCCAACGAGACGGACAGGATGCTCAAGCGCCACTAAGCACAAGTAGCATTCAGTATCTGACGAAGCGATTCAAGTCAGTGCACGCGAGGAAGACAGCCAGAAGACAAGATGTCGGAAAAAGTGTATATCCGCCGCTGAAGTGATGGTAGCAGTAGCTGTCGGTAGTGGTCGCCGATATGGCAGTATTGAAGACGTAATATGTTGATTTCTCGAATTACTCACGAGTTTCAAGCTTGTCTTAGCACCACAGTTTTCTCTCCTCCCATTTCGCACTCACCGCGTTTGTACGGCGCCATTAAATCTCTTCGGGATACGGAACAAGAATTGCAAACTGCCGAATCTCCTTGCCTTTCTTGGTGAAAGACTTGTAGTACAGCGGTGGAAGCAAAAAGAAGAGTTGGTTGCCATCCGGACCCAACTTCGCCAAATCATCTGCCGCGCCGGCCTTGATATCATGAGTCTTTCCCACAGTGACTTGGAATCCACCGAACTGCGGCATCCATGCATCAATAGCGACATAATTCGATGTCCGAGGCACGTAAAGCTGATTCGCAACTTGACCAGCTTCCACCCGCTCCACAATTTGAGAAGGTTTCGATGACGATGGGATTGTAATTTCTGTTTCAACAATATCTCGGCGGCCTCTTTTGCGTTGCCGCTGCATGGCGCCTGACAACAGTTCTCGATACTCAAAACTCCCACCCTCATGCAATAGTCGCAGACAGTGAGGCTCCAAGATGTATCCGCACAGCGATTGAGCCAGCGGGTTCCCGTTGCATGCGCTGAGAAAACTTTCCATGTTCGCGCGATTCGATATCAGCTTCGTCCGAGCAATCACTTTCATCGCCAATTCCGACGCATACACAACTTGGTACTCTGTATATGGTTCTTGGCTGCGGATGTGAATCAGGGTCCTCGATTTAATCTCCGAGTTGATGGACACCAACGTCTTGCACTCATCAAGAGAGCAACTATTGCATGCGGTCTCCAGCAACACTTGCGGGTCAGTTCCAATGTCTTGCAACACAAGACGAGGCACACCACCCAAGCAGTCTGAGCGATTTCGCCACACAGATGCTGCATGTGGATAGAGGGGAGCAGTTATCGCGAGTTCTTCCTTGGTCCACAGTGGCATGTAGAATACATCTGGAGTTGGAACGAGCTTCTTAAATTCTCCAATGCAGTCTCGTCGCGGTGTACTTGCGAGAAGTACTGAGCAGTCCTCTATCGGTAATTCCGTCATAGCGGTTGGATCGACCGAGTCCACGAGGCACCACAGGTCAGGCGACCAAAATCGTTGGTCAAACTTATTTGGCAGTAACTCGCACTGGAACATCGTCGACCCATCAAAGTAAATCGGTCCCTTCTTGGAGAAAAACAGCACGCGTTTCTTCTCCTTGATCAACCTCCACATCATGTAGTAGACGAACACCGACTTGCCTATCCCAGGCGTGCCCGTGACGACAGCATACTTGACCATGGTCCGATCTGGATTCAGCAGTGCTTGGTCGGCGATCACTCTGTACGACGAGCGAATGTAGAGCTTCTGACGTTTTGTTAACGGCAGCAACGACGAAAATTCGAGCCAATCGCCTACTTGCTCAACCGTGGGGAATTGTGCAAAGAACGGGTCGCTGCAGGGATCAAAGACACCATCTTGGGAGACAATTGAAGCCGAGATCGCTTGCTTCGGGACCACCACCAGCACGTGAACTTCGTCCTCGCCCGCTTGAAAGTTCCCCCCAAAGTTATCGGGGTTCTTGATCCACAACAGCGGATTCATCGGCTTGAAAACTCTCGGCTGTCCATGACGATCTAGCATCTCAGGTTGCCCACTGGCCTTACCGACCGCCACAGCTTCCACGCCCGCCCCTTTCAGCCACGCGCCGTCCTCCCTCTTCGCCAGGAAGAGCTGCAGGTCACCTGCATCGATGTCCTTCAACTTGTTTGGCTTCTTCGCCTTGATCACGTCCTTCAAGTGGCCCACCGACTTTTTCTCGTCAATGTCCACAGGGAACGCGCTTCCCGCCGCACCGACGATCGCACAGAAGAGCGTCACCATCTTCCCTCGAGGCGGCGGATTCTGGAATGAAGAAGAAAGGGAGAGAACTCACAATCGTACCTAAGCGGAAATGACAATGTGATGACGGCGTGTCACTATGGCGAGGGTATCCATTGTAAGAAAGCCTGGGCATGATTCTTTCGAATGAAAACCCTTGTTGTTGTTGCTGCGTGCGGTGACTCCTCCTTCGCACCTGGTGCTACTTAGCGGTGGTGTAGCTGGTGGTCAGGAAGGTGCGGAGCAGTGCTCGTTGGTAAATACATAACGATCAGAAAAAAAGCTGAACGATCATGTGCCCGACTCGACTGCTTACGTTGACCTTGGGCCTTTTTGTTCGGCCGAACCAGTTAACTGCCGCCGGTCTCCAGAGCATTAGACGCGCAATGCTCATCTCAGGAAGTATACGTCAAACTTGTCCTTAACCACTCAAAGTCTTGATTCATGCGATACACTCCACTGTAGCGGTCCTGCAGACACGAGCTCACACACTCCAGCTTCTTCTCCAACGCAGTGATCATATCTTGGGACACTTTTGCAGTGATTTCATCCTTTCTAGCGCTGTTCTCGACCAAAAACCTCTCAATTTCCTTCTTATGTCGCACCAGAGCCGACACGCTCGTTTCCATGTGATGCTCAGCCTGGTTGCGGATCGTCTCGGCATGGCGAATCCTTCCGTGCACATCGCGCTTTATCGCCTTAATCCGCATGTTATATGTAGTACATTTTCTTCTTGATCATAGTGGCCTCCGCTATTTGTTTGTTGCGCGCAGACAGCTCCACGGTATCCTGGAAACTCAAACGGGGAAGTTGGCACATCAAATACGTTTGGTAATTACACAGTCTACACACGGGATTGTCACCAAAGTGAGGGTCGCTCAACGAGAACAGCAAGTTGGTCCAAGTTCATGAGGGACAACAGTCCTTTAAAGCTCGACAGCCGGTTGTCCGCCAAGTTCAGTTCCGTGAGATTCACGCAGCCATTGAGCGCCGTGTCAATGCGGTCAATACGGTTACGACACGCCCAGAGCTGCGTCAACTTCGTGAGTCTCCAGAGTCCGTCAAGCCTTTCCAATTGGTTCAGGTTCACCCACAACTTCTCCAACTTCACCAGCGCGTCCAAGTTTTCAAGTCGTCGGATCTTGTTCGAGCTCAGATTTAGCTGCTTCAGTTTGGTTCAGTTCCCCAGGTTAGCGATCTTTGTGAGCCCACACTCAGCAATGCACAGCTTTTCCAGATTTGTGCAGTTATTGACGCCTTCAAGCTCGCAGATCGTGGGTTGGTTGATGATCGAGAGCTCCATCAGCGCCGGGAAGTACGCGACGCTCTTCATGGACGTCCAAAAGCCCAGAAACAAGTATGATTTGTAGTACAGCGGTGGAAGCAAAAAGAAGAGTTGATTGCCACCCGGACCCAGTTTCGCCAAATCATCTGCCGCGCCGGCCTTGATATCATGAGTCTTTCCCACAGTGACTTGGAATCCACCGAACTGCGGCATCCATGCATCAATAGCGACATAATTCGATGTCCGAGGCACGTAAAGCTGATTCGCAACTTGACCAGCTTCCACCCGCTCCACAATTTGAGAAGGCTTCGATGACGATGGGATTGTAATTTCTGTTTCAACAATATCTCGGCGGCCTCTTTTGCGTTGGCGCTGCATGTCGGCGCCTGACAACAGTTCTCGATACTCAAAACTCCCACCCTCATGCAATAGTCGCAGACAGTGAGGCTCGAAGATGTATCCGCACATCGATTGAGCCAGCGGGTTCCCGTTGCATGCGCTGAGAAAACTTTCCATGTTCCTGCGATTCGATACCAACTTCGTCCGAGCAATCACTCGCATCGCCAATTCGGACGCATACACAACTTGGTACTCTGTATATGGCTCTTGGCTGCAGATGTGAATCAGAGTCTGAGCCATCTGGGTCCTCGAATTAATCTCCGAGTTGATGGACACCAACGTCTTGCACTCATCGAGAGAGCAACTATTGCAAGCGGTCTCCAGCAACACTTGCGGGTCAGTTCCAATGTCTTCCAGCACAAGACGAGGCACACCACCTAAGCACTTAAATCGATGCTTCCACTCGTCTCGTGCATTTGGATACATGGAGGCGATAGCGCTGAGTTCTTCTTCCTTCCATAGCGGCATGTACAGTACATCTGGAGTGGGGGCCAGCTTCTTAAATTCTCCAATGCAATCCCGCCGCGGTGTGCTTGCGAGAAGAATGGAGCATATGCGATAGGGAAGTCCAGCAATACTCGTTGGATCCAACGAATCCACAAGGCACCACAAATCACTCGACCAGAACTGTCGGTTGGACTTGTCGGGCAGTACCTTGCACGTGAGCATATTCGTTCCATCAAAGTAGAAATTCCCCTCGCTGTCGAAAAACAGCACGCGTTTCTTCTCCTTGGTCAACCTCCACATTATGTAGTTGACGAACACCGACTTGCCTATCCCAGGCGTGCCCGTGACGACAGCATACTTGACCATGGTCCGATCTGGATTCAGCAGTGCTTGTTCGGCGATCACTTTGTACGAAGAACGAATGTAGAGCTTCTGACGTTTTGTTAACGGCAGCAACGACGAAAATTCGAGCCAATCGCCTACTTGCTCAACCGTGGGGAATTGTGCGAAGAACGGGTCGCTGCAATGATCAAAGACACCATCTTGGGAGACAATTGAAGCCGAGATCGCTTGCTTCGAGACCACCACCAGCACGTGAACTTCGTCCTCGCCCGCTTGAAAGTTCCCCCCAAAGTTATCGGGGTTCTTGATCCACAACAGCGGATTCATCTCCTTGAAGCCTCTCGGCTGTCCATTTCCATCTCCATCTAGCATCTCAGGTAGCCCACTGGCCTTCCCGATCGTCACAGCTTTCACGCCCGCCCCTTTCAGCCCTCCGTCTTCGAGGTGCAGGTGGTTGGCAGGAAACCGGTACATCTTCTTCTCCTTGATTGCGTCCTTCAAGTGGCCAACCGACTTTTTCTCGTCGATGTCTACGGGGAACGCGCTCCCGGCGACGTCAACGACGACACAATTGAGCGTGACCCGCAATATTACGCTCGACCCCGAAATGTTACAATAGAAAATGAGTCTCTTTTTGTCCAATGAAACGATAGAATGAATCTATTTTTGTCCAATGAAACGACAGAAAGTAAGAGACTTTCTCCACCATCCTACGACACTGTGAGTGACGCCGCGCCTGCCTACCTGCTGCGCGACCCGAGCGATGGCCGTGAAGAGCTCCATGCCGCAGTTCGTCGCGCGTTGTCTGGATGAGATCGGGCTCGAGGGCCGCTGCGGGATGCCGCTGCGCGCGCTGTTCGACGCGCTGGACCCAGAGCAGGACGCGGCCTACCGCCGCTACGCCTGGCGCGTGCTGCGCGGCATGGAGAACCAGCTGAGCTTCCACGTGATGCGGCCGCTGGACTCGCGCGACGACAAGCAGGTGGACCAGAAGCCGCTGATTGGCGCGGAGGAGACGCCGCGCCGGAAGCGCAAGTGGAAGACGACGCTGCTCGCCAGCCCCCCGAACTGCGAGTCGCCCGCGGCCAATGAGACGACGGACAGGACGCCCAAGCGCCACAAGCACAAGAGCCAGCCGCTGCAGCCCGTGCTGCCGTCCATGAGGCGAATTGCGGCGCAGAAGCAGCGGCGGAGGATGTCGGACGCGGACTGTGAGAGCCGAGGAGACAGAGCAGAGGGCGCTGGACGACTACGGAGGCGGCGGCAGGGCAGCGGTGATGGACACAGAGACGGAGCAGTGGTGGTAGTGGAGGACGGAGGGAATGACACAGTGATGAGCGAGTCGGTGGTGAAGGAAGACCCGGAGCAGGGACATGGAAAGAGACGGACACAGAATGAAGCGGAAGTCAGTATTAAACAGGAGGTTGGCGATGCGGCGGACGAGACGCAGTGGGTATTACGAAGTCCACGGGGCTTCCGCCTCGGAGAAGAGGTGGATGTGGGTGGATTGAGCTACGAAGAAGCTGTCACGAGTAATCACGATGGTGTGCTCGGAGTAGTGGCGTGCGAGTCGTTGCGGCTGAAGTATTTGGGTGTTCAGGACGCTAGCCTCATGGACACGATCTCGCCGCAGTTTGACCTTCTGGAGATTATTGGCCGAGCGCGAGTACGTGGCGAGAACGCCGCCACGCTGACGAACTCGCGACTTTTTGGAGACTCGCGGAAGCTGCACTATTTGCTGGACATGCTGATTGTCTCGGGTTACGTTGTAAAGAATATTGTTACGGCAGACCAGAGACGGTTTAACATCGTGCACCTGCGACGGTTTGCGAGCAAATTCCACCCGTCTATGGTGTCACCGTCTGCCGCAATTGCACGGCAGTCGTTCCCGAAAGAAGTTTTGGCAGAAGTCATTGTTGGCATGATGAAGGCTCGAGGAGAACGGACTTGTGTGTTTGCTGACATTGGTCGCGAGCTGGGCTACGGGAAGCGCCACCAAGAGCAGTTGCGTAATTATTTCATCCAGCAAATGAACGCGAAACCAGGTTTCCCTCTACAGTTGTTTATGGCACGGTGCAAAACTGGCAGTGAGTACATTGGGCGGAAGTTGTGGTGTGTTCGTCTTCGCGACGGTTCATCTGGTGTATCTGGTCGGCGGCGGGGCTCTTCGGTTACGTTTGAAGAGCTAGGACCGGACACTATGGCTGTCGGTCGCCCTGTTGTTGAGCGCGGGATAATGGAGCAAATGTATGTCGCTATTCAAGACAGAGAGAAGGTTGGTGCTACCGTGCCTGAGCTTCGAGACGTGTTGGGTGTTCCCACGTTTAAGCTGCCGTACAAGCTGGCGCAGGGGTTGATTTCAAACTACAACATTTCGGTGGAGCAAGTTGTACTAGGCAAGAGTACGATGTATCGGATGTTCGTGCCGAGTGCGGGGAAAGACAATGACGAAAGTACCGAGCAAACTGCAACTGCAAACGGTGATGACTCGAGTTCGGTGGGTTCCAATGTTGGCGTGCGAGTGACCCGTGCCGCTGACAAGTATAGCACACCAAAAGGACTGGACAGCACAGACGATAGTAGTGGACAACTTCAACCGGGCACAATGAAGGAGGCTACCCGGGGTATGGTGAGAGCATCAACGATTGACAGACGAAGGAACTACATTTTGAAGCGCGTGCAAATGGAGAAAGTTGTGTCTTTGCACCAGCTACGAACGGGTTTGATTGAAATGGAACGTGTTGCAGAAGCCAGCACTATGGACATTCGATCGGTTCGCCGTATTGTCGATGAGCTGGTGGAGGAAAAGAAAATGATGACGATGGATATTACGCTGCCACCAAAACAGGTTCTTCAGAAAGCTCATCGCAAGGTGAAGTGTGCTGTTCTGGTTGGATATCAACGCAGCCGTGAAGCGATCCGCGAGTTCATTAAGGCGTACGAGGAAGAGCAGCAGAGGAAGTATCAGGCAAACTTGGTGGATCACGACAATGACGACTACGTCGTCGTAAGTAATCGCAAAAAGCAGCGAGGTAACGCAAACAACGTCAAGGAGAGGGCTGCCCAGGAGCCTCAGGACCAGGAGGTTGTCAACTACAGCGCTGACTCGTACAAACTGGCACGACTTGGGCTTGCAAAGCTGCAAAAGCAAAGTCGCAGGCTTGGTATGTTTTTCGGCATAATGTACAAGTGCCGGGCTTTCCATCTGATGATCTGGGAACGACTTGAGCTGCTACGTGGTCAGAGTGGCGTTGCGGTATACGGAAATGCTGTATCGGGTGAAGCGTCACGTAAAAGTTCACAAGAGGTGTCATTTGCCCTGAAAGATGTCTTGGATCTCTTGACCGTGAAGGAGTACATTCAGCTTGTTGGTGTACCCGAACTTCTCACCGATTGCGAAGAATCGGCTGTCAGGCTGGCTGCAAGCAAAGGTGGCGGATGGGACGTGTTGCCTCAGTCAATAGTAGAGAAGCTTCGAGGGTGTGAAGCAGATCGATTCTCGAAGATTGTGCGAGTCTTGCTTGACCTGAGGCTTCTCGAAGTCGTGCGTGATACGTCCTCTACTGGCCTTTTCAACGTTTTCCAGTCGTCCGATGACTTTGATTCAATGGTTTCAAGAGTGGCTTTTGCAACTCTTTCGGGAGGACTGTTCAAGGTTAAGCGTCGAGTTCACATCAGCGTCAAGCAAGGAACAAGCGTGTTGCATCGGCTTCCATCCGAGCATTCGTATGCTTATGCACCGGGATTTTCGTGCAAAAGCAAAAGCGAGCACTTTACTGGACGCGTGCCCCTCAAGTTTGATTTCAGCGAAGTTGATGTCAAAGACTACTGGAAGTCGCTACGCTTCTTGAGTGTAGAGGGTGCTCGGTTAGGTACCAAATCAGACGAGCGTAATGGCGTGAGCATCAAGCTTGATGGTGCACTCATTCAATCGGCACCTCTGTCCGATCACAATATATACGTTCTCAAGGCGTGGGTTCCGCATTCAACGACGAGCACGAGGAGCAGCACTGCTCGAGCTAAAGCGGCGGCGGGACCTATCCAGATGCTGAAGCGTAAACAGTTCCAGTCTGATGTGCCTCCCGCAGAATTGCCTTCTCAAAAGAAACGAAAGATCACCAAGACGGGCAATGGCAAAATTTCGCCATTCATGGCCCCTGTAGACACAAGTGAAGCAGGTGTCAGCAAGTTCCGAAAGCAAGTTGGTGCTAAGAAAACCCGTCGGACGCATACGTGGACGTTTGAAGAAGACCTGCAGCTGATAGATCTTTACCTGGAACAAATGTCGTGCCGGTGGTTTGTGGAGGTTCCTTTAGCTTTGCAAAGGAAAGAAGAACGTGTCGCGTTTCGAACCACAGCCTTGTCGCGCACTTTGATTTCATGGAAGGAGCTTGGAAAAGTTTTCAAGAAGAAACCCATCGAGTGCATGCTGCGTGTAAATGATTTACTGGAGGCACCGGCTATTCAAGCAAGAGTTGAAAGAGCCAAGCTCACCATCACGCACATGAAGAATCCGGGTGGCGAATTCCATGAGGAGGTCGCGATCATGCAGCAGCCGCGATTGGCAGCTTTGTTGTGCCGTGCGTTGCAAGTGATTTTGCACGAGCGATCCAGTTATTACTCCGTTCTGGCAGATATGCTCATGGGTAGCTGGAAGGAGAGCGAGGTGAAGTTAGTGTGGAGGTATTTGTGGCTGGCCGGAATCATTACGCGGACACCGCAGGCGAATGAAGGGAAGGATCAAAAGCAACGAGGATTTCAAGTTCACTCGAAAGTGTTCGAGATGAAAAGCCTGAAGATCCCCCACTATTTGATGGAGACGTTTTGCGAGGCTGCCAAGTACCTGGCATTCGTGACCGAAAATGTCGACGAAGCCACGATGGTCGCAGAAGAAAATGACCGATACTTCGAACACGATATCGAAGTAAACATGTCGTCTGGCCAGGCCGCTGTTGCGCTGTCTTCAATGACTTCAGGGTTCTCTAACCTCGTCCCATCGTACATGGCGCCCGCAAAACAATCCACGGACAATCGTGAGATCCAGCGGGCGATGGCTGTGAAGGGGCTGGCGGGGCACTTGTCGCGACAGTGGGGCGGGGTGTTCCCAGAGGATTTCTTGAAGGAATACTGGTCTGTTAAGTCTGTTTTCGGGGTGTCAGATTCGACAACCCAAGCAAACAATTTTAAGGAGATGGAGGCCTTTTCCGGTAGTCCTCGTATCCTCCAAGTACCAGGGAAGGATGTGAAACGCAGACGAAGGAAACACGCAGCGGAGTATTCATTGAGGTCGTGGCTGGCAATCACGCTAGCCGAAGTTACTGGAGCAGGCGTGACACTCAACGAGCTGAGCACCAGATACGCTGTTTCTGGGCTTAACGCTAGTTGCAACACTACACCTCGCGTCTTAATCCAACGAGAATTGGACGAAATGATCCGGCAAGGAAAAGTCCTTGAGGTCAACGGGTATGATCACTGTCGGTTTATACTGCGGGAGTTTGCAGATTTGTACACGCTGCACCCGTACCGAATTACGAGCGACTCAACAGCGGAAAAAGTGCACTTCCGTTTTGACAAGGGCAACACAGTTGTGGCACGTCCATGGCTTCATTTGGATGGCAGCGTTAACACAAAGATGGTTCTCAAACTGAAGCGCAAGGTGGTGAATATCGTAATGTGCTGCCCAGGCATACAAGACACCGCCGTCCACAAAAAGATGCGGAAGGTTTTCAGTCTGCAGGACATGCGATCGATGCTGGAAGAGCTGATGGCTGATAGAATTATTTACGCTCGAGTTTTTCGCGACCTGCAGCCACCAGCCACCAGCGTGTTTCGACTGCCAACGCGTCCGCCAAGTCACGAGGTTGATATTGCGATTTTGTCTCCAGGAGAACTCCGATACGTGGACTTTTCTCGAGATCGCCTCCACTACTTCCCGGCGGTGAACTGCATGGAGTTACTTGGTGCCGAGGCGTGTGACGCAGATCTTGGTTAAAACTTGTAGGCCTCTGATAGAAGAAGTATCCTAATCCGATATTTATTTGACCACTGATTACCGCACGATTTGGCCTGCCAGGTTGTACTCGCGCGAGCGAGTTGGAGTACCCGCTGCTCCTACCTTCTGCGCTCCGAGGGTCGCTAACGTCTGTCTTTTGTGCTGAATCAGGTTTTGAATTACGCTCAAGACATTCCGTTGCTTGTCGTCCAGAGTATGCGTGTGTCCAGAGGAGGATGGAGCCTCAGATTTGACGGACGTGCGTCTGACTGACGAGCTGGACGTGCTTGCCGGTGTTCGCCGGTGCTGTTGTTGTGGTTCCTGCCAGCGATCGTGGCGAGACACAGTGCCACGAGGAGTTGCTGTTTTTCGTGGGGTACTGCAACCTATCAGCGCGGCAGCATGAACAATCGTCAGTGTGGTGCATACGGACAATAAGAGACAGGCGGGCATGGATGCTTACCTCTGGTGACCTCCTTCGTAGGTTTGGTGACAGCCTGTTGTAACCGAGCAGCGGCATTCTGATCTTCGCAGCGTGGCCTCGCCAAGACTACAGCAGGAGGTTGAACTGGTACTGGATTGGGATCCAAGATGGGCTTGATGGACGGAGCAACGGGTCTGTTGACAGGAATGCCATTCGACTGAGCGAGCCGATCGTACATGCTCAGATAGGGCGCAGCACGGTATTTCGATGGCGAGTTGGGAGCTTTTGTGGTAATGCTGGGAGAAATCGGCGCTGGTGGCGGCGATATCGGTGCGGTACCCTGCTGGTATTTCTGAAGACCCGCTCGAACGCGTTCGTGAGTAGGCTCGATTGGAGGTGGCAAGAACATTGTGCCGTCGTATTTTGACGCGGGATCTCCTGGAAGTAGTGGCTGGACGGTGGTGGCAGGACGCGGCCGAGTTTGCGTGTGGATCACAAACTGCTTCTTATCGTCATAGATCCGCGCTGCAAGATTAAACATTGGGACTCGAGTTAATAACGAGTTATGCCAGAAGCGGTTTTTTTTCGGATGCTGCTACCTTACAGTATGATAGGGACTTGGTGGCTGATACTTCTCTCGTCTTGTATTTGACGGCGCTGCGCATCTTCTTGTCGTCGAGCATGATCAAGCTTGGAATCATATCGAGCATGGGAACGTGATATCCCGGCTTTTGGCTGAGAGGGTTGCCTCGAATCGTGAGATGAGTCAGGTTCTGGTTCATCGACAAGGCTCGCAGCGCCTCAGGGCTGAAGGAAAACAACACCATCACGGCTTGTTAGATGGCGCAACATCACGCAACACCCCAGTTCGCGCACGTACTACTCGATCAGATTGTCCGAGACATCCAGGTTCTCCAAATACTCAAGCGTCTCGATACCTTTCGTGTTCATCAGCCTGTATACTTCCAGCGGTTAGTTGATTGCTGTCGCTGTAACAAGGGCTACAGCAACCGCGTACCTGTTGCCGCTCAAGTTGACGCGAACCAGTCGGGGGCAGAACTCGAGTATACTAACGTCGTCCAGGCGGTTGAAGGCGAGGTGCAGCTCCTGCACGAACTTCAGGCGCTTGATACCGTGGAGGCTGGCGATCACGTTGAAGGAGATGTCCAGGGTCACGACCTCAGCAGGGATCGACGACGGGACCTTGTCGATGTCGTTGTTGGACAAGTCGATGGTGTCCGCCGTTGAAAACACGCGAAGGGTGCGGTCGACCTGCCCCGAGGTGAGCCCTCGCCCAGAGAGGTCGCAGTACTGAGACTCGGCGCCGTCCAGCCCAACGCTCCCTCGCCGCACGGAAGACGCCATGAAGTTGTGAGTGAGTGGGTGAGTGAATAAGCGCCTTCGGAGCAAGCTACTCGCATCAAACGGAAACGCACAACCGCCAGCGACGCTAATTCCAGCTCCGCATGCGCCAGGCAGCCCCACAGCAATGCTCGTCGATAAAAATACGAGGATCAACTCGTTGTCTGAGCTTGGAGACAAGGTGGCGAGACCGAGGAACCTCCTTCCTCATCAAGCTTCAACTCCACGTCCACGAAGCAACAAGAGGCGCCTCAAAGCCACTAGTCAGAACCAACTCGTTCCTTCAGACTTTCATGGGGAAAAAAAATGCCTGTAAAATATACAATGAGCGGGAATATCTTTACGGTCTCCATCTTCCACCCCCAAGCCAGCGGCATTTCCCCTTAGACCTACCGCCAAACTGCAGGCGTTGACCTTGAAGTCCGCCCCCTAGTAATTCCGATTCTGTAATTCTGCTTCGTACCTAGCATGACCCACTCGCCCTCGCCCAGTCAGGTCAGTCAGTGGAAAAACCGCAAGAGAAGGTCGGAGCGCAGCCAGCAGCCCATGGAGCAGGCCACGCCCAGTCGAAGCGGCGGGCGCAAGCGCAGCGCCAGCCGCAACAGCGAGGACGAGGAGCGCAAGGCGCAGGACCCACCGCAAGAAGAACAAGAAAAAGAAGAAGAGAAGCAGGAGGAGAAGAAGGAAGAGACGAAGACCCCACAGCAGTGGAGCTGCCCGACCTGCACGTTCCTCAACGAGGCGTCGCGCTGCTTCTGCGAGATGTGCGAGACGCCGAACCCGTCGCCTCCCGCGTCCAGCGCGCGCGCGCTCACGGGCGCCTCGGAGTGGAGCTGCGCCGCCTGCACCATGGTGAACCCGGCGGCCATGCGCGTGTGCGGCGTCTGCGGCACGCTGAACCCGCGGCCGCCGCTGGCGTCGGGTCTGTCCATCGCGCGGCTGTCGGAGGCGCTGGGCGGCGACTCGCTGTCTTCTGGTTCAAGCGACGACAGCGACGACAGCGACGATGAAGAAGATGATGAAGATGGAGACACGTGGATCTGCAGGAGCTGCGACTCGCTCGCGGCTGGACGCGCGTGCTCGAACTGCTTCGCCCAACGGCCGAAGATCGCGCGGAAGACGGGGAAAGCTGCGGAGGAGGAGAAGAAGAAGAACAAAGAGGAGAGGAAGCAGGCGCTGATGAAGAAGCGCAAGCGCCGGAAGCGAGAGAAGAAGCTGCAGGAGCGAGCGAGGATGGCCTACGGTGTCTCGATCTACGAGCTCAAGAAGCTGGTGCTGGAACCAACTAGCAGTCGGCTCGTGGATACGCTGCAGACTTTGACGCACACGCTGGCGATGATGGACGCGTCGGCGGACAATGAGTGGGCCGATGGTCCATCGTTTCTGATGCGCGGGTTTGGCGCTGGACCGTCGTCGGAAACCGCGAAAGACCCAGAATTATTGACAGTGCTGGTGGATATTTTTCGCGCTCAGGAGCGGACGTACCCGGTGGAGGTTCGGCTTCTGGCGGTGCAGTCTATGAATTATCTGATGAAGATGGACCGGCACATGTTCGCGCGGTCGAAGATGGTGGAGGTTGTGGGGCTGTATATTACGGATCTTCTCGCTTGGAAGAAGAGTGACACAAGTAGCGTGAGCTCTGGAGACGCAAAGAGTGCGCGGATGGTTGTGGAGGAGTGTCTGAGCGGTTTGTCGAGCATGTGCAGCACCGAAGCGTTCGCCCTTCGAGAGCTACTAGCGGACGGGAATTTTGTCGGATACTTGGATTTCCTGACGAGTCTAGTGGATGGAGACGAAGAAAAAGATGGCGGATTCCATCCGAGTATTTTGATGACGGCTCTCGGTGTCTTGCAGAAGGGCTGCTTCAAATTGCGATGGAGTGGAAAGCCGAGCCACAAACGCCGCAATGCGAACGGCCAAAAGCCGACAGTTTCGTGGGCTGCGTCCCCAAAGAAAGCGGTTCAGCAGGGAGAACTCACGTTGGAGCTTGCCATCAAGTTGGTTACCTTTTTGCGTCATGTACTTCAACACAACCACATTCCCTTGCACGTCAAGGCAGCAAAATGTTTGCTCTTGGTATTTCATCGGACTCCTCATGATCGCCCTGAGGTGATGGAGAAGTTGGTTACACCGGACGTGCTACGCAAGTTTGTTGCTGTTGTGGTTAACGCGAACAGCGACGAGTCGGAAGAATCTCGTCTTGCGATGGTGTCCCTGCTGCTCCATTTGTTTGACAGCCGATCACAGCTCGTCAGTATGTTCGTCCATGAGAAGATATACTCGGATCTGTTTAGTGGCATGCTGCTGCTGCTTCAGTCATCGTCGACAGCCCTCCGGACCAATGTTTTGAAACTTACAGCCACACTGACTCGAGTAGTCTGCAGAAAGCATTCTTTGACCAGCTCTCATCGCAACTCAATGGATGGGTCCAGCGGAAAAGGATCTGCGTCGTGCTCCCCTCGGAGCCGCCGCAATCGCCATCGGTTGAACTCATTACCGGACCCCGATGTGCTGTCAACACTACTGCTAGACTTCATTCGAGCAGATTCCATGCCTGCGGTTAATGTTCTTTTGAAGGATGGCGCGGACTTGAATTTCCCGAAGATTTTCGACGTTCAAGGAAACGAGATTGACAAGCCGCTCAATCTCGCGGTGGAGTGTTCGTCGCTTGCGATGGTGCGGCTTCTACTGAAGCGAGGCGCTGACATCCACCAGGTAGGAATCGGTGGCACCGCCCTTCACGTCGCTGCCAGAACAGGACGGTGTGACGTTGCTGCGTTCTTGCTGCAATGTGGAGCACGCGTGCAAGCAAAGGATCGAGAAAAGAAGACTGTAATGGATGTAGTCAACTCGCTAGACTCCACACGAAGTGGGGACGGCGCATCGGGACCTGTCCCATCCCCGATGAAGAAGCTGCTCGAGCTTCATCAGCGAGCTCCCGGCATGCGAGCTTATGATGACAGCGACTTGTCGGAGAGCGATGACATTTCCGGTGGTAGGAGTCGGGCGTGGTTTTATCCGTCAGATCACGAAGATGAATATGGAGATGAGGATGACGAAATGGATGACGATGAGCTGGAAGGTGAGGACAATTACTACATGGATTATAACGATGATGATGATGTGGACCCTCGTGATGAGGACATGGGTGACGAAGGAATGTCTAGCGATGAAGATATGATCTACAACGACGATGAAATGTCAAGCGAAGCTTCGAGGCGACGTCGCCATAACTCAACCGATTCAGAGGTAAAGTTGGAGGATGAGCAAGTTGCTAATGGCGACGGCGGTGCGATCGTGACCAGAAATGAGCGTGCATCGAGTGGAAGCGACAAGGATTGTTCGAATGATGCTACTGTGCTTGAGCAAAAAGGGTTCGCTGCTTCTCCCGACGAGGTCTACGATTTTAGTTTAGCCATTACTCGATGTCTTCTGGCTGTCTTGCACGATATGGACATCCAGAACGTGGAGCGCGCGGTTATCTCTACTGTGGCGTGCGTGCTGGAAATGGCCCCATCTCGACTTATTCGTGCTTTGATAGAAACGGACGTGGTGCTTATTCTGGATACCGTCCATTTCTTACTGCAAGGGGAAAAGCATAGCCTGTCGAGCTCAGATCCGGCATCCTCGCAGATCACTGCTGTTCCGACTTCGCTGCCTTCGGCAACGTACACCACTCGGTCGGGTACCGGGTCAGCCACTCCCAGCTCTAACTTGCCGTCTTTTATTTTAGCTGTTCGTATCTTGCAAGCGATGATCAGGAAATCGTCAAAGGAATCTTCCATCTTCCACCAGATTGAAAGAAGGGGCATCAGTGAGCAGATCGAGCAGCTGAATGATGCATCGGCGTGCTGGGTTAGAAGTTCTTCTGGAGATTCTTCCAACTCGCGTGATACGATTTTTGGAAGAGGGTTGGATTTGCTGAAATCTCTTCGCGCGGATATGCTTGAAAGCGGCATGCTTCATCTCCACAAGCTCAAGAATCTTGCGAGACGTTTAAAGGACTTCACGGATTCGTCGCCTTCATGCGAAAAAGAACTGATTCTGGTGGATTTGGTGGATTTGTTTGAGCAGCCGAACTCCATCACAACGTATGAGTTTAAGCAATCGGAGCTACTGCCGGCAATTCTCCAGTACCTTTTGCCCCAGGGGGAGCTTGATGAAGCTCGAGCTTTGGCGCTGATGCGGGCTTTGGAGCGCTATCCTACTGCACTGAAGCATATGGTTTTTCGACTGCAAAGTATCATTACCCAAGAGGAAACTTTCCCGCTGGTTTCCTTCAACACCGGAAAGGGAAGAGAACTCTACCCCCTGACTCGACAGCTAAAGGTCGCATTTATGAGGCCTGGTGACAGAAATGCTGGTGGCAGATCTTATGGAGGCACTGCTGGTCGTCCGAAGGGCAAATCGATCCATACTTCACCGTTGACGCACTTCCAGTCTTTTGAGAGAACGATCGCCCGGTGCATGCCAGTGATCGACTCGGATTTGTCTCTGCTGTACCTCAATTTAGTGGGGCATTCAATCCAGAAAGCGGTTGAAGGAAAATGGCGGAAGTTCTTGGTTGTGGGGTATGACGATACACGGTCTCACCACCTCGTCAAACCGATTGGTGGATCTAACGACGATCTGACTGAAATGGTTCTTCATGACTCTCAGTGCAAGTTGATTGGCAATGTCGACGTGTACGAGCGCATTTCGTTGGATCTAGCACTTTTCGGGTCACCTGATACCGTCGACAATGGTGGGCATTCGTCAGACAGCAAAAAGAAGCGCAAGCCCAATAAGCGGAAACGCAAATCGTCGGGCTCGTCGGGTCAGCAACGTCAGCATCACGATACCGAAGGTGCCTGCCACGTTGAAGTAAGAAATTCCGGAGTGCTCAAAATGCCAAAACTTCGGGGCGCTTGGTATGCGGCAGTGCTGGTCAATGACTCGGGAGAAGTCCGTAAGCTGGCTGACGAAAAGTATAACACATGCAAAGAAGTGCTTGCGGCGCAGACCACGCACTCTGTGAAACTACTGGCGGACAACCGTATCATCCGCAAGGTACCATCCGATTGCCTTCGTCCTCGAACTCTGCAACCCCAAGTTGGCAGCGTGGTTGAAGTGGATGGCGCTCTGGGAGAAGTCACGCGCGTGTACAGTAACGACGGCTCATCTAACGGCACGGCTAGCCCCGCAAACAGGTTATTGGACGTTAAAGTCAGTTCCGATATCGAGAAAAGTCGTGTGAAGAAGGAGCGCGTTCATTTCCCGCCACCGCAGAGCTCTACTCCCAAATCTGGAGGTGAGAGTGGTGGAATCGAGGCGATGAGTATTCGTCGGTTATTCCCAGCTCGCGATAGTTCCTTGATGGCAGGCAGCGTGGGTGATCGCGTGTGGGTGCTGCCGCCATCTGAATCTTCGATCAAGGACCTGTGCGTAGCCGGCAAAATCAAGAGCTTCCCTTCAGGATTGGAGTCGATCCGTGAGTCCAGTACTGTTCTTGTGGAAATCTCGTTTGGATCAGCGCAACCATCTCTGACTGTGAAGGTCAATCAAGATAGAGTGTTGAACTTTGCAAACGATGGGGGCGCCTTGTCTGGCCGTGGTCCTTCGCGCTTGTTGGCGGCGCTGCAGATGGCGTCAGGGCGCGGTGGAGCGAGCAGACTGTTTTCTGATGGACGTGGTGGTCAAGACAGCAGTACTTCCGCTATTCATCGTGCTTTTGAAAGGGTAGCTGGAACATTGCAGCAAAATCGACTTGGAGGCAGACATGGTTCTTCCTCGGCGATGGATCAACTTCGCAATTTGATATCTCGCCATTCGACGCTGAGTGGTTCGAGTGCACCAAACGATGTTGATACTTCATCAGAGCAAGCTCCAAGAGCTGCTCAAGAGTCCGGATCCAACTCGTCGCCCAGCGAGCCGATTAGCAGTGAAGTTCAAACCGAGGAAGAAACGTCAGCATCTGCACCCAATAGCACTGATGCGACTGGACAGCAGAAGTCGCCAAACCCCAGTGAAGCCCCAGCCGTACTGGCGTATTTAAAGCCAGAAGGCGCCAAGCCTAAACTGACTTGTACGCAATTGCCGAAAGTTAGCCTGGTGGTTGGCTTTCGCAAGTGTGATGCTAGTACTGGAGCGCAGGACCGGATTATCGTTTCGTCTGAGTTTGGGTTGCAGCGTCTTGACAAATCCAAGATGAGCAAAGACGTGGCCACAACTTCACTCCTTATTCAGTTAAATCCATATACCCAGCAGTACGAGGCCACAGCTGGCGCCCAAAAGGCGCTGCTTGATGTCTTCAACACGTTCAGTGGAAACTCTGGGTCAGGATCGACACAGAAAAAGAAGCGGAGAAAGCTTTCGCCCGTAGCTCAACGGAATACTGTAGTGGAGGGAGCTCCGTGGGATATTGAGAAGTTTATCGTGTTTATGGTGACATTGCGTGGTCCAGACAAGTACGGCCACCCCGGATCCAACGCCAAGTATTGCGTTATGTTCTCAAAGTTTGCAGACCCTGATACGAAGCGGTGCTTGCTGAAGGCAGATGGTTTTGTTTCTCTCATGGTGCACGAATGCAAGGATGGCGCAAAGTCGAAGCAACTGTTGAAGTTTCTGCGATCTCGTGGTTACTCGGAAAAATCGTTGACCGCTAGTGTGTCTCGCGGCAGCAGTGGCGACGATGAAGAGAAGGATTCACCCAGCAGCAGCGATAGCGCTGGAGCCAAGGCTGCCAGGAAACCCGGCAACAAAATGCTTCGGCAGCCTGTGGTGCTTCGTGGATTCCCTGGAGACCATAATGTTCTGAAATGCGTCGAGGATCTACGTCAAGAGTATTGTGCTCGAACCGGAGGTAACCCGTCATCCGGGAGCCTAATTTCTTCTGTGGATGCAACTTTGCCGCCCTGGAAGCTTACGTACAAACTCTACTGCGACTTCCAAGTGGAGTGGGAGACTCAATCGCCTTCCAACTCAAACACGATGAGCTCTGATGTGCAGTTACCGGAGCCTTTGGCAGCTCTGGAGTCCAAGCCTCCGATCCGCCTACTGTCACATGGAATGGTGTGTCTTGATGATATGAACGCGATCGGAGCTACAGATGCGTCGCGCTGGCTTAGCCGAATCACTGCATCACAGACGAGTTCGCGTGACGGACTCGCTGTACCTGACTCGGTGGCAAGTGCGGTGCGCTTGCTCCACTATTTATTCGAATTTCGCGCGGATCCTACGGCGCTTGATGAGGCATTGTGGACGAGCCCGCGATTGTATAATAAGCTGGAGACACAGATGCAAGATGTGCTCTCCATATGTAGTGGTATTTATCCGTCCTGGTGCGATGCGCTGGTTACCCATTGTAAGTTTTTCTTCCCGCGCGAGTTGCGGGAAAAGCTGTTCCGGTCCACGTCATTCGGCTGCACACGCTCGCTGCACTGGTTCCGCAACCAGCTGAACATCGAGGAGAGCTCCGGCGATTCAACCTCTTCAATGGTGGGAGGCGGGATTTACAACCAGGAGATCTCTATATCACCGATCCCGAAAGAGCGCGTCAAAGTACATCGCGAAAACATACTGCAGTCCGCCGAGGCTGTGATGAAGATGCACGCAAAGCGCAAAGCTATCCTGGATGTGGTGTTTGTGGGCGAAAAGGGCTACGGTTCAGGAGTGACAGCGGCATTCTACTCAACAACTGCGCACGCGCTTCAATCGGTTGTGGAGAATCATAAGAATCGATACTGGATCCCCGGTGAAGACGACGAAGCTGAGGCTGCGAAAGCAGCAGCTCGGCGGAGCGATGGAGTTGATGCTGTTGACGATATTGCGGACGATGTAGCTGTGATTCGCCATTCCAATGGCTTGTTCCCGTTCCCTCATCGCACTCCAAGCCCAAAACTTGTGGAGCGCTTTCGCATGATGGGGAGACTAGCGGGCAAAGCGCTGATGGATGAGCGGTTGCTCCCGTTGCCGTTGTCGCCCCAGTTTATGAAGCTTGTGGTTGGCGAAAGTTTTGGGTTGGAAGAGCTGAGCGACATCTTCCTAAGCCACGGGCGTATTCTACATTCAATGTGCAAGGCCTCGAAAAGACTCGCAGCAGGGGAACAGGACGTCCAAATTGATCAGATGAACGTGGAAGAGTGGCTGGATGCTGTGGGCTTCACGTTTATCGACCCGCTATCACAGGAGCCGTTGGTTGCTGGTGGTGAAGATATCGCTGTGACTGCAAGCAACCTGACGTTGTACGTACGTGCCGTTTTGGAATTGTGGCTGGACTCAGGCATCCGTGCCCAGGTGCTGGCGTTCCGCGATGGAATTGGTGAGGTGCTTCCGTTAGGAAAGCTTCGCTTGCTGTTTGTTCCGGAGCTGCTGTCCTTGCTCTGCGGCGAGAAGGACATCGACTGGACTGTAGCATCGCTGCTGAAGGACACGAAGCTCGCTCACGGATACACAAAGGACAGTCAGCCAGTGCAGTATTTCTTCGAAGTGCTGGAGGAGATGCCAAGCGCAGAACGACGAGCCTTCCTGCTGTATGCGACTGGCTGCCCGAACCTCCCGCCTGGTGGCTTCCAGGCGCTCAAGCCACCGTTCGAGGTTGTCCGCCGAGTGGTCGACAATGTCGAGGTGGATCGCGCACTGCCGTTTGCGCGTACTTGCACGAACACGCTGCATTTACCGGCTTACTCCAGCAAGGCCGTGCTCGCGAAGCAGCTGGCCTTCGCTGTTGCCAATAGCCGAGGTGTTATCGACCGCGACTAAGTCGTGCATGTGGGTGGGTACCTAGACAGATTGAAGTTCCTCAGTTTTAATGGTCAGTATAAACAATGGATATGAGTAGATTTGGGGAAAGCTGATCGCTCTACTTGGGAGCTGCTTTCTTAGCTTTGGTCGTCTTGGTCTTGGAGTCGGTGGTAGCCTTGGAGGCATTTGTTGGAGCTGCTGCACTTGGCCCTGCTTTCTTCGGGCTCTTAGCAGCAGCCTTTTTGGGGCTTGACTTGCCTGCTTTCGGTGGTGGTTTCTCTGGCGATGGTGCCACGGGCGCTACTGGAGCAGGGCGATGCTCGTTCTCCCAGTCGATCAACACTTGGCGAATCTACAGGTAGTGCATTCAACGTTAGTTTCTCATGCCGCACAACCCTCGCAGTGTACAAGCACTTACCTCCGCTCTGGACTTGACGATGTTGTTGGCTGCGTCGAGATCGTCTTTGGCGAAGTAGTAGGCGCTCTTGTTGTACTGATTCTTCAGACTGGGATCCGCCCCGTTGTCAAGTAGAACGCGCAGACTCCTCTTCGCCTCGTGGAAGACTGCGATCGCAACGGGTGTCCAGCCTCTGCAGTCGCGAGAGTTTACATTAACTTTCCACACACGAGCAAGCATCGCTGTTCGTGCTGCAGCCTCTTTCTGAGCGGATGATGAACCAGCAGCAGCGAGATCGCGCGCCTGCACCTCGAGAGCTTTACCCTTGGAGACTAACATGGTCACCATTTCCACGTGGTCGTACTGTGCAGCGAGAGCGAGCAGAGTACTGCCCTTCTCGTCACGGATATCTGCACACGCACGGGGACGGTCTCCAGTCTCCAGGGTTTCGTCCGCGAGCTGTTCCATGCGCTTCTCCAGCTCCTCAACTTTCCCCTCGCGAGCGATTTCCAGCAGCTCGGAGTGAATCTGCATCAAGGCAAACTGCTCACGCTCCACGTGGTTGGTAATCCGCTCCTGCCACTTGGCCTCAATCACCTTCCGTCGCTCCTCGACGAGTTTGTCGGTCTTAGTAAGATCCCATTGCGCTAACAGCGCTTGAGCCTCAGCGTTTTTGGCCACGTCGTAGGCTGTTTCCCCCTGTTTGGAGCGCAGTCGAGGGTCTCCTCCGCTTTCAAGCAGCAGCTGCAGCGTCTCGAGATGGCCGTTGTACGCCGCGCGATACAGAGGCGATCGGTTCTCGTCGTTGCACTTGTTCGGGTCGGCTCCACGCTCCAGCAGCAAACTCACGATGTCCTTGTGGCCTTGACACGCAGCCTCCGAGAGCGCCGTGTGTCCATGGCCGTCCTCGCTCTCAATATCGTAGTTCTTGTCCAAACAGCTCACAACCGTCTCCACCTCGTTGTCGAACGCAGCCTCCACCAGCTCCGTACTATTGCGCTTGGTCTCCTTCGCGACGCCCAGCAGTTTGGCGAAGTCCGCAGTGTCCGTTGCACCGCCGTCCGACTTGCCGCCTAGATGTACGTGGATGACACACATCTCCTTTGCCGTGGCTGGTGGCGGCGTCTCCGCTCGATACAGCACCACCAGCTTGAAGTGGTCATTGATGATGAACTCGGCCGCGTCCGGGTCGCTCTCGTCCGGCCGCAGCAGCTTGCCGAAGACCTCTGGAGAGAAGAGCTGCTGGCGAGAATACACTTCACGGGGGAAGCTGTCGGGCGCGAAGAACTGCTCAAGCTCCAGAGTCACAAGTGTGTCGAAGTTCACGATGAGCAGAGTGCCGTGCTTCAACGCGCCCACGAGATGGCGACGCAGCGAGTCGGGCGCCATGTCCACCGGGTTGCCAACCATCAGCGTTGTGCCGCGCTGGTACTTGAGGAACCTCGTGGCCTGTCCCGTCGGATCCACCACCAACGGGAACTTCTCGGCCACGTACACGGCCGTGTCCATCGCGTCGGTCAGCTCCTTGAGCGACACGCGCATCGAGCTCGCCGACTCGCCATCGCCATCCCCTTCCAGCTGCGGAGTTGCCATCTCGACCGAAAATGGACGCAATCGTTGTAGTTGAAGTGAGAGAACCCAAAATATAGAAGTTAGAGAGCCCAAAATATAGAAGTGGTACCCAAATTGTACTCAAGTGTGCTGGTACAGATGTGACAAGGGGGAACTGCAGCCTGCGCGATTCAATGGCGTGGCCACACCTATGTATATCACGCGTGCTGAAGCTCACTTTCTGACGCTGGGGCATGGAGCTAAGGATGGCGACATGGGCGATGCACTCCCTGCCTCAGCCCTTCCGCGTTCAGCCTCCCCTCCGCCATGGCAGGAATATTGATTGACAACTACTGCTTCGACATTCTTTCAGCTGATGGGGCACGAAGGTTGTTGTTAGAGGATCTAAGCATTTCCACCGGTTAGACTAAGGCCGTGTTCGAGATGGCACCCAAATAGCTGTTTTGTGCGCATTTGGTGCACAAACTAGCTGCTCTTGAAATTCATGGTAACTTAGAGCTGTTTTCCACGAAGCAGCTATTTCGTCAGAGCTGTAAATTATTTAAAATGCATCTAGTTGGTTTTAGCGAATAGCTCGAAATACGCTATTTCAACTCAAAAATGCAAAACTTTTTTTTTTAGGGGAAAGCCTGTTTCGGGATAAGCTTATCTTAGTTGTCGGAATATCTTTCTTTGGAAAAATCCGTTACAATCCGGTAAATCTAAGGATAGAATACGGATAGATCCCTACCCATAGTTCAAAATGGAGAACTGTAGTTTCTGGAACTATTTCTACTTTTGGGGCTAAAATGGCGCTACTCCAAAACTAGACACTCTGGTATCCGATAGCTACACTGGAGTTAAGTATTGGAGTAGGTATTATATTGTATCCGTTGTATATTTCTGGGTTATTTTGGATAATTCGGATTTTATGTTGCTCCTACTCCAAAATAACTCCAGATAATATGAACTAGGTCAGATGATATTCCAAAATTCGCGCTCTCTAATCGAGGCAATATATTTACATATGTATACTTGCTATTATAATATATACTGTATTCAGGCTTCATCAATATAGGCACTTCATGCTGGGCGCAGTGTCTACGTAAATTCTACTTTTATTTTTTATTAAAAAAACTTTCATAAACATTTTTGGATGGGTACATGGCTGAATCACCTTTTTGCATGTAGTAGATGCGAAAACAACGTAGAACCAACATCATTAAGAAGTATACAAACGCTTAACACGGCAACATAGTTCATGCAATGGGTTGCCAGTGATCTTATAGACCATATTATTGCATTTAATTCGAGTTGCATAGGAGGAAACCTGCAGAAGTGTTTTGTTGAAAGTACTGCTTCCATTATGAAAACGTTTCGTGAAGGATACTTTTGTTAAAGCAAGCACCTATTTAGCGCTGCTTACATGACCACAGCTCTATTTTCGATAGAGTAACGATGGCTTACGATATACTGTAAGATACTTTTGCTACAGTTTTGCTCTAAGTTATTAGAAATATACACAAATCCAGAATTTCTCGGGGCGAAGCACGGCTTTGTATAACATGGCCCATTACTAATCGAAAAAATTACGACCACGCCGCTCGATCGACAGGCTGTCGACGAAAACAGAACCCAAAGACCGCGTCAACATACATCTGCATAATCGCCGCCGCGTCAACGACGGCTCTCCATAATCAACACCGGTGGTTGGACTGCAGGCTGGTCACTTCTGCAAGGCAAGTAGCGCTCAGGAACTTAGTCCTCTAATTCGCAACTTCCTTTGAGGTGCACAACATCATAAATATAAGTGGCCGCGAAAGGGTTGAGTACACAAATCTAGGAAAGTGCGTGCCTATTTAAATAGGCACGCATTTAAATAGGCACGCACTTTCCTAGATTTGTGTATATGTTTTGGCGTCTCAGAATGGCTGCGGAAATGTTCTGTTCTGTAATCCTACAAAATCTTTCTTTAGATCATTTGTTTTTGCTTACTTATGAGTAGGTTCTCTGTCTACTTTACGTTTTGACAAATCGGCTTACATGTAACCTTGTCTGGCTACAGCAATGTCTGCACCTGTAAGTTACTTCGTAACTTGAAGTATCGTATAATACTGTAGGGCATCTGCATCTCGACTACGCTTTGCACACGTTCGTAGCACCGCGACACGACCGTGTACAATGCACACTCCCGTCGTGCAGCTCCCGAAGTCTATCTGGTGGCAGATGCTTTGTCCGCAGAACGGATAGCCGCTGGTCGAGCGTCGCAACAAAGCCAATGTACATGTAGGTATGACAAGATCACTACTTCAATCCTGGATTATTAATCCAAGAGAGAGTTGCTTCATGAAGTTCACGGACAGCAAATGGCGGATTTGTAAGGTATCACAATGTTGCGGTGTTGGCTTCAGAGTGTGAGTTTTTTTTTCCTCGACCGTCCGCTGGAGATTCATTCTCCAATTTTCCTCGAGCTCCACACTTCCAAGCTACAACTCAAGTCACAAGCACAATGAAGGTCGCTATCGGCCTCGTTCTCGCGGTGGTTGCAGTCACAGCGACGACAGCGTCTTCAGCGACGGGTTTGCCCAAGACGTCCTGCAGCAAGAGCCGCAGCGGAGCTGAGTCATGCGATTTCGCATGCCCCGATGTGGAGGACCCCGTGTACGACGAGAACGGCGTCGAATACTCGAACGAGTGCTACATGAGGCAGGCAAAGTGTGAGGGCGACGGCGGCGACAACATCGAGAACCCTGATGTCTCTACGATCGGTGTTTAAACGCAGATAAGCGTTCGCTTTGTAGCCTGAACATAAGCGTTTTGACTGACAAAGTGGGGTCTACTTCTGGAAGCGCACTACGTGAAGTCTCAATAGAACACCTTCTTTTTGATTTTGTTTTTGAGTTGAGGTTCCATTGTTGTCACTTAGCTTATGCGATCGCTAACGAACAGTACGTAGAATGATACTAAAGTGCAGTAAGAGTGCGACGTGAAGTACATATGAACTGGATAACATTTTAAAATACCGACACGCATTTTTCCTTCTCTCTAATCAGCGTAAAAAGTGACGCTGTATCAATACGATAGGAACCACACATGTAGTAGTAGTCACCATCAATCGTTCCGGCTGAGCAGAAGAACCAGCCAATGTCTACCGCGAGGCTGAACCAGAAGAGCCGCACAGCTCTAAGCGCCTTCGAACGCATTCACTTCGCGGTGAGTTCGAGCCATGCCGCGGCTATGAGCGGATCGAGGGCGCCTACTTCCCAGTTCGCATATTAGATCTGCCGCACGTGCTGGAACAAATGGACAGTCTCCTCATGACACCTGAGGAGGCGATTACAGAGGCAGCCAGATCGGGCAACGTGGTGTGGCTGAGGCAGCTTTTGCAGAGCTACAAGATTCATATTCCAGAAGCACTTGTGCCCGCTGCTGCAAACGACCACTTGGAATGCGTGGAGGTGCTGTTGAACGAGTTCTCTGAGGCAAAGAACTGGGAGACGTTGAAGCAGGCAGCCGTTGCCGCTGGTGCCAACGGCAATGCTAACGTCTTGCGGTGCCTTTGGAAAGAGTTCAACCCGACGAAATTTGGCGGCGTTAACACTTGTATCGCTGTTAAACAAGTTTTCGATGACGCAGCAGATCTCGACGTGGTGAAATTAAATTTCATAAATTTTATAGCTCAGGACGCAGTCACCGCAAACTATGACATGAATCCGTCGAGTGCGTTGAGTCTCGCCATAGCGGAACGTGGTGGAATTTCTGTTTGGGTTGGACGGAAGTTGGTGGTATTGGGGCGATGTGCTCATCACTGCAATAGCAACTGGCCAGCACGCTTTCGCGGATCGAGCTATCAAAGTGTATCGCGAGATGAGGAAGGATACACCCTTTTTAGTTCTGCTGACACAATATGAGGGCGGTATCGATGCTATCAAGTACCTACACAGCCATGGTGAAAATGACCCCAAAGTGGTAAGTGAAGCATTTGTTAGCGCAGCAAGGTCTGGGTTCACTGCCACGGTAGAGTTTCTGCTTGGTACCAATCAACTATTGCCAGGAACATTTGACAAGGCCTTGGTGATTGCAGCTATGAGCTCACGGAAAAGTATCGACACGCTGAAATTTCTCTGCAGTAAGGGCCGTGCCACGCAGCAAGCCATTGACAAAGCTTTCACCAGTACAGACCATTCCATGGCCGTCAAGTTTCTTTATGAGAACGAACGCGTCTCCGACAAGGCGATCGTTGCAGCGCTTAAGAAAGCTTCCGGCTGGGGAAAGATATGCATCAACTTTTGTTATAATGCCAATCGCGAGATTACAAAGGCATTGTGCAAGGATAGCTGCATAGGCGACCCGGAGCATTCGCACCGGGAGAGTACACAGGTCGAATTAATCGAAAGTTGACCTCTGAAACTGGTATTTATCAGCAATATGGCTCGATCTCAGCGAAACATGATCAAATCGCAAGTTAATCTTGTATGCGAACCCGACTTGGAGCCATTTCTGTTAATAAGGCTTCAGAAATCAATCGATGAACATTACAGTAGCAGGATAACGTCACTGGCAAGAATGAATAGTTGCTAAAAATCGTTTGCTGACAGTCGACTAAGTTGAGTTCTTGAACTACGTCAAGAAGATACTGAGGACGACCAGTGTCTCATTTTGGCCTCAAAACTGACAAAAATTTTCTGCCGGCCAAGCACAGCTCTTCGAATACCAGGTGAGGTGGTCGGCAGGACGCTCGTGCATGCCGCGTTCCGTGGCCAAGCTGTTGAAATAGCGGCATTGCTGCGCGACGACACTCACATAACCGCTGAGCTGAAGGGACAGGCCCTTCGCGGCAGCCGCCATGAGCGATAGCAGTGCCTTAATGGTATCGTTGTTCGACAAGAAGCAAACCCCTCCAGATGCGATTTGGATGGCGTTCAATGCGCTTCCTGCCCCTGTTGGCGCCAGCACCTCAAGAAGTTAGTGGAGCTGGTTTTCGCCGACAAGGGCGTGCCACGAGAGCTCAAACACTGGATCATACTTCAAGCGGATGAAGATCAAGACCTGTTTATTCTGGAGACACTGCAAAAGAGTGGGGTGGAGGACTGGCCGATCACCAGCATGGCGAAAGCGGAAACATCGGATGCGATTCGCAGTTTCATTATCGATAATCCACACTCAAGGTTGAGCTGTCCTGTTGTGTGTGTTTGGATATATTTCAGCATTAGGAATAGTTGAAGTGTTGTTGAAGTGAAAGTGTCCAATATATAGACAACCCATTTTTATCGTTTAGGAGTATCGGAATATCCAGGGGTAATTTATCCGTAATCTATCCAGATTTTATCCAGATTTTCCTTGCCAAACCGGAGATTTTCCAACAACCAAAGTTTCTGATGTCGTTCTTCGGGTATCGGAGCTCCTCGAGCCGCGCGGCGCAGCAGGAGACGCACCTGAGCGAGCTCGAGCGGCTGTACGTACCGCACTGCGTCTTGTTCCCCGTCGTCTGCTCTATCTAACCGCCAATTGCCGCGCTCTGGATGCGCTTGTGGGCCGCAGGAGGGGGCGTCAACTCGCCAGCCTCGTGCGCGCCGGTGGCCGAGCCAAGAACCAGCACCAAACGACCTTCGATGTGCCAGTAGCCGACACGCCGCGCGGGCCACTCACTTTGCAGCTGTAAGCGGCTTATTGCACGGCAAAACAAGGCTTAAGACATTGCAGGGATCGCTAAAACTGTGTCCATCCTCCGTGTTCTCCATGTAGCCAGCTGCCGACCGAGTTCCCCGTGAAGGTTCCTCGGCTCAAGGTGAAGAGCGCCAGTTGGTGCAATACTGCAGTGCTATGCAGAGTATTATTTGGCTAATGAGCGCGTTGTTACGCACTATTAGGCGTCGATCCCGGTGCAGCATCGGTGGCTGGATGCGGCGGGCAATGTGCAGGGCCACCCGGACCTGAACAAGTGGACGGCGCACTCGGATCTGGGGCGGATTGTCACGGAGATTGTCACGGAGCTTCGAGTTGTGGCCAGCAGTGCGTCGGCTAGCAAGCCGCCAGTATCTCCGGCGAGGAGCAACTCGCCGGCGCCGTCGTTGGGGCAGTATCCTGGGTCAAGAGCCAGCAGCAGCTACGCGTCGCCTAGCCGGCCGTCCCCGCAACCTCAGATCCAGCAGCCAAAGCAGCAACAGACGCCAGATACTAGTAAGATGCAGCGCACGCAGATGCCCGTCATCCCCGCGGTGTTTCCAGAGCTGGAGGAACTCTCGTACGTTGAGGAGACTGGTTTTGCGTTGGATACGGGTGCTAAGCTAATATCTTGGTGTTGCCTTTTGGACGCGCGTAGGCTTGCAGAACTTGAGAAGCTGAACTCGGACAAGCGCGCGCTGAAGAGGTTCGTGAAGGAGTTGACTTCGGTCAAAGAGTTCACGCAGCTGCGAGACGAGGTTCTGCACAGCAACATGGGCATCGCCAAGACAACACTCGGCTACGAGAGCGAGCTGCGCGAGCTCCAACAAGTCGTCGAGGCACAGCGAGCAGAGCTGCGCGCAGCACAGCAGGCTCTGGCAGAGAAGCAGGCCAAGCAGCAGCGCATCGTCGCGGTGCGTACAGCCCATCAACTAACTGTCAGTCCTCATCGAGTCCTAACCAGTTATGATATCGTTGCGCAGCGCCATCGACCAGACGCGTTGCTGGAGCAGCTCTCCGCAGCCGCGAAGGACGTGGACAACGAGACGGACGAGATCGCCACGCAGTTCGCGCATGGCGACATCGACGTGGCGCAGTTCATCTCGACGTACCTGCCGCAGCGCAATCTGTACCACGAGCGCACTCTGAAGCTGGCGCGGGTGCACCAGCACTAGATCAAGAGGATCAGCCAAAGATCGCACGGTCTCACAAGATGAAGCTTAAGGTGATGATGATGGAGAATGGATAGATATTTTGCGGTGCTTTATAGCTGCGACGGCCGTTCTCGCGTGGTGAAGTATTGACGTGCTGCTCTTCAGTTGCGGAACTTCCAGTCCTGGCGACACATGGGGCAGTGCTGGCGCATGGACTGCAGCGACTCGAGCCACTTCATGAGGCAGTGCATGTGGAAGGCGTGGTTGCACGCGCCCCACACGGGCGGGCAGCCGTCGCCCGGCATGGCGCAGTCCGGGCAGCACGCCTCGAACGCGTAGCGGCAGATGCCGCAGCACTCCTCGTCCACGCCCCACGTCCACGTCGCCACGCCGTGCCACCTCTTGATCGTCACCTTCATCTTGCAGCAATGCACTCCAACAATATACGCACCTTCTGTCACGTTAAGAACTGTCTAACAGACTGGACAGTCCGAAAGACAGTGTCTACGTGGCCTCATTATCCTTCGGAGCTCTTGGGGGAGACTGCGGACATGGCTGCGCGTCGGCTGCTGCTGCCCCTGCTGGCGCTCTGCAGCGTGGCGCTGACCGCTCTATACGTGGCGGACGTGGTGCGCACCAAGCAGCTCGAGTCGGCGTGCGAGATGACGTGGTCCTGGCCCGTGTACTCGCCCGTGACGTGGCGCTCCGCCCCCAAGCACGCCAAGTACGGCCTCTTCCGCGTGGACATGAAGGTCGAGCGCCAGGCGCTGGGCGGCGTGCCCGTGCTCTTCGTGCCCGGCCACATGGGCAGCTACAAGCAGGCGCGCTCGCTGTCGCGCCACCTCTGGGACGCGGACGAGACGCTCTTCGACCTGTTCGCGCTCGACTTCAACGAGGAGCCCACGGGGCTCAGCGGGGACTTTGTGGCCGAGCAGGCGGCGTTCCTCAACGACGCAGTGAGGTCCATTCTGAGGGAGTACAAGCGCCAGAGCAAGAGCAAGAGTAAGAAGAACAAGCAGCTGGTGATCCCGGACAGCGTCGTCGTTGTGGCCCACTCCATGGGCGGCATTGTGGCCCGCACGGCGGAGCTGCTGCCCAACTACAAGCGCCGCTCGATCCAGCACGTCGTGGCTCTGGGCGTGCCCTATGAGGCGCCTTCTTTCCCGTTCGACGCGGAGATGAACGCGCTCTACGAGCGCATGCAGACCAAGAAGACGAGGAATGATGACGTGGTGTACGTGTCTGTCGCTGGAGGACACAAGGATACGCTCGTGCAGACGTCGTTGACGGGAGTGGACACGGTGGCGGACCCGTCGAGGGCCTTTGTGGCTCTGGCGTCGGCCATCCCGGCGGTGCACACGCCTGTGGACCACTTCTGCTTGTTGTGGTGCCATGAATTGCTGAAAGTTGTGGCGGAGAGTCTGTACAAGGCGGTGGATCTGGAGACCAGGGAACTCGTGAGTGACCCGAGTGTGAGACTTGCAGTTGCCAAGGAGGTGCTGATTGGAGGAGGTGCCGTTGATGCTGTGGAGAGCGAGATCGCGCTGAATGTTTCGCTGCACCGCAGCTACGTGCAGGATGGCTACTACCCTGGCGAGTATGCGCAGTATGCGATGATTCTCCCGCAGTTCTTGACGAACCTGCTGCGCACGCGGTTTATGACCATGATCGTCATCATGTACGCGCTGGCGCTGCAGATTTTCTACGCCCAAGTCGCGCAGTGGCAGAGCCGTTTTAACCTGCAGTCGACGTCGTCGCCTCAAGACCTGAGTCAAGACAACTTCCCGTCGTTCACGTCCATGCTGCACCCTGCGGCACACGTTCCTGCTTTCGTGAAAAACAGCATGACTTTGGTCTCGGACGCGTTGCACGGAAGATCGTTCTTGGGGTTGAGCAAGACCACAACAGCGGTGACTGCGGTGCTTACGCTCGTGTTGGCGGCTGTGGCGGGATACTTTGGCTACAGCAAGGTTTTGTCTGACAGCGGCAGCGTGGTCGCTCCTGCTACGACTGTCGCTGAGGTTATTATCCTGTACGCCTACGCACTGGGTTTGCTGTACGCGATCACGAAGCTGTTCTCGCTCCTGCAGCGGTTTATTGTGTCACCGATCGTATCCGTTCTGGAGAGCGTCACTGATCGAGTTAACCTTCGTCGATGGATGATTATCGCAATTATCCACGGACTTGCTCAACTTCTTGGACAACTCAACGGCTCGGCTTCGTCGAAGGTGTTGGCGCTGGCAGTCCTCGCATCGTTCGGCGTGTTTATCGTGTACTTGCTTGCGCTGGGCGGAAATACCGATGGCACGTCGGATCCGCAACGCATGAAGCGCTCGCTATTCGCCGTGCTGCTGCTCTCCATTTTCCCATGGGTAGGAAAGGTGGCATACTTTGCCAGCATTGTGCGATGGCCGCGCTCGGAGCTCTCGAATGATCTGCTGGTTGAAGGTGGATCCTGCATCACCGTTTTGAGCCTGTTCACGTATGTCATCGGCCTATCGCTGGACTGCATGATTCCGCTGCCTCCGACGGCTTTCTTTGGTGCGTCGTCGGGACAAGATGCAGCATCAGTGTACGGTAAATCATCTAGCAGTTCCGGAGCCAGCGTCAAGATCACGGCTGAAAACTGCCCGAAGTGCATCTTCGAGGATGGTGGACCTGGAGCCATTCTGGAAGAATACAGCGACCGCACCACTCGCCGTGTCGTGGCGGGTAAGACTGGCGAGGTGGTGTATGTTGGCCCCACGTTCCGGGTCGTCTCATGCGATTGCGTGTACCGATTCAAGAACTCGCGGGATTTCTGCGACTTCTGTGTGCGGTCTTGCCGCCTGTGCGGAGGCGGCAATGGCAACTTCCAAGAGGCAGCCAAGTACAAGGACTTCTTGGAAGAGAGCAAGGTGGACTTGGCCATGCATGCTCTTGTTCCGATGGTTTTCCAGATTTGCGCCGCAGTTCAGGCCACCTACGGCTTGTATCGGGCTCACCTATCGTTCTACCTCACGCCGGTGTGTGTTCTAGCGCTGATCATCTATCACATCGTTCTTCGCCACCCCATCGAGGCGCGGCGGATCAAGAACAAGCAGCGCAACAAAACCAAGAAGAAAAAGTCGTCAAGCAAGTCGAAGAGCAAGTCAACCACGACCACTACGACGACGACGACCTCCAGCTCTACCACCAGCACCAGTACCACCAGCGAGGCCACCTCTCGCAACAAGAAGAAAAAGAAACGCAAATCGGGAACGTCGTCTACTTCCTCTGCCTCGTCACCGCTGATAGAAGAGGTCTCTACCTCGTCCTAGAACGTCTCCTATCCATTTAGATAGACTTCACGACTACACTGTTTCAATGTACTCGTTCGTACACACGCTTTACTTCTTCTTCTTGGCCTTGACATCCTTCCCGTATGTCACGTTGCAGTACTTGGCGTTGATGCGGTACTTGGTGCTCAAGTACTCCAGCACCTCGTTCACCATCTGCCCATGGATCTGGATCTCCTCGCCCTTGCTCTTGTCTTCGGACGTCTGCACAGCGGCACTGCAGCCCCACTTCTTCTGCGCCTCCTTAGCGAATGCAGCACCATCGATGCCGAACTGCTGGTAGAACGCCATGCAGGTCACGGTAGTGTTGTTCCGGCGCTTGAGTTTTTCAGCGTGAATCGCAATCGGACGGAGATTGCCGCCGTGGAACTTGGCAGCGTGAGTCGGGAAGAGCTTGATGCGGTGGTAGCGTGTGCACTTGGCCAGCAGCAGGTTCAGAACCTCGGGACGTGCGAGACGGTCGGGATACCCACCTGCAGGTGCCTTCTTGCCGTACAGAGCGTCCGTCAGCGGACCGTTCAGCCGCACAAACTTTTTGTTTCCAGCGTCCACAAGTCCTTGGCTCTCCACGTACTGGTTCACCAAGTCACGGATGTCAGCAGCCGACCAGTACTTTTGCAGCGGTTGACCAGCAGCAGTGTTCGGCAGAATAGATGGGAGAAGTGTCTTGAGTGCTGGGGACAAACCGATACTCTCCTCCACCTCGGGAGCGTACTGGCCGGGGACGAAAGCGGGGAGACCAGCAGCCTTGTTCGCAGCGGCCAGTTCTTCCTGCTGAGCTTCCTCCGCGGTCTGATAGACCTCGTGCGACAGAACATCCCTGCATAAGGAACACAATGCACAGCGGTAAGTCTAGAGCATTCCTTTCAATTCCTCTGAGACGTCGAGTGATGATTTACGTACGGATGGCGTCGGGAAATAGCAGTGATCGACTGCACGCCGTCGTTATCAGCCACAGCGAGCAGGCCATGTGCTGCCATACCCTTCAGAAACACCGAAAGTTTCTTGAACGAGCTGTGCTTGATATTCAGCGACACACCGGCCCGGCGGCAAGGCAGCAACACGTTCGCGTGGAACGAGCTGGCTAACATCGGCAGCCCCTTCTCACGAATGCGCCCGGTCCTCAGTGCCTGCAGCAGCGCAGCCACATAGTAACTGTTCATCTGCTCTTTCGTCACTTCCTCCTCTTCCTCTTCCACCTTACTCTCCTCATCCCCATCCTGCTCCTTTTCCTCCTCCAACTTGACTCCGTTCAAGCTCACCCCAGCATCGTCTTCCGAGACTTCTTCATCACTATCTTGCTCGCCTCCAACGGGAACCACACGGTCACCTACGAACCCCTCGTTTGGCAGCGTCTGCGGTCCCATCTGCCACAACGAGTCCCCCACAACGTGCCAGAGCTTCAGAGCGCGCCCCTTCTTGCCGCTGCGCTCCACCTCAGCCGCATCCACCAGCATCTCACCCACGCCAATGGCGCAAGGGTTGCCTCGAGCGTACACCGCTCGCAACTCGCCCTTCTTCAGCGACTGCAGCTGCTCCATCGACGTGAATACGACGCCCGGCAGCATCACGTCCGCTCCTCGCAGCACGAACTCACTCACAGGAGCGTGCACCACCAGCGGGGGCAGCAGCGACGGCGCCCGCCACAGAGCGTACACACTGAAGCACAGGTCGCCCTTGCCCGAGACATCGAAGATCAGAGGTTCCTTGGTCTCCTCCGCGGCGTACACCACGACCCGAGACGGCGCCTGGAAGCTGATCTTCTTCACCGCAGCCTGCAATAAATAATAACGAAACGACGTCAGGGGGTGGATGCACTTTGATGTCAAGAGCTACGATAACAGGTTTTTACTTGCTTACCTTGGAGGCGAGCAGCTCCTTGAGATTGGGGTCGTCGGGGCCGTCGCAGGAGCCCTTGAAGCAGTCGGCCACGTCGCGTCGGAGCTTCTTGGCGTCTTTGTTCTTGAGCAGCACGTTGCCGCTCACCTTGGCAGGCTTGGCGAACATGATGGCTGCGCCTCGGTGTGGTCTCTGCTTGGCTGCTGTGTGCAATAAAAATGTAGCCATGTTTAATCGCATACTTTCTGCCAATCAAATATGGTTATCGACCACTTCAACTTGTACCCATGTTGCTGTGTTGCTCCTGTTCATCTAACGTTATTCACTATTCACATTATGGGTAGTTTAGTTTTAAATACGCGACGCATGTGATGCAGTCATACTCGAGTCTACTATCTAAATGATGACCACGGAGGACCGGGTGGAGCCCCAGCCGCTCTCGAAATTCACGTTGGCGCTGCTGTCGGTCTCGAGGTCGAGCTCCACATCCTCGTCGACGTCCGAGACGTTCACCCCAGTCGTCACGCCCGACTCCATATCCTCCCAGTTGCCACTGGTGGCGTAGTCCTCGAACTCGTCCGTCTCAGCCAGCGACGGGTGGCTCTCGTGAGGACGCAACTTGCCGGTCGAGATGCTCTCCTCCATGATGGCGATCCACTTCTTGTTGCGTCGGAAGCGCCGCTTTTGACCCCGTTCCGCCGTCTCAAGCCCTCGTCCAAGCTTCCGGCAGCTGCACGCAGGCAGCTCTGCACTTGCACGATGACACGCGGTCGTCGAGCTCCGCTTCTTCTCAGCAGGCGGGGAGAAGCAGCGCGTGGCAACAGGTGAATCCGTCGCACGGCGCCGATTCTTGCTTGAGATGTGGCGCTGACGAGCACTCAACGTGAGCGGCATCCGCTCGTCAGTGAAGTCTGCACTCACGGTACTCGAGGGTGTTCGAAAAACGCTGTCGGGCGTGGCTGGCGCGTACAAGTCTAGGACGTCCGAGTCGAAGTAAAACAGCTCAGACGACCTGCGGAACGATTTCTGGTGCTCCGTGTGGTGCAGGAAGCCCGCGCTCATGAGCGAGTTGCCCACACGATACGCTTCTGAGGCCGAATCCACGTAGTCGAGCTCGAGCATTCGCTGCATGAGAACTTGGCCGTTCACTTTGGATGGAGTTTCCGCGCGTTCAAGCGCGGTGGCCAAGCCCAATGCCGTCTGCGCGCTGATCTCTTGCTGGAGCGTCTCGAGTGCCGTGAGAATGTACGTTGCAGACGGTCGTCGTTCTGGTTGCTGGTGCCAAGCTTCTGTTAATAATCGACGGAGTTCAGGATGAAGTGATGGACTGAGCGGTGGTCGTTCGCCACTCAATACACTGTCGAACACTTGAAGATGGCTCCGTGTCGCCTCCGGGTACTTGGAGCCGAGAGGGTGGGCGATGTCCCACAACGTTATGGCAAGTGAGTAGATATCTGCAGCTTCACCATAGACGGCAGTGCCAGCCTTGCCCTCGATCAGCTCTGGAGCCATGTAATCTGCAGTTCCCCGTACAGTCATGGCACTTCGACCGCGAACGCGCATGGAAGGCCGCAGTGATACAGGTGGTGGTACAAATTGGTTCGCGGTAGTCGGGGTCTGGACACCCATGTATGACTCTCCAAAGAGCACCGTTGCTGTCGATGCTGCTGTCGTGGAGCAATCTTCCGTAACAGGTTTCAACTTGTCATTCTTCTGACCGGTTGGAACACTGCGAGACTCGCCAAAGTCTGTCAACTTGCAGGTACCATAGTCGTCCACTAGGAAGTTCGACGGCTTCAGATCACGGTGGAGGAATGCAGGCGTGAAGCTGTGCATGTACACAACTGCGCGTGTGGCGTCGATCATGTAGTTGAGGTCGATCAGTAGCTGCTGACGCTGTTGTAGCCGCTTGTCCTGGGGGATTTTACCTTGCTCAATATCTTCCTCTTGACTTTGTCGATGTATTAGTCGCAGTCTTGCACTAGCGCGAGTGACATCTTCGAGGGAGGCTTGACATAGCTCCGAAATGAGGCACACAGTTGGCGGGCAGACGCACATGCCGTAAAATCGGACGACATTCGGGTGGTGAAGAGCTCCACACAACGCAGCTTCGTGGGAGAACTCGGCCACCACATCTTCTGTAAGTACGCGCGGCGTGTACACTTTGACAGCTACTGGGATCTTGGAGTGGAGGGTGCCTCGAAACACTACCGCACTCGCGCCTTGACCGATCTTCCGCTGCAAGGCCAAATACGCAAAGTCAATAATCTGCTTCCGATGCATCTCGATGAGCACGTGAAGTCCGCGCGATGACACGCGCTCGTGGAGGTAGTGATACTTCTGTCGAAATAGTGACTGCAGGTGCACTGCGCGTCGTCCCAGTCCTCTCCAATGTGCGGTATCAGCCTTGAGTACTCGCCAAATGACCACGGGACACAGCGACCCCCAAAAGATACAGGCGACGCGCACAGTGAAGCAGACGTCTGAGAAGTGAGGACCCTGGTACGACAGCTCCGTGTAGCTCAACCGCAGAACGTAGTAGATCCCCACGAACACTGCATACTCCCGCAACGTCTTCTGGCTCGCTCGGTCCGATTGTCGTAAGCAGATCCATCCAAACACCAGCAATGGCATCGCTCCAGTCACGAGAGAGAGATAATGTCCTGTCCCGGTGTCCGCCAGCAGCCCCACGATCGGGATATTGTACGTCGCCAGTAGCAGCGACAGCAGCGCCGCTCGAACCAGCGCCCTCGTCGTCACCGCCTTCTGCTGCAGATACAGCACCGGCAGCGCGATCACAAAGAGCCGTCCGCTGTAGAAGGACTCGGACATCACACGTCCAGACACGCCTTGGATCCGCCCCAGCACCAGCAGTATAGTAAAGCACGCCGTGTACAGGAATGACACGGCCGTCAACAGCCACAGCAGCGGCTGAAAGGCCGGCAGTAGCACTCTTCTTGCAGCTCTTGAGTCTCCTCTTAGAGCTCCGGATCTGTGGTGCCGCATGTAGACCACGAGCCACGCGCAGAGCGCGAACATGGTGCCGTAGCCCAGCGCCATGGCCCCCAGCAGCAGCCGGACCCGCAGCATGATCGAGCTCATGGACCTCCCGCCGAGGCCTCGTCCGTTCGACTTGTGATTTTAGGTGGGTAGGTAGGTGGGTAGGAAGTTCGTTAGCAGAAGCTATAGGCGGTGGATATCTCTCGCGCCCTCGCGCGCGCGCTGGCCTGTCGCCGCCGCGTTTTCTCCGGCCTCGTTGCCAGTCCCGCGCAGGCCGTTTTCCCCCCTCTCGTGCTCTCTGTGTCTCTTCGTTCCAGCAGGACGGAGCGCAGGCACGCACTCGGCCTCATGGCTCCAACTGAACTCAACTCAACCGCCACCTAACGCTAATACGCGGAATCTGATTGGTTAAGCAGGTCGAAGCTGCTGTAACGGCCATGATATTTAGCGATATATTTGCTGAGTCAACCAACGAACGACTGGCGCGCTTAGAGCTTAGAGCAGCGGCTCGACGTCGTTCCAGTCCACCGTGGCGCGGGGCCACTTGGTGCGGATCACGAGGTTGAGCGGTGGAATGAGGTCGTCGTGGCTCGCGACTGCGCTCGGCTGCTCAGCCAGCGCCAACGTGTCGACGGTCAGGCGGATCTCCTCGTCCTGGTTGGCGAGACCGTCGTAGTAGAGCAAGTCGACGGTGGACTGGGACTCCAGGGAGCGATCCTCAAGTGCTCTAGGCTCGGCGGCGAAGAGCACCGAGTAGTGCGACTCGCTGCAGACCACCCAGATATTCACGCGCGGCTGCTTGAGGTGCGAGCCCACGACCAGGTTCTGGTAGGCCTCGAACAGCGATAGGAAGCCGATCTCCGATTGGGACGAGATGCCGCGCAGCACGATGGCATCGGGGTCCGATGCACTCGCTCCTTCCAACACTTGGTCGCCGTCGAACACGTTGCTGCGCGCGCGGCCGCACAGCAGGAGGTTGACGATCTCCTGCGTGCAGTAGTCGTGCGCTCCGATCAATTGGCCACCTGACTCAAGGGCGAGTTGGTCCATCTCGCTCTTGATCGTCTCGACACCTTTAGTGACTAGTACGGAGACGACGAACTGCACGAGGCCGGAACCTGTGGATTCCATGAACTGCGGCAAATGAGCGGTGAATATCTGCCGGGCTTGGTCTTCGGAGGTGGCGACGTGCAGCTTCAAGCCGGCCATGAACTTGCGCTGGCCGCCTCCATTGTTGTCTTTCACGGCAACGACGCACTCAGCTGGTGTGTGGTTATCGCCTCGAGAAGTCTGTGCAGCTTCCCAGAGGATGTGGGCCAACGCCTGCACCAACGCGCGCTCTTGGTGAGGGACTCCAGGCTGTGTCCGACAACACAAGTCACATTTTCGTTAGTGTTCCGATGTTCTCGAGTTTCAGTAGTAGCTACAGAAATGATATACTCACGTTCTTCCAGTCGACTGGAGCGTGCTGTAGAAGGAAACGCAGCACGTAGCCCTGCACTACTGCCAAGATACCACATGGGCCACCCTGGTGCTGAACCAACCCGTACTGGAGATCGCGCACCGTCGAGAATACGAACCCCTGAGTAATACCATTGCAACCGCACGCCAAAGAGATGGTTAGCCACAGAGAACATCGTGCGATGAAGGTTTTCACCGCCAACATTATACTTTACCACGACTTGGGCGTGAGACTCACCTGTTCGTCCCAGTGACTGCTGAACGCTTTCTTGTTTGCTCCAAAGAGTAGCTGCTGCACGGCCGAGACGTCCGAGGCGGTTGGAATTCGCGTGGTGCCGCCAGTAAACGAAGTGCCGATGTTGCTAGTTGCCCGGGCGGGTCTGCCTTTCGTCGGCTGATCGAGAAGCAGGCCCATGTCCTCGCAGTCTTCGACCTCAAGCATATCGGATACTATCGGAGCGCTCTTGGCCTCTCGTGCTGCAGCTCGACGGGATACAACGAAAGCTGTCGGTGCTTCTTCCAAAGCCTTCGATACTGAGGAATCTGCGTTGGATGGCATGTCGTCTGCGTCTGGCTCAGTGTTCTTGTTTTCATTTGCAGGCTTTGAATCGATTTTGGCGTCAGTTGGGTCAGTCTCGTCAGAATCGGCTTTGCTGCTTGAGCGTTTACGACGAGGTGACGCCTTCTTTGCTGCTGCACTGGTTTGCTCCTGCTTGAGCTCCTTGTACTTGAGATAACAGTGCTTTTTCGTTTTGGCATTCCCCACAAGCGACGCAATTTGCTTCCATCGGGCGTTCTTGTCCTCCACGCCACTTGTTTTCTTGATCGCCTTCTTCAACGAACTGATCTCGTCCTTCGTCCATTCCATTGCAGCATCCGCCTCGCCATCTTTGGAGCTGGATCGTCGTCGACTGCTCGACTCTTTATTGTCACTAGCTGTGCTGATCAAGTACTCGAGTAGGCATCCACTCCCATCGGTGTCTTTGTCTTTCTTCTTCAACTCCATGTCGTTTGAAAAGCGCTCGCTCGCAATAGCCGACGCATGAGTACCAGACGTCTTCTCCATGAACGCATCGAGTGCGCGGGGGCAGTTCCAGCTCTTAAGACAATCCATAACCACCAGCTCCGCCTGACGAGTAACATCAACTGCGGCATCCTCCATGTCAGCAGCACTCTTGGGAATCTTGGCCTTAACAGAGATGGTTGACAACTGAGACCAATGCTACTGAGTCTCTAGCAACCACTGCTACGCTGGCGGGCCCGCCGCAACTGCTACACCACCCTTCACAAAGCAAGGTTCCAACTATTTTTGCGGGAAACAAACCGAGTTATCTGCACCTAGTCTGCACCTGATCAACCGACAAGGAGCTCAATCCCACAAGGAGAGCAACGGCAGCAACTTCGAAACAGCCTTGCAGGTATACAAAACGCACACTTCATTAAAATATCGCCAGCATCCTAAATCTCCAACAACACATTCGTCACGCCCTCATCCGTCCAGTATACGAGCTCGTTGCTTCATGCGGCCAAGGTCAAGGGAATATGTCCAATATACGATTGAATCCAAGCGTAACTGATCAAACAACCTCGGTTAGGACGCACGATGAGAACGCTCCACTCAACACACAAAACGTACCACGGCGTCCGACATGAAGAACGAACTTGCACGACTTGAGTCATCGAAGAAAAAATTGACGGCGCCTTTATCGAATGCTCATGACGCTCGACAGCGACGAACTGCTCAGCTCAGCAGTGCTTGAGCCGGCCTTCCGTGCTTTGCGGTTGGGACCGAATACCTTCCAAAATCGTAGAGTTTCATCGGCTGCGCCGGAAACCACCGTTTCTCCATCAGGCGAAGCTGCCAAGTGCAGCACACGAGAGGTGTGGCCTGTGAGTTCCTTTACCTTGGTCATGCTGGGGTACTTCCACAGACACAGCTCGTTTTGCGAGTATCCATGCGACGACAACAGCTCCTTCTCCGTCGTCGACCAAAGCAGCGAGCACACCTGCGATCCTGTGTCGACGGAACTTAGCATCGCTCCGTTCGTTGTGTTCCAAAACTTGATCGTGCGATCAGCAGTACCGCCGCCCGTGGCAAGCAGGTTGCGCTCCCACGGGCACCACGCAATCGCCTTCACTGCGGCTGTGTGCTGTTCTAACCGGTGCGCAGGGGTCTGCATACTGCGGCTACTGCCAATGCTGCCGGCCTTCCACAGACACAGAGCGTTGTCGTTGCCACCTGACGCTAGCATAGTACCATCGGGAGACCACTGCAGTCCGCACACTTCCTGTTCATGGCTCGTCAGCGTCGAGAGCTGGTGCTGCCGTGCGCGAACATCGTGGTGGATGATAGTGCTGTCACGCGACCCCGACGAGAGCACGTAGCTGTTCCATGCCAGCGCGCCCACGCGCGACGAGTGTCCGTTCATCGTTCGGACCTGACGCGATGCCGCCACATCCCACAACTGCACCACCGACTCGCTAGTTCCAATAGCCAGATGCGCCGATCCACCGGCCGCATCACTCCACTGCACGGAACTCACGTACTCGTCTCCATCAAGGGCCATCAGCTCGTCGATCTCACCAGAAACCGCGTTCCAGAGGTACACACACTGGCCCAGAGCCACCGCCAAGATGTTGTTGGCCCCCCACGACAGCAAGTTGAGGTAGTAGTCATTCATCAGCTCCGGGGCGTCCAGCACCTTGATCGGCGCCGAGGGGACGTGGCGGTTGAGCTTCTTCGCCGCCGCCGCGGGCACTGCGCTCACCTTATTGTGCGAGAATCTGGCCTGCAGCGTGGACTTGAACGAGTCCGGGGGTGCCACGGCCGGTTTGGCCTTGCTGAACTTGAGGATCTTGTGGTTCGAGTCGTCCTCCTTGCCCAGCAGGGCACTGGCCAGCCTTTTCTTGTAGATCTGCTTCTCCTCGTCCTCCGCTGCGCTGCTACCGGCGCCTGAGTTGCCTCCTGTGCGGCTGGGGCTGGCCTTGTTCCTGTTGGTGGCAGCCTCGATGGCTGCCGCAGTGTCGGGCGAGTTGCACTGCACCAGGTCCAAGTTCATGGCGCTGCGCGTGGGGATGAAGCGGTCCGACGCCTAATAAATGACCAAAACCACACATAATGAGCCCAATAAGCCTCCGTTTTAGGGCGGAAAAGCACGAGTGCGCTGCTACTGACGCTCTTGTTGCTGCTGGCGCTGCAGCCGGAGCCGGAGGAGGCGTCCTTCTTGCTCTTCTTGGCGCTGGGCACGCCCAGCGCGCTGCTCTTGAGGCTGCTCGAGGCCTTGCTGGCATCTGGTTCCGCGGCGTTGTGCGAGCGCTTGCGCGAGAGGCTGCGGCTCGGGGGCGGGCTCACGAGCAGGGAGGAGGAGGACACGCGCTCGAGGCGCCGCACTTCCGCGCTGGGGCTCGCCATGGCTTGCTAGAGAGAGACCTGCGTGCTATTGACTGCCGTGGAGGTGGACTGGCCCCGAGTTGGGATACCTACCTACGGAGAATGTGGAAGTGGCGTGAGGTTGGTAAACAGAGGGATTTCGAGGGAAACAGAGGGTATTTTATGGATGGATTAAACGGAAGAAGGTCATTATATTGGCGTTGACTGCCTTGATTGACGAACCTTTCAAATATTCAAACTCAAAACTTTAAATTCAGACCGCGCCTGTTTCTGCTCAATGTACATGATGTGGTGCACATGAACTGTACCAAAAAGCTACATAAATTCTAGAACGGTACCAGGTACCCTGGTGAAGCTGACCGACCGACCCGCCAAGCGGCATTTGGTCATCTTGTGGCAGACGCACACCACTTCGACGCTCCTCCGACCCGCCAGAACGATGGAAAACACCGCCGAGCCCGCGCCGACGGCCGCCGAGTCCTCTGCGCTGCACTCCAACATCAAGACCAAGGGCACCAACAGCTACTACTACGCGCACAAGAAGCGCGAGAACGTGGAGATCCACGAGTGGGACGGCAAGGCGGCGCCGCGGCTGCTCAAGACGCAGTCGCTGACGGCCGCTGCGCCCGCGGAGGTGACGATGACCATCACCAACTACGCGTGGGCCGACGGCAAGAAGCGCGTGTCCGTGTACCTGACGCTGCCGGGCATCGGCGCGCAGAGCGAGGAGGACACGCACATCGACTGGACGGCCACGAGCCTCACGGTCAAGATCAAGAACTACGAGGGCAAGACGCGCCTGCTGTCGGTGCCCAAGCTCTACGACGAGATCTCGGACGTCAAGACCAAGCGCAAGGAGGACCAGCTCGTGCTGCAGCTCGTCAAGGCCAAGGAGTTCAGCTGGCACTCGCTCAAGAAGGACGCGTAGACGTCATCTGCCGTCTCCGCCCCGTGAGAGAGCACAACATGTAATTAGAACAGACAAGAAATGGCGTCGTACGCTACGGGCGGCACAGAATCTGGAACACGGTACTCGTTTTTATCTATCTCGGCGTTGTTGGGTCTCTATCTTGCCTTATTCGTACCTCACGTCTGTGGTGTAGAGAATTTCGCTGGCGTCGTCCACAAGTTGAACACGGAAGTGCGTCCGTGTCATGTGCACCGACATGAAGCCATGTGTCATGTCCGCGTGAACTAGGTCCGGATTTGCGCGGGCGTTCGGCTGCAAGCCGTGGATCCGATAGCCACCGGCACCTGAGATGAAGAAGTTGCGGACCGAATCGTCGGTGTCGTTCACCTTGCGGACGTGCTGCATCGAGTGGTCGTGGCCATTGAAGTATGCGTGGACCTTGTACTTCTGCAGCATCGGATCCAGCATGTCGATCAGCTCGGGCGTGTCGGCGTTGCCAGCGAAGCTGTACACGCCCCAATGGCCCATCACGATCGTCCACATTCGTTCCACGCCCGCAGGTTTGCCTGCGCTCAACGTTTGCTCGATCCACTCGTATTGCGACTGTCGGGTTTTCGCCGAGGACTGCTGATTCATGCGCTCAGTGCAACGGAAGTCTCGAGGTTCACGGCCGCAAACCAAGTCGCAAGCGTCAATGACCACGAGCCTCAAGATCGTTTTCGGGGCCACAGGACGGTCAACCGAGTAGTATCGGCGTGGCATGTACCACAACGAATCCTTCTTCTCGGCGTACTGAAGCATCGCGTCGACTGATCCTTCGCAGTCGTGGTTTCCAATTCTGTCGACGAATAAGCAATCTTAGTCTTAGAGTTTCATGCATTTCAAGGATACCAAGAGCAACAAAACATCACAGTTGACTTACGTGACATACCACGGCACCTGCAGCTTGGGATGCGTGTACATCTACACAGAGCAGCATCCACATAATGCTCAGCACAACCGCACACCCAACGACAATACAGCATGCTGGTTTTACCTGCTCGAAGTTCGTCGAGAGCAGCGGGTCGTCCGCGGACTCAATGCTAGCGGCGCAAACGGCAAATAAAAGTTACATTAGACCTCACACACTAACTATCAATACGCAGCAGCATACACTAACCCGTGGTCGTAGATCTGGTCTCCAGTCGACAGCACGAAGGCCGGGGATGGGTCCATCGTGGCCGTGAAGTTCTCGAGCGCCAGGGCCACTTTGCGCTGGTTCTCATCGCCCGTGCCGAAGTCTCCGAACGCAATGAAGTTGGTCTCCTCAGGGAATCCGTCGAGAATAGACGGTTGCACATTGTAATTCCTTGCTCGTGACGCTGTCTGCTTCGTCACCGACGATGCAGGAGCCACGCCCGTGTGCCAGAAGAAGAGCACGAAGAGCATCCAGACGCCCAGCGACCCCAGCGCGATGAGCTTCACCCAGCGCTCGTAGTTGGTGGCGCCATGGAGGGCTGCACTCCAGCTGCTGTTGCCGCGACGCACCGCCGAGTGCCGGTCTTTGCCGTCGTCGTGCTCCTCGCGCTTGCGCAGTCCTGCCTCGAGCTGCATCGGTATTCGTCGTGTGCACAATGCGTCGACGTCAGTTACGAGCCTCGTCTATGCTGTGGCTCCGTCCTAATCCTATTTTTGGTACTCTAGCTCTAAATCGCCATTTAGAACGCCAGATTTGGTACTCTAGCTCGGAATCGCCATTTAGAACGCCAGATCGCGACGATGAAGGCGCTGGGCGTGATCCCGGCGCGCTTGGGCTCCACGCGCTTCCCGGGCAAGCCTCTGGCCGAGTTCTTCGGCAAGACGATGATCGAGCACACGTACGCGGCGGCGGCGGGCTCCAAGCTGCTGTCAAAAGTGGTGGTGGCCAGCGACAGCGAGCGGGTGCTCAACGTCGTCCGAGGCGTTGGTGGCGGCACGGTGCTGACGGGCGCCTGCAACACGGGGACGGACCGAATCGTGCAGGCGCTGCACCTGATGGACCCCGAGGAGCTGAGCGAGTATGACATTGTCGTCAATATTCAGGGCGACGAACCGGGCGTGAACCCGAGACACATTGATCAGTGCATCAAGGCCCTACGCGGTGCCGGACCCGACAGTGTCATGAGCACGCTCGCTACGCCCATCTTCGACGAGCGAGAGGCCCGCAGTCGAGACGTGGTCAAGTGCGTCGCCGACCGCAACAGGTACTGTACATCCAGCAATTGGATTGAATTGCTGCTGGTCTAAGCGGTTCGTTGCCAATTGCGTGAGGGCAGCAACGCGCTCTACTTCTCCCGCGCGATGATCCCGCACTCCAAGAGCGGCGAGTTCTCACCCGAGACGACGTCGTATCTCCGGCATGTGGGCATGTACGCCTTCCGCAAGGACTGCTTGCTCGAGTTCCCGTCGCTGCCTCCGTCCGACCTGGAAGAGTCTGAGGACCTCGAGCAGCTCCGCGTGCTGTCGGCAGGCTACAGGATCCAGCTAGTGCAGGTCGACTCGACGCTTCCGGGCGTCGACACTCGCGCCGATCTTGAGGACCTGAAGGCTCGCTGGCCTAACCTGAGAAGGGCAACGTAGGGCTCTCAATCAGCGAGGTGTCCCTTGGATAGATAGTATCTATTAGATACTGTAGCCATCTTTTGAATCGTACGTAAGTGGATACTAGGTAATTACATGTACAGATTCTGATCCGCTTTTCATTCTCGCTTTGGGACGACTGTAGAGAAGAGTGTGGAGCGCAGGAGGACCATGGGAGACGACTGGGAGCCAGACTTCTCCGCGTCGGCCACGGGCAACGCTGTGCTGGACGCGGCGCGCGGCGTGACGGGGTCGGGGGCGCCGGCCTCGAAGGAGCAGGGCGGCACCGAGTGGACCCGTCTGGAGCTGTGCGTCATCGCCAGTCTGCAGCTGGTGCTGGTGCTCGTGGCCTACCGCCTGGACCGGTCGCAGCACCCCGTGCTGATCTCCGAGTCCGCCGTCGCCATCTTCTTCGGCGTATTGGTGGGTGAAATTACATGCAGGAGGCGAAGGAGAGCGCAAGATTTGGACGCTGACCTTTGGGTTTGTGTGGGTTTTGTTCTGCAGTTTGGTGCCGGCGTGCTGATCTTCTACCCGATGGTACGGCTAGAGAGGTGCAGGGTGTTGTGCTGGGGACTATAAACTGATGAACACTTGCTGCTGTCCTGTAGGAATCGCTGAACAATGGCATGGACCCGGAAGTGCTCTTCTACGCGTGAGTTGGTGGTTACATTTTCGTGGATTGGGAGGCTGTTATAAAATGACTCATGTTTTATTGTTGCTGTGGGTGTCTAGGTTGCTGCCGCCGATTATCCTGGAGGCAGGATTCAACATGAAGAAGAGGGTATGTGAAGCTGCTTGTGGATTTCTTACAAGACTGACGGCTAACCGAGATGTGGTGGCTTCTGCTGCGATAACATCAGGGGTTCTTCTCCAACTTTAACGCGATCATGCTGCTGGCCATCGTCGGAACACTGGTTGCCACTTTTATTACGGGCGGTGTGCTCATTTGGCTGGGAGATTTGGGCCTCATCACCCAGCTGACGGCAGCAGAGGCGTATCTGTATGGAGCTCTTATCTCGGCTGTCGACCCGGTGGCTACGCTCTCGGTTTTCAAGAAAAATGGCGTGCCTCCTCTGCTGTTTAACCTTGTCTTTGGTGAAAGCATGCTAAATGACGGCGTCGGTGAGTTATTCGACCAGATTATCCTTTTACGAAGGATTTTGCGCTTGCTAACATATTATTGTATGTTTACCTGTAGCTATCGTGTCGTTCACGCTGTTTCAAGGGCTCATTCGGAATGGCATTGCTGACGTTACCTTGAACAATGCGGGCCTCATTATCATCAAGGTTTTCGGCATCGGATTTGGTTCCGTTGGGCTCGCAGCGGTGGTATGCTTCACGTCAGCATTTCTACTTAAGCAAGCTGACCCAGTGCTCCAGCAGTACCCGTCCTACGAGATTTCGATTGTGCTACTTTCGGCGTACTTGAGTTACGTAATTGCGGATCTCGTTGGGATGAGCGGCATTGTTGCGCTGTTCTTTTCGGGTGTGCTGATGAGCCACTACCACCTGTACAACATCGCTGACGAGAGCGCGACGGCCCTGCGGCATCTGCTGACGACGTCTTCTTTTATGGCGGAGAACTTCGTGTTCATCTACATGGGCATGAGCGTGGTTGCGTACTCGGGCTACTTCACGTGGGATTGGGGTTTCATTCTCGCCAACTTGGTCGCTTGCCTGTTGGGTCGCATGCTCAACACGTTCCCGATGTGCATGCTTGCGAACCTCTGCCGATCGGAAGACAACAAGATTCCGTGGAGCTATATGGTGGTTATCTGGTTCGCTGGGCTTCGTGGTGCGATCGCTTTTGCGTTGGCTCTCAACGTATATACACCGAACCGTGTTCACGCGAGTGTGATTCAGAGTACAACTCTGTTCACCGTCATGTTCACCACTTTGGTAAGTTATCCGCGTGGAAAGGAGCGAGAGCAATGCTCTAACGCAAATTGGCATGTGTTGTTGGTTGGCAGGTCTTTGGAATGGGCACAAGTCCCGTGTTGCGCTACTTTGGCTTGACGGCTACGCTGGAGCAGGAACGCGAATTCGATGAGTACGTAGCAGCCGTCAATACCTGTACTGTAGTGTGCTAACCCTGGTGGTGTTACTTGTTTGATTGAGCAGTGATGGCGCGCACGAGCGTTTGCTGTCAGACGATGACGAGCATGATGCGGACACTTCGTTCCGTCCGATCGACCGCTCGCTTTCTCGCCGCAACATCAGCGGCATCCATGGTGTGTGGGAGCGTATCGACGAAAAGTACCTAAAGCCGCTCTTCGGTGGCCGTCCGCGAGATCAGCAGCACCAGTCGGAGCAGACTTCCGCCGAGCTCAAGCGTAGAGCAATGGGCCCCTCCGCTGCAGCTTCAAGTCCGAAAAATCGCAGCCGACAGCAAAAAGACAAAGAAAGCCCCTCACTATCACCACCCAAGTCGCCGTCGTCGCCCATGCCGCGCATGTCATTAGCTGAGGTCGCGGAGAACCACGACAACGCCGAGATCATCGTGTAGGTAGGGTATGTAGCCATGTCATTCTGGAACTACAAAATCCATTTTTTTAAATTTGGAACAATATATTCTAAATAAGACCCCCAAAGTGTCATACCTTACTCCTCTAATAGCATTCGCCAATAATGGAGACCGGAGGCGGCGTGTCCGAGGAGATGCGGGCGCTGTACGACGCGCAGCGCCGCGCCCACGAGACTGTATTGACCCTGCAGGCGCAGATCGAGGAGGAGGAGGCCGTGTACCTGGAGGAGACGCCGCACGGCAACATCATCCGCGGCTGGGACGGCTTCATCGACTCGAAGCAGCCGCGCAAGGACGCCAACCCCAAGAAGATCAAGCCCTACAGCGAGTCGGAGCACCTTTTCTCCGGCTGCTGCTTCTACTCGAGCATGGCGAGCGGGCCGAGCTTGGACATCTACGGCACGACCAAGGACGAGAGCGCCTCCTCGTCCACTCGGGGGCGCAAGCTCACGGTCACCTTGACCGTGGGGAAGGGGGCCGGCGCCTCGACCAGCATCAGCGGCGTGGTGGATGGGGCGGCAGCACACAGCTCCCATGCTGCCTACAGAGGGGGCAAAGGCTCCAAGCTCAACTCGGTGCAGAAGACGGGGAAGGCCCCTACCCACCCTGCCACGGGCAAGGGCGCAGCAGCACAGAGCTACCAACACAGCAAGGCCTCCAAGCTCAAGAAGAGGAAGCGGGAGGCCGAAGCTGCTGCTGCTGCTAGTGCTAAGGCACATGAGACTGCGTCAGGAGGTCCGCAGACTGCTGCTACCGTGGCGGCAGCGACGACAAGCTCAGCAGCGGCACAGCCGCCTGCGAGCGACTTTCTCGATGTGCTCTAACCTATTGACAATGAACAGTCTTTCTACTGAGTGAAGTGTGCGTGAATCGTTCTTTGAGAGGGTCTTATACTAATAAACAGCGGAATCGGGAACCAGGCAGGACTAACGACTGACATCACGCCGCACCTGGCTCGCTCGCAGGTATTCATTCTGAGCGCCTGCCGATGGGTCCGGTGAGGTGGCTTGCGCTCACTTGGAAGTGTCAAAGGACGCGAGCAATACCTCCAAGTCCCTCGTCGTCTGGCGGAAGAAGCCGTCGTAGTTGAACTGCAATTAAGAGACAACGCTACATTAGTCGCCGTTCAACAACGAGCAGCCATGAAGCATCGCAACCTTACCTCAAAAATGTAATCCAGCTGCTGTGGTGGCACGGTGATGTCTGGGAACTTGGCGTAGCCCTGCACAAGCCGACACATCGAAGCATAAGTGAACCGCTATTATATCAACGCAAGCGCACAATTTAGTCAGACGTACCCTTAGACGATCATCAACCGTAGCCACAGCCTCCACAGTGCCCTGGAGGCTCTGGAAGAGGTGCGAGATGCTGTTCCAATGCAGATCCAACTGCGACCTCAACTGAGTCATGTATTCACCGTGCGAGAGAATCGCTTCAGATGGCGCTTGTGCGGGGCCAAAGCTGGACGTGAGCGCGTTGATCGAGTTGTACGCGTAGGCACCCATGCCGATAACGTCGTTCGACTCTCGCTGCTGGGACAGCGGCATCGCAAGAATGCCCGCCTTCATCTTGGAGCACTCCACCATTACCTGCTTAAACGTGATCAACAACGCGTCCATCTCGCTCTCGAAGTCCGAAAGGTTCGCTTTCAAACGACGGTACACCAACGTCATACCAGGAATACTCTTCTCCTCGTCGACAATCCGGCGTTGAAGCACCACGACACAGCTCAGAATGGACCGAATGTGCTTCTTGAGAAGCTGGGACAAGCGCGTACGGTGCAACCGCACACGGAGCAGCAAGTCACTTGAGACAGGAACGCCAGCTCCATCGTAGATGGAGCACAGCACGATGAACGCATCGAAGTCCCCTTCATCAATCGACGACGTGTGGTAAGACGTGCGCACTCCCCACGACAGCTGACCGATACGCTGGATCGACTGACGCACGAGCAGTAACGTATCCAACACACCTCCCTGTGCAGCAGCAATATCAGCGGCTTCCCTTGCGGACGATGTCGATGAAGGTCCTTTCTCGACGTCCTCATCTTCATCTGTTTCTGAGTTGACGGGGCTGTTCTCGCCTCCCTTTGACGTCGGTGGAGTCTTCGTTCCCACGCCCCAAGACACGAGCGACGAGAAGAACGAGCCGCTGTCCGAGCTCGACTGCTTCTTCGGAGCAGGGACCATCGCTCGGTTCGCTACCACGAGCTGGTTCTCCGCGTTAGCATTGTTCTCTGAATCGCCATCCTCGAGCAATACGATACGGTCTTCGGTTTTGTCGGAGGACGAGACCTTTTGCGTCCGACTTTCCCTGCCGCCTTGACCAGGTCCTGCCAGCACAAGTGCATTGCTCATCTCTGATGGCGAGTCGTCCTCGAGCAACTCGATCTTCGCATGACCCTCCGGTTCCTCCTCTCCGTTCTCTAGCTGGTTGTGCTTGTGCTGTTGTCTGTCTTCGATAAACCCACCACCAAGCGCAGCCGTGACATATCTACAAATGGAGCTGTTTTCTTCCACCCACAACCCCGTGGCCTGCTTGAACTGTTTGTACATCTTCTGCACGTGCAACGGATCAGCGCTCGCATACATGCGCTGAATCGGCTCCACACACGCGCCAAAATCACGAGCAAGGTAGCCTTCAAGCGGCAGCACCTTGCTAAAACTCCACCGCCAAGCCTTCTCCTGGTTGGGCTTCAAGCGGTCCAGCTCACGAACGCCAATGCGCGTGAGCTGGCTCACCTCCTTACTGATTTCAGTCTGCACCGCCTCCAGCGACTGCATCAACCGGCGGACTTCCTCTCCGCCAGGTCCATACACAAGCAAGTCACCTCCAGGGCCAGCAAGCTGTCGCGCTTTACGGCACGACACCAAAAGATCCGCCAGCAGCTTCAGCAAGCCGTGCAGTTTCGTGAAAGCGTCGAACGTTTCCTCCCGAACCTCCTTCCGGAGCGTCACAACGCCCGAGTTGCTCTGCTGCAGGAAATCCGAGGGCGTGATCGCCACTTCATTCGGGTTCGAGTTGCGTCGAAGCTGGCGCGTGAGCACCGTCGGCACCTGTGGCTTGGCCTCGGTATCGCAGAACACTGCAGTGCGGGTCATCTCTTCCTCCTCCTGGTCCGTCAGCAGCAGCGACGGCAATGAGTCCTGAGGCGAAATTGCCGCCTGGTTCTGCGGGAACAGCTCTCTGCAAGAGCAAACATCAACATCAACAGCAAAACAACGTCAGACCCACAGTCCTGTACCAGCTCAGTACACCAACCAACGTGAAACGTACTTGAACGACGGCGTGGTGAGCAGCACCTCGAGCATCTGGCCCGACTTGCTGCCCATGGCGTCCTTCATGCCCGCGTGCTGCTGGGACTGGAGGTTACTGATGGTGCAGTCCGCAGGCGTGTTGGGCGTGTTGCGTAGCACGTAGAAGAGGAACTGCACGCCGTGCATGAGTCCGTCCGTGCCGCGCGCCTCGAGCGTGTGCAGCTGCTCTCTGGCGGACGAGTGGGCGCGCTCCGTCTCGATCGTGGGCAGCACGCGCGTCTCGATCACGTTGCGCACGTCCTTGAGCGTGCCGAGCAGCGAGCGCTCGCCCGTACCCGAGTGGAAGAGTCCCTGCTGGCCGTGCTGCAGCCGCAGCACGTAGCTGTGTCGGCGACGCACCTCGATGAGGATGGACTCGGTGGTGCACGTGGCCGGCGCGAGCGTGCGCATGGCCCAGTCCTTGAACTCCTCGAGCAGCAGCGTGCGCGGGTCGTTGAGGTAGCCCGAGAAGGTGAAGGTGCGGTCGTAGCGCTCGCGCTGGTAGGCGCAGATGCTCGAGATGATGGCCTCGGCGGGGTTGCGCAGCAGGCCCACGACGTCCTGCATCTTGCGCAGGTACGAGTTCTCGTCGAAGTCCGAGATGGTGGGGTTGTGCAGCGGGTAGAAGTTGTCGTCCATCTTGAGCGCCGTGGGGAGGTCCTCCTCGCTCACCTCCATGGCCTCGCAGTAGGCCTGGTGCACGAAGCGCATCTGGTCCATCTCGAGCTGCGAGTAGCTCTTGCTGAACGGGTTCAGCCGCAGCCCCCAGTTCGACATGGCGGCGGCGTCTGCAGTCGGCTAATAGGTAGAGAGAGAGAGGGCTCACGCACGCGGAGCGAGAGAGATGGCGGCGCTGGGACTGAGATGCTGGCGTCGGCCGTTCACTTACTTCTTCTCGCCTTCTCGACTGCTTCTGGTTTCCTGCAGAAATCTCAGTGGATGGCGCGGAAGTTAGTATGCGGTGGATGCATTGAGGATAGGAGGTTATTGTGGTTGGCGGGGTCATACAAAAGCCGGCTGTTTTGGGCCTTTTGGGGCTGTGAGCGAGTTGTCGCTGCGCGGTGCGGAACGGATGGCGGCGTTGACGGCCCCGCTGACCACGGTGTGGGCGCGTGGAAGAGGCGGGGTGTCTATTGTGGCAAGGGGGGGGCGCAGAACGTGCTCGGCGTAGTGGTCGTAAAGCTGCTGAAACTTGGGGCTAACATGTCCAGACACCGGCGTTTGCACCATCGATCACTTCATTTTATCTTTATACAGCTTAGAGCTTACCGGCGTCGACGCTAGCAAGCAGGCACGAGCAAGTTCACCGGCATTTTTGCCTGGCTCATCGCTGCAGCCGCGCATTACACAGAGTCATGACCTCATCGCGTTACGAACTCCGTGGCCTGGTATCAGCTTACAGAGGTCGATGCTGATTCAAACCGGAACGGCGGCCACAAGCTTGGGCGGGGTCGGCGGCGGCCCGCCGGCCCGTGGTTCAACGTCGCACAATACGCTCAAGCTCGACGCCGCAACGCCCGCGCGACATGCTGCTGCCGCTGCAATGCGAAAGATTTGAGCGAGACGAGCCGGCGATGGCGAGGCAATGGCAAGGCACACCGAAGCGGTCTGATCGGTAGCGTATATTGCGCCACGCGTTCAAGCTCGCCATGGCCGCGCGTGGAGAAGCAAGCAGCAGCTGGGACGCCGCCACGTTGAAGCTCTTCCTGCCGCGAGAAGCTCGCGACGATGCAGCGGCAGAGGAGCTTTGACATTTTTCGCGCCCACCCCACGGCCACTTCAAAAAGTGTACACTGTAGCCATCTTCTCAGGTGCATGTTGAAGTGGGTGTGTCTATCATTAGTACGGAACGGTTTTTTTTTCGCTGTTAGACCCAATGCAAAACTGCCTGGTCAACGCTGAGGGCCCCCAGTCTATGGGCAACGCAGTGGGGGTCGTGCTGCCGCCAGAGCGCATTGAGACGCTCCGACGCGCGACACACGCCGCCTTCGAGCACGGGCGCGTTGCCGCCGTCGTGGCGCACGTCGGCCTCGTTCGGGTGATTCGCGTCGCCGAACGATGGTACGCTGTGGTCGACCAGCGCGTGATTTCTCGCGTCCACCGAGTCGTCGAGCAGCAAGTCATACACCGGATCAACCTTCTAGCGGATCACATCGAGGTGCGTGCTCTTCATTCTGCTTGACTCCAGTCGTTGGAACGATCTAACCGGCTCGTTGAGCACAATCAATCCCAGCGAGTGTCCAAGCTGTGGTTCGTTAAGAGTATCTCCACCACATCCATCGCTGAGGCCTTCGACATCGACACGAAAGAGTGCGTGCCATCACGTTAAGCGGTAAATGGTGCAAGTATTCACTCGGATATGAGGGCACTTTTGATGTTGCTCGCAGCGTTCGAAATGTACAAGTGAGCAAGCGCGACTACGAAGTGTACAACTGCGGCCCGGAGCTTCTGGACGTGCCATCCTGGAACAAGGTCGCCCACGTGCTCGAACTACAGAACCCGGAGGTGACGGACTTCCTGCTCAACAAGTGCCGCTGGACTGTGTGGCAGCCGCCTACTTCCTGGCGCGTGAAGGTGGACCAGATATTCAACGTGACGGTGCACATTGCGGTGCGCCAGCAAGGCTTCCTCACGGGCGAGATTCGCGTCGTGCGTCTGCGTCTCGGGCGCAAGTGGGTCGGCGCGCACCATCTAAGCGAGGACATGGCTCACCCGATGAAGAGCCAGTGGCTGCACCGGGTGGACTATGAAGTCGGCGACCAGGTCCACACCGCCGAGAGTGAGTTCTTCCAGACTGTGAAGGCCGCGTGGGAAGACTACCTCGCAGAATTGGCCAAGCTCCCCAAGGAGGAGAAGGAAGACGATAACACTGGAGAGCCCTTCCCGTACGACGAGCAGGAGAAGCGCACATCGCTCCGGATCAAATATCTGCTGGATACATCACTCGAAAACATTCTCAACGACCGCCGCACCATGTTCCGAATGCCTCATCAGTACGAGTTGTGGCGCATGGAGCAGGAAGATGCTCCTGAACATCGTCAGGACTGTCTCGAGGACCGCATGGTCGGGCCCCTTTTGCACGGTCCGATCGACGAACTGATCGAGTTGTACGAAGAGAAGGGGGCATGGCTGCCGAGGCCGACGATGTGCAGTGGTCATAGCGAATAAAGGTCGAGTTCGATGTATTTATTCACTGTCGTTTACCTACTGCTGCGCGTCCTTTAGGGAACTTGTCCAGCAGCAGAACGATCTGCTTCAAGTCGTACTTCTCCGCTGCTGCTAGGAACTGGACCTGCCCAACCTCGTGCGGAGTGAGATCGCGTGGTGGTAGGTCGCTCTTGAGCGCCATGCCCTCTTTGATCAAAGTCGCGAGCTCCGCCACACCGTAGTTGATGTTGAAGTTGTGCACCAGACCGTCCTGGACCTGCTTGGCGAGCCCCCACCGACGCTTCTCTCGTTGTTCCTCTCTAGCATGGGCGTTCAAGGTGGCGATTTGCTCCTCCGATTTGACTCGCCATGGCGCCCCTCGCTCTCGTCGGTGCACTTCACCAGCGGACGGGTTGAATGGGATCTTGACTTTGGCTGCTTCAGTCAGCAGCGCCATCGAATCCCGATGTCCCGAGCTCGACGTCAGGTCTCCAGACTGCTCAACCTCCATCGTGAAATACTTCTCAAGCACCTAAAGCCAATCCCAAAGTGCCCATAACCAGGGCGGATGCCATTTTTATCGTTGACTTCAACAACAGTTCTGTAGCTGACACCTTGCACTCTTGACGGAATACTACATGGAACCCGGGCAGCATCTATAGTTCAAAGTCTACGCTAACTAGCAAATTCAATTTGCCAAATTGCAGACGGGTAGAGGTAAAGCTGTAATTTGTGCGACCGCTATATCCAATTACTGCATACTAATCCAGAGCCTGCTACGACTCCAGCCCGTCTCAGTACGTGACAGTGCGGTGCAGGCGGCTCTCTTTACAGGTGACACAGATGCACCGGCCATCGACTATCGGACAGCTCAGAGCCTTCGTGTGATACACTTCTCCCTTGTGGTAGTGGCAAAACTCGCGATCGCATAAGCAGCAGTAGTGCAAGATGCGCCGGTCCAGAGTCGCGGTGAACGGCACCTTCTTCTTGTATCGCGGGTCATGGCACACGTGGCACTGGTTGCGCAGTGAACGCTCCGATGCAAGATGACGGGGACGCAGCTTGCCCTTGAGCTCCGGAACAGGCACCATATACGTAGACCGACTCGAGCTCGTCACCAACCCGAACTGGTTCGTGGCCTGCACAACGAACTTGTACGTCTCCCCGTGATGAAGCTTCTCCACGATCACTGTCGTCGGCAGCGGCAGCGCTAGCAGCTTGATCCACTTCACTTCTTCAGTCTTCGTACGAGTCCAGCGTACAGTGTAGCACACGATGGGAACTCCGTTATCCATCGGCTTCTCCCATGATACCCGAGCAGCAGCACTTTCCACGGTTGTCTTGCTCGACTCAACTTCCACCGTCACACGTGTAGGCATGTTGGGCGGCAATCGGCGTAGCAATCGAAGCAGCGAATCCGCATCGCCATAGATAATTCCTCGGATTGGCAGCATTACCACCAGCAGGATGACGATAGCGTCGTCCAGCCACCAGAAGTATACCTTCAGCAGACCCCACAAACTCAGTCTGTGGTCGAAATCATCCTCGTCGTCCGACTCGACCTCTTCGACAAACTTCTCTGCCTCCGCCTCTTGGCTTCGCTTGTGCCTACTCTGGGAAGACGGCGAGCGTGAGGACCGCGATTTCCCCGAGCTTGGTAGCAGAGGCGGTGAGGAGCCTGCACCTGACGAAGCTGAGGAGGTCGTAGCACTCGCGAAGGCGTCATCGCAGCGTACAAACGTGTGTGGACTGCGTCCGTACGAGTTCCAGGTCGTAAGGCGGTACACGACGTGCTGGTCAGGCTCCACCACGTCCATAAATTCCGTGTCTGCACCAGTAAACACCGGAACCCACGTCGACTCGCCAGGACTTCGACTCTGCAATTGATAGCGCTGTGGGGCGTTCTCAGCTGGTACCCAAGCAATCTGAACCAGTGACTTATCCTGTGAAGTGGTTCCTTCAACTGTGCAGACGCTCGACACAACCGCTTCAGGTTTGCGTCCCATACCGAGGTACTTCATCTGCAAGAACATCGCCAACTGATGCCGGTGCAGTTCACTATGCACCCCGATCTCCTGCAGCCTCGCCCCGTCGTTCGCCATCAGCAGCGGAAACGTATACCCCGAGATAGAGTTGGTTCGGAAAACTTCGCTGTACTGCGGGAGCTGTACGGCATAAGCCACCCAGTCGGCCACCTCCGCCACTGTCATTTCGGCGCCCACGCTCTCCCAGCGCTCGTCCAGCTCTTTCCACGAAATCACGGCGTCGTGGTCACTGTCCAGTTTCTTGAGTGCAGCGTCCACGTCCTGGTCGCTCTGAGCTCGAATCTTCAGCTCCGACACATCCAAGCCGCCGCTGTCGTCCGTGTCCAAAAGGTGGTGCAGCTTGTCCTTGATCTGCTGGATCTCGCGGCGCCCCACGTGTCCATCGTGGTCGAAGTCCGCCAGCAAACTCTCTGCAGTTCCCGTCGCAAGCACAAAAGTAAGCACTTCAGAGCACACAGAGCAAGCGAGGGGAAGGCCGCTTTAGTAGGGAGTTGCCACCCAAGCTACGCTGCAAGAAGAGGAAGGTAAAAGCAATAAAAGCATTTCTACGTGGCGAAGGCAACGTTTGAACACACGCAGAGGTGCTCTTACGCCGTGCATTTAACGTACCGACTTCGGGTTCTTGGTGCGTTTTGTTGCGCTTGTTGGGCTTCTTACGCGTCTCCACGACGTCATCGACGGCGCTGCCGGCCATCGTCACCGCCATCTCCATGATCTTGTTATTGTTGTCTAAACCATCATACAAGTGTGTGTTAACAAATTATATAAAGATGTTAAAGCATAACACGCAGAAGAGTGCCTACCTTTCGTGCGTGGCGCGACGACATCCTTGGCAGCCGCTGGCGCCACCAACAGCAGCAGAACCAACACCGCAGCAGTCGCCACAGTGACGAGAGACGTCCGTCGGCGCATTCTGCTGCTGCGGCAGCTGGCGGCAGAGCGCCTGCAGCCCGAGAAAGCGCGTGGGTCTCGCAGGGGCGGCCGCATTTGATCTTCTATCCACGCGGCGAAACGTTAAATGATGCCAGCGGTCGGAAAAAATGTTGTACATTTTGACTTCGACTTTGTATTGCGGCGATTCATATCATTTTTCAGCTGGTTCTTGGCGTGGTCGGATCGCGACATCGACTTTGTCACATCCGACCAGAGCACGAGATTCGTTCAGGCGGCTCTAATGCAGCCAGACCAACGTTGGCTGGGTTTGTAGTATGGATGGCCACAGAGACGGCTGCATGCGTAAGATTGCCTTGCCGGTATTTGCCCTGCAACCGCGATCCTGAAGCATCGATCATGGCCACTCGAGTCACGCGGCCGTTGCTGGTCGCTGGGTTCTTTTTCTTCCGAGTTGGTGCCGCTGAAACGGACAGCAATGTTGAGTGAGGTGCTAGCACGGTCAGTGAAGATCGTTGGGCAGCCCAACTTGGGCTGTGGTGGCGGCAACTGCAACACTGTTTGTGTGCGCTTGGCGCTGGCACTGCAGCAAGCGACATGATATATGGAGAGTTGCACGACCTGCACGAGACCACTCACTGGCAGTAAAGTAAGTTACTGCCGAACAAGGACATGTACAGCAGCGATTCAAGCCCAAACTCTATCCGTAGGACATAGCTGTTGAGGCCCTCAACTCGAAGACGATCGATGTGAGTACAATTGTGTTCTCTATTGGTGTTTGCCTGCTGCCGCTTACTGGTACAGAATGAGGAAACTTGTCCAGCCGAGCAGCAGAACGACTGATTCAAATCGTACTTCTTCACCACAGCTATAGCTGAACCGTGTGAATTGAAATCGTGTGACACTGGACCGCTCGATAGCGCCACGCTCTCTTTGATCAGCGTTGCGAGCTCCGTAAAGCGATGCATCGGTCATCGGACCGCCCTCGACCTGCTTGGCGAGCTCCCACGAATGCTTCTTTCTCTGTTCCTCTCTAGAGCATGGCCGTTCAATGCGTCAGTCTGCTCCTTCGCTCTGGCTCGTCATGACAATCCTCGCTCTCGTCGACGGACTTCGCCAGCCGCCGGGCCAAACGGACGGGATCTTGACTTTGCTTGCTTCGCTTGGCAATACAGTCGGATCTCAGTGCTTCAAACTCGACCTTCAGATTGGTTTATCCATGTTTACTGTTGATCATTACTTCCAACACAGGAGATCATGCTTTATCATTAACTTCAACACCAGCAAACAACTGATACCATGCACAAATTTGATATCTTACATTGTTTTCGCATTAATGACGACCATCACTTCACTTGAGTATGGGACGCAACCGCAAGGGGCGGCAATGCGGCGGCTACGGCTCGAAGAAGGAGCGGTGCGCAACGCTAACACAGCTACAGCCCAATGACGTACATACCTGACCTCTCTATTGCACGACAGGTTCGTGTTGCTCCGCCGCTGGCAGCAGGAGGTGGCCAAGGTCACGCGCAAGAACGCGCAGAGCAGGCAGGCGCACCAGAAGCTCGTGGAGCAGCAGCGACGCGCTGATTCTAACGATGCCGTGCGTCGCAGAGTCCGCGTGGACGTGCTGACGGCCTGGACCAATGCGCGCCTGAAGGACGACCACATTGAGCGCATTAAGCGCGAGGGAGCGCTCTCCATCGCCTCGGAGCTGCAGAAGACGTCCGCAGTGAACGAGTTCTCGTCGCTGCAGGAGCGGTGCGGGGCTAGATCTACTGGTGGTAGTGATCCCTTCCCCGTAACTAACCGTTGGTGGCTCTGGTTGCGCTTTTCACAGGTGTATCTACGAGATCGCGCGTTCGTTTGACCTCTACAGCTCCTCGTGTGAGTTCACCCAAGCGTTCTTCGCCTCTTTCGAGCCGTGGATGGTGTCGAGACTTGCAGAGCTCACGACGGCATTCAAGACGATGAGTGACGGCAACGTGAAGCTGCTGTTGCTGCAGCCAACAGAACATCTTACCATCGGCTTCGTGCGGGACGAGAAGTCGCTGGCTCCGCTCTTCGACGAAGCGGAGGTGGATCACCGCATGGCGTGGCAATTCGCCCCCGGCCACTTAATGGAGCATGAGGCTGAGTCGTGGGAGGATCTGGACGTTGAAGATGTCGATATCGTGCAAACGCAAGAAGAAGTGCGGCTGCTGTCGCTCAGTCTCGTGTCGTGCCTGGGTCTGTCCAGCCGCTTCCTCACGCAGTTGACGACGGCGCATCCGTACCTCGAGCACCTCAAGATCGTCGACTGCTTCGACGCCGCGGCAGGCGAGCAGGGCGCTGCGCTGTTGCAGCAGCTGGCCAAGTCGCGGTCGCTCAAGACGCTGCACTTCTCGTGGTGCTGCTGGCTGACCACCGAGATCCTCGTCACCTTCGCGTACCAACTGCTCGAGCCGCCCGTGTCGCCGCTGCAGGAGCTACACGTATCCGACTGCTTCGACGTGCTGGGCGAATATGTAGCATCCGTCTTCAATGAGTTGCTGCCCAGCGTAAACGTATCCATTTGACGTCGGCGCGTTAACCGAGCCCATGTAACTCCATACAAAAATAGCGATATTCTACAACACAGGATTTACCAATATCAGACTGACCGTCACTCTCGGCGAAGCAAAAGGACGGAAGCCATGAGCATCGCGGGGCCGCTCTACCGCCGCACGCCACGGCTGTTCAACCGCAACAAGCCCGGGGAGTGGGGTCTGGTCTGGTGCGAGCTGGCGCTGGAGCGCGGGGAGCTGGTGGTGGCGCTGGACCCGGACGGCCGCAGCCGCATCGCCACGATCCCCGTCAAGGACTGCGAGCTCGCCCACGTGCGCAGCGACGGCCGCGACTGCATCGAGCTGACGATCATTCGCGGCAAAAAGGAAACTTTCTCGTCCCACGAGTCCAGCCACGATGTGGATTGGTGGTACGGTGGCAATACTTACTCTACTAGAGCTCTTGATATTATCTTTTCTGTGAACTTCAACGCTGATAAAATACTTTTTATTTTATTATTTATTTGTGTGTGTGACAGGATGACGACGTTGATTGCCGTGAAGAGGGACCTGGAGAGAGGAGTGAAGCCTCAATTTTCTTTGCTGACGCCGCCCGTGTCGGAGCCAACGACCAGGCCCAAGCACATGCGGCGTCCGTCGTCGACGCTGAGTCTGAACTTGAACTTGGCTGCCAATGCGGCTGCTGCCGGCAATACGCAGAACGGAGCGACACTGGGTCGACCCACACTCAGACGCCGCAAGCCGGCGTTGGCGACGTGCGAGACGCTCTTTGAGCGCTTCACGATCTACGAGACGCCGTCGATGTACTACGTCGTGTGCTCGGATCGCCACTACTCGCGGTTCCGGATGATTGAGCTGGATCGGATGGTGGAACGACCCAAGAAGCTGAACGAGGTTTTGAAGGAAGATGAGCGGGTCTATGACTGGGAGCAGATGGAGGCGAGATTGCAGGCGCTGGCGGAACTTGCTCGAGTGCACGGTACTGGGGATCTGGTGAGGGCGTTCACGGCTGTGGCAATTGTCGGCTGCATCCGATTCCTGCGAGGGTACTACTTCATTTTCGTCACTCAGCGACGCAAGATTGGGAATATTGGGGGCAACTCGATTTACGGTATTTCGGCGACACAACAACTTAACTTGAGTCGCCCCGAAGAAGATCAGAGCGCATGGACTCGACTGAACCGGTGGTTCAATCCCAGCCCGGAAGAGGAAGCTGAAGCGCGCTACCTTGGACTATTCCATTTTCTGGATCTCACGAAGGACTTCTATTTCAGCTACTCGTATGATATCACCCATACCCTGCAGCACAACATGACTACTGAACACTCAGAGCCAGCGGAGATGTTCACGTGGAACTCGTATTTGACCCGCGAGTTGCGCTCGTGCTTGAGTGGGGGAGCTGCTGCTGATTTGGTCGTCCCTCTCGTGTTGGGGTGTTACGAGCAGCGGAAGTGTTCGGTGTTCGGCCGTCTCGTTAGTATTGTTCTGTTGGCACGTCGCTCCCGCCATTTTGCCGGAACACGCTACCTGAAGCGTGGTGTGGCTGACACCGGTAAAGCCGCAAACGATGTCGAAACTGAGCAGATCATCGAAGACGAGAGTATGGGTCCCGGCAAATTCAGTTCTTTTGTGCAGCACCGCGGATCAATTCCAGTTTTCTGGTCGCAGGAGACGTCAGCAACCTTGCCGAAGCCGCCTATCGTACTCAACCGCGTCGACCCAACGTACACTGCGACTCAGAAACACTTTGCCGATTTGTTTTCGCGCTACGGCTCGCCAATTGTGGCACTTAACCTCGTCAAGCAGTCCGAAAAGAAAGAACGCGAGGTCATTGTCGGCAACGAGTACATGAATGCGGTGGAGTACCTAAACAGCTTCATGCCACCAGACCATCGCGTGCGCTATGTGGCGTTGGATTACTCTCGGTTGTCTGGACCAAAGCAAAAAGGACTTAACGTTCTGCATTCGTTGGACAAGGTCGCAGTATGGGCTCTCACCCAGACAGGATTTTTCTGCAGCGCACCCAAGCGACAGATCAATCAAAATGGCAACCGACGTACAGCTCAAGCTTTTGTCCCCAATGCACCATCTGAACCTTGGGACGCGTTTACGGTGTCTAGCCATCTTCAACAAGTTGGCGAGGACAGTGTAGAGGTGTCTCCGGTAGACCCACCTCCATCTCCGACAATTACAAGGAATTCCGGGGACTGGCTTGAGCAGCGAGGAATCCTGAGAACAAACTGCATCGATTGCTTGGATCGCACAAACGTGAGCCAGTTCAGTGTTGGAATGCGCGCACTGGGGCAGCAGCTTTACGTGATGGGAATCAAGAACACACCACTCCTGGAGAGCCGCTCGCAACTGGTTCTCGTTCTGATGAAGCTATATTCCTTGATGGGTGATGCGATCTCAATGCAGTACGGTGGGTCAGAAGCCCACAAAAACGTCAAGAACAGCGCTGCACGAGAAAATGTCAAGCATCGCGAGCTGCTTACATCCATTCGACGGTACTACAGCAACTCATTTACAGATACGGCAAAGCAGGACGCCATCAATATCTTCCTGGGTCACTTTGTGCCTAAGGAAGATTCGCCGCCGCTGTGGGAGCTTGATTCGGACTACTACCTGCACAACTTTGAGGTACGCAACGGAATGGCTGCATGTGAAAATGTGCGCCGGAACCTCGCCTTTCACGCTGAAAACAAGCGAAAAGCGTTCGGAGAGTTTTATGGTATTCCTCCTATGCAGCTTTCTTGCTGCTCATCGTCGGAAATTCTGGATGAAGACAGTGATGGATCCGGCGACAGCGATGACGAGTCCATCCACGCTAACGTTTTGGTGTTAGCAGCGCGTGACCAAGCGAAACGTGATGCGTATATTCGAGAGTGCAGAAGGGTACTTGATGACTGGTGGAAGGAGCCGTTGGATGCGTTCGAGCGGCCAAAGTATTGTCTGCCACCTCCAGACGAAAAAGCACCATGCGCGTGCGATCAGGTTGTTCGTAAAGGAATCAGGGAAGAACTATTGGGTGGTTCAACAGTGAACAGCTCGAAGCAATCCGGTGCTGGAAATCGAAAAGCGTCACCCCGATCTCCGTGCTCGGACGATTTCCTGCACATGTATCATCCAGAGGAACTGACGACTTTCGATAAGGTGCTTGGGTACAAATTCATGCTTCCGATGGAGATATCGGACGAGGTGACCGACAAAGAGAAAAGACGGTCCGAGAGTGCTGTTGTTGCGCATCTAACGTCGGCACCATCGTCGTCGTCCATTTCTGGGCTAGCTCGCGTTGACGAGGAAAATTTCTCAGACTTGGAGCAAGGTACTCGACGAGGACAGCAAAAGCATGGCAACAACAGATCGTATCGAAGTATGAGTGCCCCTGATATCGGAGAGGAAGTGGGGTACTCGCCGAAGCCAAACCTTAGAGCCCGGGACAACGCTCGTGAGCACAAACAAGGACACCAGGAGGATTACACCAGCATTAGTGGATCAGAGTCTCGTCGTGCGTCACGCTCGGCTCTTGCTGAAGCCATCAACAAGTACGGAGGTCATGGATCGGCAGCTCTGAAGACCGCCGTCAAGCGCAAGGACGACCAAATCAGTATCGAGGATTATGTGCTGAGCAGAGGGTACGTAAATGCCGCTACTGATCCAGCATCGGCGGTCGATTCTGACAAAGGATTATGTGTATCTTTCCTTATGACAGGCGTCGGAAGTTTGTTGGAGATTGCTCCACCCCTACAGTCGACCCCGTTTATCAGCAGTATGAATGGCTAGTTTGGATACATGCGTTGAGGTTTCACACGCTGACCTCACTTCAATCTTTTTTTTACAGATACGTGCTTGGGAAGCAATCGCCTCAAATATGGGAAAACGACAACGAAAGCGTCAAGATGTACTTCGAGGCGTATATGCGAGACAATCGAATCAGCCCTGACGATGCACGAAGCCTTCGTGAGGCTCAAGCTCGAGCTGGCGCGACGTTCAAGCTGCAAACTGGGCCATATACCGGTCTCGAGCAAAATGTGAAGGCGCGAGTGCTGGTTGCCAAGAAGCTAAAAACCGAGCCCGAGGACCGAAAGTACGTGATTCAATTTTGAAGTCGCATATACTCAAGGCGTATGACTAACTTATTTTGCTGTGAACTTGTGCGTGTAGACTGTTCGAGGAGACGCTAAATATGAAGAAGCTCGTTCAGACCGGCGATGCCTCAGTTCCTGCCGAGAGTCTGGAGCTGTACAAGACCTTCTTCGACGAAGAGCTGCCCAGCGTAGAAATTTACCGACCGGCAAAGATCAGTGCTCCTCCAGCGTCTGTGTCCGTTGATTTGACACCTCCAGTGACCAAACGGTGCACCTCAGCGACAGCGCTGTCGTCAGAGCTCGCCAAGAGTATTCAACGGCTGTCTTTGATAAAGAAGAACCGTACGCGATTCAGCGGAGGTGACCTGATCTCCGTCGGCCCCCTATTCAAGATGGACGGTGGCAAAGATCGCGACTTCATCGTGTTCAATGAAGCGGCTGCGGAGAATTCGTTCGGCGAGGTGACCCGCAACGAAACGGAGTTGTCATTCTACTCCAAATAAGGTCATCTGGTTGAGTTGATTCGATGCAAAGAGCTCTAAATACTAATTCTCATATTTTACATTGCGTACCTAGGCCGCTGGCCGTACGAGTGAGAGCGACTCCATTACTTCTTCATCGACAATGTCGATCGTGTGGTCCTGAGCTTCATCCAGTAGTTTATGTGTGAGTGGATTCCCCTTCTTGCCCTTCGACTTCCGTTTCCACCTCTTCGGCGAGAGTACGAAGCTTGCGTTGCCTTCGTTACTGCAGCAGCTACTACTGCCAGCAGATTCGAGTCGCTGTCGAGATGGGCTTCTTCGCCATCCCCGACGTTGCTTGTGATGCCGGTCATGGCCATGCGTACTCGGCACATTTTGTCTTCTTCCACGCAGACGGCACGCACAAGCACCTGCTTGTGCTGCCCCGGCAGCACTTTCAGTTCCCGAGGAGTGGTGACCGCTTGTGGAAAACGTGGGGGTCAGGTGGGAAAACAGTCTCGAACGTCTGGAAGGCTTGGAATTGGCTCGGGATTGCATTGACGCGGGCTGGTGAGGGTAAGGTTCGTCGTCCGATTCGGGCGAGGTTCCTGATGCCTCTTCTAGCATAGCCAGCGGCTGGCACAAATTGATGTTGTTGTTGTCGAAAAAGTACATCGAGTTGGAATCTTCAAAACCCCGTTCGTGGCGAAGATGATGCAAGAAGCCAGCGTCCATCAATGCACGACCCAGCCGTACACCTTCGCCGCGCGCGTCGATCACCTCAAGATCTTCCAAGCGCTCAACCATGAATTCACCCGTGAAACATTTCTCCATGGGAATTACGTGGCACCCGGTACCGGATCGAACGAAGTCGTCGCTCAATTCCTGAGCCAACACGGACAACAGGTCTTCTTGAATTGACTCGAGCGCAGCAACAATTTGTGGCATTGTTGGGCGCATGCTGGGGTCGCTGTGCCATGCCGATGTGATTATATCTCGCAGCTTTGGGTTAAACGCTTCGTCGGGGTCTGTCGGGTCGGTGTCTTCGAGCGGTGGACGACAACCATTCAAGACGCCCTCGAACACGAGCATTGGATTCGAGACCGGGTACTTCTCGCGATCTGGATACAAGATATCCCAGAACGTGATGGCTAACGAGTACACGTCTGCCGCTTCACCGTACGTCGCCAATCCCGTTCTACAGCCGATCATCTCCGGAGGCATGTAGCTTAAGGTGCCGGTGACTGTCATTTTGATTTGTGGAGGAGCTGGCAGCGGGGTGGTGGGGTTTGGAGAATCGGTGGAAGCTAGGGTTCCAATTGAAGTCTGTGGCTCATCAGCCTTGGTGTTTTCAGTTCTTGAGGGCAGTCCACGTGGTAGACGCCGAGAATCGCCAAAGTCTGTGAGCTTGACGGTGCTTTCGTTGTCTACCAGGAAGTTGGCAGGTTTGATATCGCGGTGCAGGAACGGCGGGGTGAAACTGTGGACGTAGGCGACAGCGCGAGCGCAGTCGAGCATGTACGCGATGTTCAGGACAATTTGCTGCCGGTCAAGAGCTTCGATATCCGCGACGTCACCCTCGAGGTCTAGTAAGTACCGAGTTACCCGGCGCTTGGAACGTTTCTTGGCTTGTGTGTACAGGACATCCTCCAGTGAACCTTGGCATAGCTCGGATACAAGGCAAATAGTCGGAGGGCAGACGCACATCCCGAAGAACTTGACGATGTTTGGGTGGCGCAATGAGGCACAAAGCGCTGCTTCGTGCGAAAATTCAGCTACGACCTCTTCCGTGAAACGAGTCGGCGTGTACACTTTGACTGCCACCGGTTTGCGCTGTCGTAGCTTACCGCTATACACGGCAGCGCTGGATCCCGCTCCAATTTTGCGACGAAGCTCCAGATGCGCGAAGTCGATGAGGAAGTCTCGGTGCATTTCAATCAACGTGTGGATTCTACTCGACGAGATGGTTTCGTCCAAATGCGTCGGCCCCGATTGACTGCCTGCTTGCTGAATCCCGCACGCACGCTCGCCCATACCCCTCCAGTATTCGGTATCGGCTCGCAGCAAACTCCAAATGAAGAGTGGGCTCAATGACCCCCATGCCAACACCATGTACGATGCTGCTGCGAACGAGCCCGATTCGGACGCGTAGTTCTGGAGTAGAGTGTTGATGATGATGAGAACGTGGTAGACTATGATGTACCCGCCGTGGATTCGTAGCGCCAGTGGGCTCGCTCTACCTGCCGGCGGGTTGACGAAGCACACGTACACGACGAAGATCAACAGCGTTGGACGAATGATGAGCCTGATGAAGTAGAATATGGTCGTCTCGTCGGGAAGGAAGTGAGTGAGAAGCCACACTATGGGGATCGTGTACGACGCCAGCAAAATGGATTTGGCGACAGCGCGGCGAAGTGCGGGTACCGAGACGCTCTTCTGACACAGGAAGACGAGTGCCAGCACGAAGACGAACTGTCGACCGGCGTAGAAGACCTCGCTGTGGATGGCGGGAAAGTTGGTGGTGTATAGCTCCACGTTCAGCGCGATGAAGAAGAAAACCACGAAGGCACCCGTGAACACGGCGAGGATCCACAACAATGGCTCGAACGCTGGTAGAATGACTTTGCGGGTGGCTTGGGCATTCCCTTTGAAGGCGACATGGCGGTTCACGCGCAGATACGCGAGCAGCAGCACGCAGAAGGAGCACAAGACGCTGTAGCCGACAAGCGAGATGATCTGACTATTGCGCACTCGATGGGTCACTGCGGATGTCATCCGAACTGAGGGCTCAGAGTCCCAGTCTCTCCGAAGGAGATCGACTCGAAATGGGAATCGGTCGGTGGCTGAGCTGTGCTGTGTTTGCGGTGGCCTTGACCGATACCGAAATGGCCGGAGACGCTGGCGGGGGATCAATTTACTCCGCGGTGATAGAGCGTTGCCAGTGTGCTAACGCCTGGGAGACTTTAAGACTGGGATGGATCGAGAGTGCCAGTGCGCCCCAAGACTCTACAGGCGGGCACGAGAATAGTCGGCGCCTCCTTCATCCCATCCTCGTCATTCCTTCCAGCTTTCGCGCCGCTGAAAGCAGCACAGGCTAACTGAGGCTGAGGGAGGCCTGCGAAACGCCAGAGGAAAGGCGACACTGCTGGCTGCGCTGGACACCGGAGAACGTAAGCGTAGCAATGGAGCCCTGGACGATATTACGGGTCAACTCAGGCGGGAGGCATTACATTGGCACGGCACGCGTTGACTGCCCAGATGCCCTCCAAACATGACGTTTCAACGTCGGTGAAGCCGCTGGCGCCGGGTTTTGAGTCAACGCAACGATCGCCTTAACCAGCACCAAGTTACTTTTCTCCGGCTGAAGACGCTTTCAATTTCAAGCAGCGCACACGCGTCTCGCTTACGCTTCTGATCCAATGACTGCGATGCAACCGGCCAACGCATTGTGTTACCGTGCGTTGGCCGTTCGGTCAGAACGAGAGCCATTCTTGTTCACTTCACGAGAGAGTGAAGATGTCCAGCAACGTATCACAACCAAGCTGACGGAAGGCTCCTACGTCCGTCGGTCGTCTTCGAGGGGTGGGAGCTCGCAATGCCGGTGACACATGACGAATGGGGGGCTGAGGGCCCGTACACGCGTAGTGGGCCTTTCACGGATGGCCCCTACCAGCATTTTCGTCTGAGCAGCGTGAACCTGGACTGAAGGTCACAAATCATGCGTCGACAACAACGGTAACGTGTCTGCTGTCGAAACGGCCAGGGGGCTCGACGTCGCACCCACCGGATTCTTGCTGGGAATGCTAGGTTTGTCATTGAGATTGGATCTCCGCCGAAGCTTTCACGTTCATACAAATTGTGGTTGAGTAACGGTCAACCCTGCGACTGTGTCAGGGTACTCCACTAGCAGCGATACCATGCTCAAGTATCTGTGCCTTTTTTGCCTGCCATGGATATCGATCAAGTGACCCGATGCAAACTGAATGGAAATGGCGCAGAGGAGGAGTGTCAAGTCAAGACGAGTTGCAGTTGACTCAAACGCAAGAATGGTGTATTACTGCTACATATCTTGGTCGATCGATCGCCTAGTTGAAGATCGCAGCGGCGAGGATGGTGGCGATGGCCATGGCGGCGAAGCTCAGGGGAGCCTGGGGCATGGCGCCGCTGGTGGTGGCGGCCGACGTGCCTTCCGACGACGAGGCCTTGCTCGAGGACGACTTGGTCTTCTTCTTGGCACTCTCCTTCGTGCACTGCAGACCCTCCCAGCCGTCCTCGCACTCGCACGCCTTGTTGGAGCACGTGCCCTTGCCGTTGCAAGCCTTGTCCGACGTGGCGTCGCACTCCGAGCACTGGTCGCCCGTGGTGCCGGCCGCGCACTCGCACTCCTGAGTCTCGAGGTTGCACACGCCCGTGGCGCACTGGCCCGGCAGCTGGCACTTGTTCGAGTCAATGTTGTCGCAGAAGTCGCCGCTGTAGCCGACGTTGCAGCGGCACATGTACGAGAGAGAGCCGATCTGGTCGGGCACACACGTGCCCTGGCCGCTGCACAGCAGCGTCGAGTTGCTGGTGGCGTTGGTGCTCAGGCAGTTCTCAATGAGGGACGAAGCCGTGCCCAGCTCGTCCGCGAGCTCCGTGGCGTCCTTCTCGCCGAACAGCACCTCGAGCGCGCTCGTGTCGAAGTCCACGCAGCCGTAGATGACGTCGATCGACTTGCCGTTGGCGTCCTCGGCGCCGGCCACACAGATAACGCCGTCGCCCGACGACGACTTGCTGCTGGTGCCGGTCACGCACTTCTCCGCGGGCTTGTACGTGCAGACGCTGCTGATCTGGTTGTACGGGCTCACCCAGGATGAGAAGGTCGGGCACAGACCGGGGTACTGGCCGGAGCACACGTCCGTGTCCTGCTCCTTGGGCAGGCACTGCTTGACCGTCTCAGTGTCCGAGCGCGTGGTCTGCAGAGCCACGCACTGGTAGCCGTCGGCAGTGCAGTCCTCGGTCTCCTCGCACATACCCGGGCGCTCCTTGTCCTCCTTGTCCTTGGCTGCAACCTGGTGGCTCAGCGCCAAGAGCGCCAACACGCTCGCGAACTTCCACGCCTGCATTGCGATCGAAAGCTGAAGTTTGGGGAATTGGGGGGTGTCCTATGCTGTGAAGAGCAAAAGGGAGAATGAGCGAGCCCCTACAGCAGAGACTTTGGTGGCTGCTTCGGCTAGCGAGAGGACGAGGGCAAAGCTCCGCATGGTACGCCGGCTGGATAGTGCGCTATGTAAGGCGCTCTATGGAGGCCACAACGAGCCCACAAACCGCAATGCACGACAAACCTGGCGCTTAGTGTTAGTGCCGTGCAGGCGTCGTGACGTTCCGCACTCGGCCAGCATTATCATACGGCGGTACAGTACGGTATCAATTTTTGTTGTTCGTTCGCATCTGAAAAGTTCGATTAACACGTGCCTGCTGTAGGGAATGCGGTTCTTCTGTTCGTGCCCAAGACGATTGCATAGTCAGACTCACCTATTATAACGCATACAACTGAACCATGACGGGCGAGGTGGCTCACCTACGCGCCAGCATTTCGGTTCACGATCCAACAGCCTTTGACGCTTCTACATGACCGAAGCCAGCTTCCACTTGACAGTCGCAACGCTTTGCAGCGATAGCTCGGGCATCGGACAGTGTAGCGTAGCACGAATGTGTGAGAGGAGGCCATCCTCTCTAGCTCAGACCCAAGCCAGGCAGGAACGAGGGCTCCGACGACAAAGCCATCTCGACCGCGTGCTGCCGCGGGATGTACGTGACTCGGTAGACACGCCCCTCCTCAGCACGCTCGTAGATCCAGTCCAGTAGCGCCTTCGTGAAATTCAAGCAAACGACGGGGTCCTGCATACACAGCACAAATCAAAGGTATCATGAAGCGTTAGCATCGCTGATTCCCATCAGAACTCTCGCGTTTGACCCCAGGTCGACGAGTCGCGGCGGTCCGGGATGTCGTTAACGTAACATGCAAACATGCACGTTCACGAGTCCCCAACGTACCCAATGCCTACGACAGAAACTCGGGATTTCGGTGACCCGGAAGCTCTGCAGCTTGCGGATCTCGAAGTCGTCGTTGCGAAACGCGCAGACGATCTTCGGAGTTCCGACGAGGAACGACTGGATCCAGAACGCCAGCAACTTGAAGCGCTCAAAGACGAACTGATCCTTCTCGCGCTGCAGCAGCCGAAAAGTCTTGAGCTCGATATACTCTCTTTCACTCCCAGACGAGCCGTCCTTGGCCTCGTAGCAGTCGATCTCCGCCGCGACTACCAGTCCCTTGTCGCCCAGTGTCATGGCCGAGATGCTGCAGAATTCTTCGTCTTCATTCACTTTTCGCTGGTCGCCACCTTGTCCACTTCCTGAACTATCCGAGGAACTTGGTTTTGGATGCGTCGAATAGATTTCAAAGCGCCGACCAGCAAATGCCCCACGGCGTTGGTTTTCGTGGGGGTTGCGATTGCTCTCGATGTCCTGTTGAGTTCTCCGGACGTCCAAATACACGCAGCCCTCGCGCTTCTCAACTCCGAAAGTCCAGTCGTTCTTGCTGTTGTAAGGTGTCTGCGTTCATATTCACCACATGCACAAAATCACATCAGTAGCTACACTTCGAGGATCCAACAATCCTCGATTCGGACACCCACCCCCATGATCTTGTTCAGGTTGTTCCGGAACGTGACAAAGTGAGGCTGCTCTTTGGCCCCTCTATCGCCTTGAAAATGCTCCAACGCCGACAACAACGGGCCGAGAGGCGCCGGCGGCGCAGTCGGATCCGTTTCGTCCTTCGACGAGTACTCCTCGATTCCATCCAACAAATTTGCCCCAACCTGCATCAACACCAACATTAACATCAATACTTTGTATAGTGCATGCAGAAGCTCTGCAATTACTCGTCACCTCTGCTTGCTTGTACACCAGCTACGCAAAATTCCACAACGACATCAAAACTTTGTTAGGATATTTAAATTCTGGGATGGCTCGAATCAATTACCCCACGTACCAAATTGGACCGGTCGAAGCGCACATCCTCGTCTGCGTATTTGCTGAAGTAGGCAATTTCACGAGGCTGTATCTTTTTCATTAGAGAGCCGTAGCAATAATAAAAATGATGTGGTGGAATCGGAATTGGAGCCAACCTGTGACAGCGCGGCTCGGTCCTGCCGCGAGAGCTGGTGGGCACGTGGGACGCTGAAGCGGTGGGAGCTTCCGGGGGTCAACGAGGTGGCGTAGCCCCCAGCACTTGAGCTTTGGGGCCGTGAGCGCTGCATCGGCTGCCGGTTCAGGTCGCCCGTATGGCGGCGCTTCTCGGTCATTTCTTGGGCGTTTCTAAAAGTGCGGTAAGGCATTTCTATAAGGAAAGTGTAGCCATTTTTTTGTTTGTGACTTTCTAGGAAAAAAGCTTGTGAAGCTGAGGTATCCATGCGCTGGGGCTTCAATGTCAAACAGGAGGTGAACACGTTAGGGACTGGAACCATGCAGTGATCATGGCTACAGTCTCTCCGTTGACAGCAAGTTCTATGGAAACGCAATCGCAAAGTTATTTCGTGAAAGCGTTGCTGGCCGAGGTAACGATAGTCAAAGGATGGCGCTTAGAGTTTACCAGTATGCAGCACATGCCACGACGCAACGAAGCCAACGGTGGTGCCACCATAAAGTTATGCCCGTGAAACGACCCAAGACTGGACGCATCCAGCTCTACAGCAAGCGGTTGGCTCAAAGGCTCAGCAAACTCGCACTCGATGGGCTCGGGGCTGTGAAACTCCTGTCCTGGGTGGAACGAAGCCCGAACGCTACGCATCGATCCGTAGCGACGACTTCGGCACTTTGGGTGGCTGTCCCGGACACGTCGACACTGAGGGCTTCAAAACCAGGCTGTCGCCATCTCTGCGCCTGTCAGCTACGGCCATCACTCGGCTCTTAAACCTTGAAGCCCCCCCTGTAAGAAGATTTGAGTGTGAGTCTGCGTTTGAATCATTGTCGCGCGGTGGAAGCCGCGCTGGTCGATGTCTTAGCCGCGAGCGAGCGGACTGGACCCAAATTTTCCGTTGGAGGAGGGCAGTTGAGCCGGTTGACCTGTACTTTGGATGGGACTGTCCTCCCCGCCCGCTGCTCATTTTTGAACTCGCTTCGAACAGGCTAAGACACGACTAAGGGCATAAAACTCACGACAAAACTTCCGCACTCCTTGAACATTCTAGCGGTAAATCTCGACGAATATCGCTACGGCTTTTGGTTCCGAACGCAACGTCATGTCGGACTCCCCGATCGTCATCATGGAGGGCGTGCTCTGGGTCGAGATACTCGCTCTCATCGGCTATGCGCTCATGTGTCTGCTGAGTCTCCTGCTGGTCGTGTACCTTCGAGTGAACCGCCGAGAGGCCTTCAAAGGAGACCCCCACGCCTCCCGTAAAGTCATTTTACCCGCATTCGAACCATTACTCTGGATCCTCGCAGTTAGCGCCGGCATCTACGTCGTCTTCTTCAGCGTGGCGCTCAAGATCAAGTTGTACACTGTCGGGTTCCCGAATATCGACCGAGAGTTTTTCTACTGTGGCCGCATGTTTGTCTTCACGCTCGTACTGGTGTTTCTGTGTCAGAAGAGTGTGTCGCTGCCTGCTCTCCGATGCGCCGTGCTGAAAACTCTCGTGGTTTCATGCTACACTCTGCCAATGGTGTGGATTTTCAGCCACTTCATACCCCAGCATCTCACATTGTTATTCTTCGTCAAGCTTGGAGTACGACCGCTGCTGCTGATTTTCGTGATGTACGTGTGTTTTCTCCACCCTCCGGCGGGTCGAGCGAGTCCCCAAGTCTTGAGAACACACGGCTGGTTCGTCATTGTGTATCACGTATTCCTCGTGGGCTACAGCATCACACAACAGTATATGCAGGACTCGATCTTGTATCCAGTGTTGTCTTACACGATATTGATCTGGAGCTCCATGTGCCCATTGATGATCTGGAGAATACTCCGAGCTGACACCGAGTACTGGCGAGGAATGGGGAAACGCGTTTATTCGCTCCAACACGTCGTCCACACTCAACCGAATTCGCATCTACGAGCGGCCACCACAGCTGTGAACGAGGACATTTCGTCGCACGGGATCCATGTGCTCATTGAGACGCACCGTGAGTTTCTGATCGACTTTGCGCATTTGGAGCTCAGACGCAAAATCAGATCCGACAAGCACTTCGCCATGTTCAGCGGCTTGCTGCGCTCGACCAAGGTTGTTGCTGTTAAAGTGTACACACCGCGGTATCTTACTGAAGAGATCGTGGGCGAATTTTCGCACGAGGCAGCGCTGTGTGCAGGTTTCAGCCACCCGAACATCGTCGAGTGTTATGGCATGTGCGTTTGTCCTCCGACGGTGTGCTTAGTCTCTGAGCTGTGTGCGTACACGCTAGAGGACGTGCTGATAACACGAGGAAAGTATGTCGACCATCGGCGTACGATTTGGCTAGGTCAAGCTCATGATAGCAACGGTGACTCGAGACTGGAACTTCAGCGGATGCAGCTGAATGTCGCCTACATGCTGGATTGCTCTCGTGCTGTGGCTTATGTGCATAGTTTCTCGCCTCCGTTTCTACATCGTGACATCAAGCCCGCCAACTTCCTTCTGGGCATCGATAACAACCTCAAGCTCACGGATTTCAGTGATTCACGACGGCTACAAAGTGAAATTCCAACTTCAAATGGCAATAGTCCAGCGTCCAAAGTGTCTGGTCCTGTCAAGCCCAAAATGACAGTCACCGGGACAGTCGACTACATGGCCCCCGAGATGATTAATAGCCGTACTGGGCTTGCAGCTTACGCAGAGGCTGCGGACGTGTACTCCCTCGCCATCACCTTCTGGGATATGCTCTACCCGGACCGCGAAAAATACCCGGACACTTACAACAACAACCTGCTCGTTTTTGAAGGTGTGTTGAGTGGTTCTCGCCCTCCAATCCACGACGATATCACGATGGACGAGGTAGTTCCTCCAAGACTACTCGATCTCATTACCAGTGCGTGGAGGTGCGACCCAAACACGCGTCCAACAGCTCAACAACTCGTCGTCGAGCTCGAGAAAATTCAAGAAGAGCTTCTAGCTGCGTTGGCACAGGATCTACTCAGCGACTTTGAACGGGGAAATGCTGAGTATCCAGATTGCGCTGACAGAGTTTTCACTGGTGAGTGCGCAGTTGAACGCATGAAAGAATTAAAGGTGGTGGAGTCCAAAGGCGAGGGCGTCCGTATCGGCCGAGCGCTCATGGATGCTGGGTTCCTCCACCACTTTGAGCATTCGAGTGGCTTTCGTGCCAGCAGTACGACTCTGTACTTCCTCGACGACGACAATATCAGCTTCTGCCAGCCGCTGGTCATCCTAGAAGAGTCTGCAAGCTCCTCTCAGAACACTGAAGATGGTCCTCTGGCCGCTCAGAGCTTTCAGCAGGTATCGGCTTCATCGAGGACAAAGTTACGGAAGCGTTCGCGTCTGCTGTCTCACTTGACCTCCACGTTCTCGGCGAATGGCCAAACCGCGTCGGATGTGGGAAGCTCGCAGAATGGGCAATGCGCATGTCGATTGCTGGGTCAGCTTCGAGATGTACCGGTTGCACCTTCAAGCGGTCGACACCGGCGGCCGCGTCGACGATTCACGTTGAGTCGCAACAGCAACAGCAACAGCAACAGCAACAGCAACAGCATCTGCAGTACTGGAAGTGCCTCGGCTCTAGCTGCAACTCCAAGACGATGGCAACTCGGCAAGAAGAGCGAGCCAGAAAGCTCGCTTCGGAACAAATTGCTGGATGAAGAGCAGCAGCAGAATTATGTCATCGACTTGGCACGGGAAGGATTAGTGCTCTAAAGGATAGGTGAGCGATAAATCCAAGTTGAAGTGATCAGCCAATCAGAATCATCCATTGAAAAATCTGCGACAGGTGAGAAAGGCAAGTTGATTCCTCGGGCATTTCGCTCTATCAGTTAGCAATTTGCTGCGTTGGACGCAAGCTGAAGGAGCATCATGGCGCTCAACACATTGGACACGAAAACTCGCGAAGTCATGGCGGCCGCGTACGCCATACCAGACCTAGAGACGGCCGTGCAGCAAGGTATACCCCGCTATGGTCTACTTGTCTATTGTCTGCTAGCACTGTTGACAGTGTGTGTGGCGGCACAGTCATCTACAATGCGATCGACGCTCACGCGAAGAGGATCAGGCTGTCACTGAACGTTGCCGATGCTTCCTTTTCGGCTGTAGATGATGGTACAAACCGAAGAAAAGTCGTGGCGCTTTTGTGGTGCTTCTGACGTTGTGGTTGGTGTCTTGGCCAGGTGATGGCATCCAGCCAGACGATCTCTACAAGTTTGTCGGTGGATGTTACGGTAAGGGCGATCGGTAGAAAGGCACGCACACATTCCGTGCTCACTTCAACCTAAACCTGTGGTTATTGTGCAGCCTCATCAAGAGGGTCACCGTCGGCAAACTCTGAGAAGCATCAAAGGGCATACGGGTCTCGCGGCGCCTTTCTCTTCGAACTGATCACACTTGCGAAGGTGGTTGAGGTCGAAAGCCGCGTCCAAGACCATTGGACTTCGTGGCGGAAAGTGTTTAAGGTCAGTCTAACCGAATCCATCCTGGAAGGTGTTAGGTTCTTTGAGTGGATTGAAATTGAAATTTTGAGCAGGAAGGGCAAGTTGCCTTCAATGCTGCCTCAAAGCAGATTATCGACGCAGGGACCAAAGTGTGTGTGTCCAACCTGTTTGGGAAGCTTCCAGTGAGGCGCAAGGACTTATTACACAACAGGAAGTATCGAAGACAAGTGATCCAGAATATCCGCAGCTTCTGCGTGAGCATGGCGATGATTTGGCCATTGTTATCGCTTGACATCCACTTTGAAGGTATAAAGCGAGGATTTTTTTCCTATATTGGCCCGTTGATGACTCGGTAATTCGTTGGTCTGGACTCTAAGGTGGAGAAGGCGCACAACCAATGATAATTCCAGGAGCGAAATCCTGTCGAGAGCGTTTCCAGACTCACTTCGGTCCGATGCTTGGGGATGAGCTGAACGTAAGTCTTGTTTTCTTCTATTCACCTACTTGACGTTTTCTCGACTACTTAAGCTAAGCCCTCTATGACCAGTACGTGACTTTCACGTCGCAGCGTTGTTCATTCTCCATTCGTGGGTACTTCGCCTTCATTCCCAGAGGAAGGGAAGGGGTGGCGCAAGGGATCAAGCAGGCCAAAACCTACTACCAATTCGCGTTTCTTGAGAACGAGTGGGTACCAGAGTGCCAGCAGATGTGCTCAAGGATAATAACGGACGCTGCACTGGAACGCTCATCAGGTGGGCTTTAGTTTCCGCTTTTCTCTTACAAAAATTACAAGTACGGCAAGGTATAACTTTGTCCCCCTATTTAACAGCTATTCCGATCTTCGTTCTGAAGATCGCAGCCCCGAACGATGAGTACGACATTTTGCGGAGCAAAACGGAAGACCGCGTGCTCTTCAAAGCCCCGGAGCAGTTACAGGAATTTCTTGGGGAATTTGTCCGGGTAAAAATTGGCCTCAATCTTTACACTGCGCTTTTAAAACATACTGACGGAAAATGTTGTCGTTAGAGCTTGAGTTCTCCTGAAAAAAGCAAAACCGAGGTGCAGCAGTTGAATTTCTTGCTGCATCATACCCTTCTGAATTTTATTTCTCACTCTCCGCCAGCAAACTGCGGAGTGTGGTTTACCTCCCCCAACACTGATAACCAGTCAACCCCTTGATCGACCTGGAGGACTAGCAGTCATGAATTCTTGCTTCCCACAGATGAGCGAACATGATGTTTGTTCGTCTCCACTTGGGGATTTTGAGCACATCAGCCAAACGAGTCTTCCTGTTCTCAGCGACCACGTCGCTGGAACAGAAGGAATGGCCTTCGACGACGGAGATTTATTTGATGGCGACGATTTCCTGCTATCAAGTGCTGTCGAAGACCGCGCGATATGGTCTCATGTGTCCAAAGAAGACTACGTCTCGGTAGAACCTATCTTCCACCTAGCACGAATCAATTTTCGCTCTAATCGATTTGTGTCATGATAGAGCGAAGTCTGTACTGTTTGCCACGCGTGTGGCCAAACAACTGCTCGGTACGTCAGATCATCACGGGTTGCTGTAGTTGAACTAATACCTGGGTTGTGTTTTTGATAGAGCATTTGAAACGATTGAATGCGTTGATGTCAAAGACAACGAGATGGAATTCCAAGTTGAGCAGGATAGCGCTGCCGCAGCAACCCACCTGATTCCCGAGGAGTATCGTGCTGACAGAGGGTTTGATCGGGAAGAACACTCCAGAACGGAGGGCGACCTAGAGAATATTTTCTTCTCCAGCCAAACCCTCGTGATGCGTGAAGGAGCCGACGATACGGTGCAGGTAACTTATGTTTTGTTTTGTTTTCATTAATGCTGCTGAAAGATTCATAGTTTGACTCACTAAGGCTTTGGGCGTGCCAGCAGTTAGTAAGGACGCCGTGGTTAAGCAGCAAACCGGATGCCTATGACTGCGCTGAGGCGTTTCTGGATGTATACCAGGACGGCACCCAAACAAAGACCCCGCAGTATTATCCTGCCATCACGAACCAACACAACGGCAAACAATCTGGAGGCGAAAACCACTATCAATTGCACCACCAGCAGCCAGCTTCTCGTTCGGTGACGTCAACGTATTTTGATGAAGTTGACCAAAGTGCTCGAAGGCGTTGGTCCAGCCTTGCCACTACTCCAGTAAAGCACCTATCTGCAGCTCTACAAGTCGACAATGTCCACACTCTGAACGGCCTGCAGTCCATCAAGATCAGCAAGTCGACTCTCGCCGATATGAAGGTGATTCGTCAAGTTGATCGCAAATTCATCCTCGTCCAAGCCGATACTCCTCGAGGAAAGTTGCTGCTTTGCATTGATCAACACGCGGCTGATGAGCGTGTGCGCTTGGAGAAACTGGAGGAGGAAATGTTTGGTCTCGATGGAACCTTACGTCGAGTGGAAATCCAACGTCACCAACCACCTCTGGCACTTCGCATGAACGTCAAAGAGTGCGAGACGCTGCATCGCCACGAAGGGCTGATCGACGGCTGGGGATTCGACTTCGAGTTCACCTCAGCGGGAACAGAGCGATTGGGCTACGTACACGACCGATCAGAGACGCAGAAAGAAGAACGCGTGTTGTTGCATTCTACCCCGAAGGTGGAGAAGAGAGTGGCGAACGGTGACGATTTCCGAGACTTCATCCAGCTTTTAGCGAGTGCTGGCGGTAAAAATCTGCACTCGAACATTCGACCTCCAGTGATCACGAGGCTGCTGCACTCACGCGCGTGTCGAAGCGCTATCATGTTTGGCGATCATTTGACCACTGGACAATGCAAAGAGTTGATCGAGGAGCTGAAGACTTGCCAGCTGCCCTTCCAGTGTGCTCACGGTCGACCTTCAGTCGTTCCGCTTGCCGAGATCCAGCGCAACCTGAGCAGAAAGTAGCGATTCTAATCGTCGCTTCAAGTTAGTCAATGAGTAGGTTAGCATTTGCAAGTTATAGAAGTCCTGCAGAACGCAATCAACGCTTTGGATTCTCGAGGGCGTTGCTAATTCGACGAAGCTGCACAAAGAGAACACGCGAACGTAAGTTTTCGTCAGATATTCAACCCACAACCTTAGCGAACCATATGAAAGTGTTCTTACCATGTCGTTGGAAGATGGCAGCGAGCTGTTTAGGAGTATTTGCGGTGAAGGCTGCGATTTACGCCGAAGGATATCCCGCGGATGGCCGTAGGTTGCTATTAAGTTCAATTCCAGCGTGTGAGAACCGCGCTTTGTCAATTAGCCGGCAGATGAATGAATCTTACCTCCCCCAATTGAGTGCCGCATCTGAGGTCTCGACTCTTCGCTTTCTTCAAGCTCGTCTTCATCATCTTCGTTTGCGTCCTCTTCCTCTTCGTCGTCATCATCGTCTTCGTCATCCTCATCTGAGAATGCAGTGCTCGTGTTTATAGCTTCGATGGCATTCAGGATGCGTTCACGTTGGACGCGGTCTCTTACTCCAAAGTCGTTGATCAAGTCGCTCTCTGTTAGCTCTAGAAGCATTTCACCGTTGCACTGCTTCTGCTGAAATCGAAGCTGGACAAATTTGAGCTGTAAGAGGTGAATATCACAGATATCCATGTTTGCTGCGTTCTTACCACGACATCAGGAACCCCGACATCTTCATGTAACCACAGGCAGACATTCTCTACGCTCCACTCTTTGACAACTGAGTGACCAAAAGTACAAAGTCAGTAAGACCCAATCTCTATGGTATCAAATTGCAGTCCGTACCTTGAGCGAGTGTAAGTTGATCATCTTCATCTTCGTCGTCATATTCCTCATCATCTTCTTCGTCTTCTTCCTCCTCGGCGTCATCGTGCCCGTCGCGTCTCATCGAAAGCCTCATTTGAAGACTGTTTGGAGTTGTCGAGGACAGACTGTGCAGACCAAACAGAATAACTTTACTAAACGTACAACAGAGTTCAACTGCAGCAGTACAGGAATCCTTACCTAGGTGCACTCGATCGAACACCACTATTGCGATCCTGCAGCAAAGTGCTTCCCCCAGTTCCGGGTGCACCAGGATTTGTGAGTTGCGAAAGCGCCAAGTTCCTTCGTGCCAATCGGTCGGACGTAGTTTCTTCTGCATTTTTCAACAAGGAGCTTCGTTAGTCAACAATCGTGCGACTGTGAGCTGTCGGTTGACCACAAGACTTACCTGCCACTTTAGCTGTGTCATTTGATGGATTTAGCCCAACTCGAGGATCCGCAGTGGCACGACGGGTATTTTGCTGCGATGCTGATGCAGGCGTTGTTGCAGTAGGAGGTGGGGGGAATGGAGGTGGCGGTGGGATTTTGATGGGGGCTCTTGCTGTTGCTGATTGGGAAGCTTGTGACTGAGCTTGAGGCAACGGACTTCCCGATGCTGGATTTGCACCTGGAACAAATTTGCAGTTCGTAGAGTGTGCAACAATCGCATCCGCTGGGAAGAGCTGGCAGCACCGAATGCACTTGATGGGGCGCTTCGAGCATCGACTAGCGTGTGTGGTCAAGGCAGACTGCGGCATCTGAAAAAAAAAATAAAGCGGCCATAACATGGTTAGCGAATGTAAATTAAATTGTTGGACGCAGCACACACTTACATTCTCGTTGCAATGAGGACAGGATTTGATATTCGTTTTGCATGACGTCTCGTGGCGCTGCAGGTCTCGGGAGATAACGACCATGTTGCAGTGCTGGCAGCGCTTGGGTTTCCAGTCGCAACTACGGTAGCAAGACATCAATGCATGTCAGAGACTGCATTATCGTTAGAACTTTAGTAAGTATACACTTACTTCTGTTCATGCTCGTCGATTCTGCTCGCTTCGATTTCGTCGTCGCAGAATTTACACTCCACCTGCAGTGAGCAAGAGCATTCAGTCAGACAACAATTAGGCGTTTGCTCGAAACACTTCAGGGGGTGAAAGCTCTGCTTTTACTTTTCCGGTAGGGGCAGCAGCTGAAAGAGGTTGTGTTGTTTGAGGGGGAGGAGGGGCGGGCTTGTTTGCGTCAGGGTAAGACGGGCGTGGAGCAGCAGCTACCACCGGTACAGCGTTTGTCACTGGTTTCTTCGGACAACGAGTGGCGAGATGATTTGGAATTCCACGCTGTAAGAACTTGCCACCGCAATCGTTAGGACAAGAAACGAGTCTGCAGTCACAGTTCTCGATATGCTCCTGCAACTCTGACATCTGCAGCAACACCAATACGTTAGTAAACATCAACTCCATTATTTTACTGGCCAAGAGAGCATGACCTACCTTCTGACGACGGAGGCAATGCGGACACTGCTTTAGTACTTTGTCGCAGTTGATTTCGTGCTCCAACAAATCCAGGCTTGGTACATCAGCTGAGCAATGACGACACTTCTTCATCGAGCCTCCCAACTCTGTGGCATTGTCCACTTCCGGGGCAGATTTCGCTTCGCTCGGGTTTGATTCTGTTCCTAGAGCCTCTGCCTTGCTGCTCTGAGAACTGTCGCATTCAAGCTCGTGCATCTCGAGGTTGGCCCACTGCATTTGCTGCTTGCACGAGACACACTCCACTAGACGCTTGGGGCATAGCGATTTTTCGTGCTCAGATTTTTGATCGGAACGGACGGGTAGTCGGCACAAGCTGCACAGGACATGGGATACCGGAGGACTATCAGGCAACGACGGTGTTGTTGCTGGTGCTGATGCTGCAGGAAGCTGCGATTGTTTTATCTCTTCGGCCTTCTCTGGGGTTGGGATAGGCAGCGTTTTACTACTCGACTGTGTCTCTGGTCGGAGTGTTTCCGCTGTTGCAGGCCGAGCAAAGATCTTGGCTAGCGGGGAGAGCGGAGGTGGGCAATCGTCTTTTGCCGCTGATGCTTCGGGCTGTGTGGGAGCTGGAAGCGTTGGGGTTTGTCCATCTTGCTGTCGTGTCGCTGGGATGCTTTGCTGGGGCAACGCTGGTTTGAGATCGTTCGGCACAGGTTGTGTTGGTGGTGGAGGACGAGAAGAGTCAATCTCACGCTTCGGGTCGATGTGAGACGCTCTCGTGATGCTGGGACCTGCCAGTGGAGGCTTCGTCTCGCTTGAACCTGCAGATGTCGGTGATACGACAGGCACTCCGTCGGGTTTTGTCAAAGACTGCGGGGTAACGCTTTCAGGCGGTGGTGGGGGTGCCCTAACGGCAGTTCCTGGTGTTGTCGGGGTACCTGGAACACTTACAGGGGTTGGAGGTTTATTCCCTACAGCAGGCGGATTGGTGCGCGCTACTGTGTCTTTACCAGGTAGTGCAGATGACGAGGCTGATCGAGTCATTGGCGGTGGGGGGCCCGTAAGAACCGCAGGAACTGATGATCTCCTACTGCCACCGTCGGTCGGATCAGTGGGCTTCAATACCGGGCCTTCCACTCGAGTGCTCACTTGCGGATTCGTCAAAGTAACTGGGACTGGAGGCTGTCGCTGTTGCTGCTGTTTGGCTTCCTGCTCTTGCTTCCGCCGGTTTTCAACACGTGCTTTTGCAAGTTCAGCCTCTGCCAAAGCCCCCTTCGCTGTCGTAGCAAGCGTGTGCTCTCGATTGGTGGAATCACTCGGCTTGTCGGAGGTCTCTGTTTCCCGTTGATCCAATGTTGATAGTGGCTTTGACACCGACTCGGACACCTCAGAAGGTGGAGAAGACGCAGACGCTGCTTTACTTGGAGGCGAGGGAGTCGTGGTTGCAAGCTCTAGCTGCTTTACAGGCGTCGCGCAGCGCACACGATCGTCAGATTTGTCCCCACTCGCTGCTTCTTTCGTCGAGTTCGTACTCTTGTTCAGCTGAGTTTCAACAGCGACACGGTTGTCAGGGTTCGAAGCTGGGGGCGCTGGCACTGGCGCACTTTTAGCATGAACACCCCCTACTGGCGTCAACGGAAGATGCTCTGTTGGGCCTCGACTCATTGCTGGTGGGAGCTGGAGCGTTGGTGGAGGCGGTGCATGACTCGCTGCGTAGGGTGACGGAGGCCAAAACCCATGATAAGGAGAAGGAGCCATTGCCAACTGAGCCTGCGATTGGGCCTGGAGTTGAAGCTGGAGCTGCATTTTCTGAAGCAAATTCTCCATCGTCGACACGTACACGCTGGTCTGCTTTTCAAGCGCCAAGCTAACCTCCTTGGAGCTCGATTCGTTGTTTGGTGGTGCTGAGGCTGCCGCAGCGGGGGCGGACGCAAGAGATTTCGATAACGCTGCAACGGTCAGGTTTGTGCCAGAAATTGTATCCTCAAGTCGCTTCAACTTCTGCTCCCACTCAGCATCGCGGCTGCCACCCTGCGCAAGTAATGAAGTTTTCAAGGTTGCCACAGACTCCTGGTTCTCTTTCTGAAGATCCGCTACAGCTCTCTCAATCTGCTTTTCCACGGTAATTAATCGCTTTTCCAAGTTGCTGTCATGTTGGGATAATTTCGTACGGTTCTCTTGCGTAAGTGTGTGGATCTGGTCTTCCAGCTGATGGCGGCTCTTTCGAAGTGATTCATGGATATCGTTCAGCGCTTGCTTTCGCTCCTTTTGTTCCGTTTCAAGCAGTTTAACGAGCTCAAGCTGCTTGTTTTGCCACGAACTGGTTTGTTTCTCGAGAGCTGTCGTCATTGTCGTCACCGCTTGCAGCACTGACTTCTCAGTTCTATCAGAAAATTCCCTCAAAGCTGTGTTATTATCACTCCGAAGTTGCTCTTGAGCAGCCTTCAAGTGGCTGTCAGCTTGCATCGCTGCAGCAGTGCAACGATTCCGACATCCTTCTTCCAGAACACCCCGCAGATTCTCAATCTCTAGCTTCCCGATAAATTTACTCACACTGTCATCAACCAATTTACAGATCGGTATGGTTTGAGTGTCCACGTAGTCCTTGACGAGCAGTTTAACCTCCTTCAAGATCCCTTCTCGCACATCCGCCAGCCTCTTCTCCTGTTGCTGCTCCTCCTCCTTCGCTTTAGCCTCTGCTTCTTCCTTCGATACTGGTGGCGAGCGGCTATCTCCACGGCCACCGTCCTGAAATATGTCCAACTTCGCCACGTGATGCTTCAGAGCGTTCAGATCGCTGCGCAGCTCGTTAATCTCGTCCGCAACTCCTCGATTCACTTTCTGCGTGAGTCCATCCAGCAAGAGGCTCGAAGAGCTCGTCGTACGCGTGATTTCAGCGATCTGCTGGGCCTGGTGCTGCAGATTTGCCTGCAGTTGAGCTTTGATCGGCTCCATCGCAGCATTAAACTGCACCAGCAGCTCCGACCTCGAGAGCTTCTCCTGCGCGACCGCCTGCGTAGAATTGCCTTGCTCGCGAAGTGCTGCCACCATTTGACGCAGCTCCAGCAACTGGTTCTCGGTCTGCATGCGCCACGACTCGTCTTTGCCGCACATCGACTGCAGATGAAAGCCGATATCCTTCTGCGTCGTGAGCTCCTGCCGGATCTTGGACTGCACCTGGTCCAGCGTGTGCAGTTGCCGATCGTTCGCGCACACTTCCACTCGTAGTCGGTCGAGCTCCTCCGACGTCGCCTTGCACAGCTGCAGCAGCGCGCTCAGTTGGCGCTCCGCAATGGCGGCACGCGCGTCCACCTCCAGCTTCAGACTGAGTCGGACCTGCTCCATCATCTGCGCCATATCGTACGTCGGCGAGCTGTACATTTGCTGGTGATACACTCCACCGCCACTACCTGCTGCCTGCCGAGCGGGAGCATATCGAGACTCGTCCACTTCGTGATCCTGCACTTGCGGCTCCTCCTCCGCCGGTCCGTACTCGTGACCTCGGCGGTGCGTGCGCTGGTTGTCCCTCGCTCTTCCTGCTGCTCCTCGCTTACGCTCCTGTTGACGATGGAAATGCTCCGAGAACGAGGTCGTCGACGTCTGAGCGGCCGTCGCTGGTCCGCGCGGGAACGCGCCAGACACTCGCGTGTACGACGGCGTCTGTCGTCGCTGCTCCTGTTGGCGGTGGCGGTAGTCGCTCGCCATCGTCTCGCGCAGGTACGCGGCGGCCACGTTGTCGCTGGGGTCCTCATGGTGCTGCTGGGCGGGCGGCTCCTCGGCCGCGAACTCGGCCGTGACGTCCTCGAACAGGCGGAACTGCTGCTCGAGGCTGGCGTCCGTGCAGCGGATGATGGCCGCGAGGTTGGCCTCCCAGTCCATGCCGGGCGGTGGCTAGCGGCCGCGGCGTTTGGCGGTCGAGTGCATGCATCGCCGCCACCAGCCATCGCGTCGTTTCAACTGCCAAAGGACGCGAATAACCGTCCACGATCCAGGCCCGGCTATGCGCATCTGGCTCGTCTGTCCCAGCTTGAAGCGACTGGTTCAGAGGACCCCTAGTCTGAAGTCCTAGTTTAGGACTGGGACGGGTGGTGCAGCGCAAGCTGGTTTTCCGTGCAGAGCCGCGGCATGGCCTGTCACAATTTCAGAGCGCGCTCGAGAGAGCACCACCGGGCTGGCTGGGCTTGCTTGGCTTATCGGAGCCCCTGGCATCTGCCTGCCTTCTGTCGATCTATCTGCTGCGCTGTATCGCTGGAAGACTCGGTCGACGTCGATCCCTTTCCATCGATGTCACTGCTGCTGCTGCTGGAAGTCACCAGGATTCTGCGAGGCGCGAGGGCGTTGGATGAGTGACTTGGGTTTGACACCGTCGAGCGTCGAGCGCCAATGGACTGCGCTGCGCTGCAGGCGATTGCAGCAGCGGTGCAGATTGCGCCTCAGCTGCAAGGCTTTGTCGGCGCTCTGCAGCAAAAGGGTCCAGCGGGGGGCGGCCCCCATCCAACAATCTCCGCGGCGGCGCCGCTGGTGACGCAATAATGAATGAGTGCTCGGAGCCCGCAGCCTCGACACGGTCGGAGCGAGTTCCGCCAGCGCCGGTGTCGGCGCTCCAACGGCTCCTTTGGCCGACCGTCGACACCTCCTGCTGCACACGAACACCCTTCATGCAGCACTGCTGCAGCAGCAGCGTGGAGCGTTACCCCGCATAGGTACTGTACACCATGCATCGCATTGGTAAAAATTGCGGGTTGAACTGAACTTTGGATCGGCCTTTTCTTGCATTTTTTTGATTGGCTGTCTATATTTAGCGGCCTCGCTTCGAGAATGCGGGGAAGGGATCAAGATCTAGGCCCAAGAGTCAGAGTGAACTCAACGCCCCATAGCCCATACGGCAAACAGCAACCTTCTGCGGCCCTCTTCCTCTAGAGTTAGTCCCCGATTGCCCCCCGGCAGCGCAACGCCCCACGCCACTCTACCTCGCTGCAACCAAGCCAGCCATGAACTCTCCCGCCGCGCCGTTCTCCAGCCACCAGGCCATCATGAAGTGCCCCTGGCAGTGGCGCCAGCCCTTCCTGGACGAGAAGCGCGAGAGCCGCAAGCGCAAGGTCGGCGACGGCTACTTCTACGACCCCGTGGACCCCAGCTTCGTGGACCACCTGCTGCCCGGCTACGCCAAGAAGTTCTGCGGCGCCGACGTGCTCGAGTCGGACGAGAAGGAGAACATCCAGCGCGAGATCGAGCGCCTCATGACCAAGAAGGACGGCGCGCTCGCGGACGACGACGCCGCCACCTCGGGCGACGAGGACGACTTCGACGTGAGCCGCGAGAACCAGGCGCTGGTTGACAGCATCCTGCTCATGTCCAAGTCCGTCGAGGCCTCGTCGCTCACGCTGGTGGCGTCGCCCAAGAGCGTGGCGTCCTCGTCGCCCTCCTCCGACGAGGGCAGCGACGACGACGAGCTCGCCACGGACAGCAGCAGCAGCGTCGAGGACTCGTTCGACCTCGCCGAAGACCGACCGGCCAAGCTGATCGCGCACCGCAGCTCCTCGCTCGAGCTCGTGTCCGACAACCTGCAGGAGGCCTACTTCGCCGTGGAAGACAACGAGTTGCTCGACTTCCAGGCGGCCTCCGGTGCCAGCGTGGTGGACACGGACTGAGTGCAGAGACGTTTGCAACACCCCACCCCACTCCCCCTCTACGTCTCGCCGACGCCCGCGGCCATTTTCCCACCGACTTTCGCTCGTGTGAATTTATTTATTGATCGACTCCAAGCTTTGAATGCGCGTGTGTATGATTCGAGTGCCCCACCCGCCTTCCGCACGAGGAAGAGAGCGCTCTCGCCTGCAAGAGTGACGCAAGATAGCCACCCCCAGAGAAACAAAAACAAACTCGCTAAATGAACCTGCTTTTTGCCAGCTTTATCAACTCTTCCTTCTCAATTGTATCCGCGCATCCTGTCATGCCCAGACACACAGTTTGATAGCGGATCCGCTCGACTGGCGCTAATTACTAACCACTCCCCCATTACATCTTGTCCCCCCCCTCCCCTCATGGCGCTGGTCGTGAGCTGAGCACCGGCCACCAAGGAGCCGGCAGGCAAGGACCTGGTTTGTCCGTTTCCGCGCGTGATGAAAGATTTCGCTAGAAACGCCCATTGCATTTGTCCGTTACTGGGACTCTATTGACCTTATACGGGGATCTGCCAGAACATGGTGCCCTCGACGACAAACGGCCGCAGCAATCGCCGCGAGACTAGCGTGTCTAGCAGGATCTCAATCTTCTCCTTCCCATACTCGGGCAGCATTTCTGCCAGCTGGTCGACGCTCTGTTCGTATACAGCACGCAGCGGCGGTTAGTGATCAAAGCGATACGAGGCGAGCCAACGAGGTAACAGACAAAACGCCTCGCGCAAGCGTCAGATTGAAGTGTGCAATACTCACAATCGCAGGTTTGTTGTCGTCTGTCCCCTGAAATTTACTGTACAATGTCGACACCTGCACGGCACCAACACCTCGCTGCAACGTGACACCACCAGATGAAAGGTTAGCTAAGAGCTCCTGCTTCAACGTCGACCAGCATGGAAACAAGGCTCGTACCTGGAATACTGCTGGCAGCAGCGATAGCTCGAACTTCGGTGTCGGCTCCCCGGCGTTAAAAGAATCGTCGTAGTCCTGCAACCGCGACTCCTGGGATACACTGCCGACATCCAGGCTAGCGCCCACAAGTCGGTTAGACAACGGGGTGTTCGGGGTCATCGCCTTCAGCTGCGTACGCAACAAGGGGGACGTCAAGTCGAAGTCGGGTGTTCGGGGTGTGTCATCGTCTATCGCCCCGCTCCCTTGTTGCAGCGGTGTTGCTGCCACCGGAGTTTGGCCTTCCCGTCGACGGCTCGGCGATGATACGCTACTCTTGCTGCTGTACTTCCGCCGCAAGCTTGGAGACGTGAACGGAGACGAACCCTTTGCTGGGTAGAGGGTTTTCGGGTACACCGGGGTTCGTCGCTTCTCGCTTGCATCCGATCGTTTCCGCTTCCGACTAGAGGCACTTTCTGATGTCCTCGCTGGGCTTGGAGCGTTGCTCTTGGACTCCTCTCGAACAGTTGAAAGTCGAACCGTCGTAAACTCCGGGGCGTACGGCGTCGCAATGGAGTCGTTAGTCTCGTCAACCTCCTTCTCCTCGCCAGCGGATCTCGCCTTCTTTCCCCGCGGAGGTGTGTACTCGAACTCGCCCATCTTCATCAAATTCCTGCTAATACCCGGACTGTTGCTACTGTACGCCACACTGCTAATAGCCGACGGAGGCGTTGAGATCTGTCGTGTTCCAGCGTTTCCTGCTTCTGGTGGCTCTCGCTGCAGGAATCAACACCACAAACCACCATCAGTCCAATACTCCATCCCGACCTACCAACACAGTATCAACGCACCGAGATGATACCCGTGCGCGGCGGCGACGATAGTCTCGGCGACCAGCGCTCGCGGTCCTCCGAGTTAAACGTCGATGTCGACTCCTGCGTTTTGGCAGCTGATTGGGCCGGCGCCGTGGGCATGTAGGGCGTCCTGGACATCCTCGGCAGGTTGTCGCTGTTAATACTGAAGTTGAGGCTGCTATCTTCCGCCGAGGTATTGCGCCGGTCGCTCGCCGGCGGCTGGTGCTGCTTGAGCGTCGTGGTCTTGAACGTCTGCTCCCTGCTCACGAAGGACGCGTCGTCCTCGTCATCCTCCGCGACAAGCTGCTCCTCTCGCTCCTGTTCCTGCTGATGCTGGTAATGCGCTGCTGTTGCTCTGGTCGAGCCGGGCGTGAACGGCCTGGAGAAGCGCGAGGGCGTGCGCGTGGCTCGGCGCGCCGCCGGCTGCTGCGTGAACGAGTCGAAGAGCGGCCGCCAGACGCGCGAGGCCTCGTGGATCTGGCGCAGGATCTGGTGGTGGCGCCGCACCGTGCCGCAGATCTGCGTGGCCGAGCGGTGCGCCGCGCAGATGTTGGCGTCGATCTCCTGCAGCAGATACGTGATGCGCTGCTGCGCGTCCTCGTCCATTTTGGCGCCGAGCGTTCGAATAGTTTGCCGCCACAATTGTGGGCTCACACACATGACCATCACTCTGCTCCATCCGACGAATCTGATTGGCTGAAAGTTTGAATCGCAAGGGATTCCCGCGCGACATTTGAATTCTTGAACCCGCAAGCAGTGCGGAATCCACCGGAGACCAACAAGTTGCAGTCGCCCATACAAACATGGAGTACCGTGTGCGCAAGCGAGACGTGAGCGGCGCCGGCCGCCTGCCGCGTACGCTGGAGGAGGCGCTGCCGGACGCTGCTGTGCGAAGATTCCTGCTGCGCGCGGGCTTCCGCTCCAGTTCGGACCGCGCCGCTGCCGAGGTGCGGCGCCACGTGAGCGACTTCTTCCGCCGCATCGTGGGCTGCATGGTGGTCATGATGCAGCACGACGGGCGCCGCAGCTTCCGCCTCGTGGACGTCAAGCGCGCCTGCGAGCACTTCGGCATCCGCATGTACGGCTATGACGACATGTGTCTGCTGGCGGCGGGCAGGGCGAGCGGACCCGAGGCCTTCCACGTGACGGAGCTGGTGGAGTGCAACTCGTTTTACAGCCGATCGGTGGACACGCCTGAGGAGCCCGACACGGAGCCCGGCGCGCGCTACAAGAAGACGGACTTTGTGGCAAATTACACGTCGTGGAGGGACGAGATGGGCGACGCTGGCGACGATATGAGCGACTCGAGCGAGTGGGCGTTCTCGGACAGTGATTCAAACTCGGAAGGAGGACACGACATGGACATGGAGACGTCGCAGCCTTGGCAGCCCGATGAGGAAAAGTTCCTGGGCTCGCTACGCGACGCGCAAGAGCTTGTGGACGAGAAGCTGCTGCAGCAGCCGGAGGATGAGGAGACCGACGAGAACCAACCGGGTCAGGGGTACTACTCGGACTACGACGACGGCTACGAGCCTGAGTATACGGAGAAACAGCTTGAGCAGGAGGAAGATGAAGATGCCAAGTGGAACAAGGATGGCCACCTTCACGTTCTCGAGAGCGACGAGGACAGCGACCCTACCGAGTTGCAGGAATTCAGTGGCAGCCCCAACCTGTACGTCATCTCGCGTCAGGAATTCTTGCGCCTCTTCCGCGCGCTGCTCAACATTTCGTTGAGAATGGGTGAGCTGCAGATCAGCTCGGTGGCTCTCAGTGCTCTCCACAACGCCACGGAGCAGTGCTTGCACCGTTCGCTCACTGAAGGTTCGCTTCACTACCAGCTCGCAGCTATCCTGAAGGAGCAGGAGCAGGCGAACTCGAGGATTCAGCTGGAATCGGAGCTTCAAATGCAGCGCGAGAAGGTAAATGAGTTGTGTGAGACCATTGCTGCTAACAAGGCCGCCTTCAAGGCTAAGGAGCTATCGATGCAGCGACAGATCGAGCAGCTCAAGAAGCAGCTACAAGGCCAGCACGGTGTGCAGATGGAGACGTCGCCAAGCCTGAAGAAGAAGTCGTCTGGGAAGCGGAAAGCCACAAGTAAGAGCACTCACAGCGTGCGGAAGGGGCTGTCCAAATCCTCAAATGGTTCTACTTCCGTAGTAGGTGCGCTGCGCTCTCGTGGACTCAACAACTCGGGCTCCAAGAAGTTGAAGGTCACTCTGATGTGAAAGGGGTCACCCCAACAGGTGATGACGACTGCTGGTCGATTCTGTACATGTATCTGCTCGCCATAACGTGATCTCACGCAAGAATCCCCTCGGCCAGCTCTTCTTCTGCGTTTTTGGGTTAGATTACTAGCAGATACTGGGCTGGAGCTGGGGAAACTCGCGTCGGAAATCCATTCACAGCCTTAGCGCTGCCGTAACATTTCTCGATCAATATTAGGTACTACTATTCCGTCTTCTATCTGCGTGACTTGTAGTGGACTCATACGGATTTTCCGCTCAGCATAGCTTTCTGTTCTGCAGCCTCGGCAGCTCGAATCATTGCTGTCGCGTGACATACCTGCACGAACTCGATAAGGTGCTGGAAAAAGTCATCGCCGAACGTGCTACGGAAGACAGCAACAACTAGGTGAGTCAAACTGCCTTCAACAGCGAGGAATCCTGCGAACACGCACCTTAGATATGCTTCAATGTTGTTATGGCCAGCATCGGTGACCCACAACGGTTTGCACCTCCACTCCTGAGGGCACATCTCGAACAACCCTTCCCCATGCCAAAACGGCACAACCTCGTCTCGAGTGCCGTGGATAATCGTTACTGGTGATCGGACCTTGTCGATAACGTCGATGTTGCAGAAGAGGTCGCCAGGGAATGTATACCGGAAGTTGAAGACTACTCGGAACATGGAGAGCACAGGGCTCTGAAGGATAACGCCGGCTACGGGCTGTTCCAGGTTCGACTGCTTCACTGCAAGATGCGTAGTTGGCCCTGAACCAAGCGACCTGCCATATCTGCGATAAGAAGAACCAAACGTGAGCTTGTCAGTCCGGCAAAAACGGATGCACTTCATCAGTGAAAGCCACGTACAGGATAATTTTGCCTGGTGGGATGTTCTTCACGTTGACAAGGTACGCGAACGCAGCTTCCGCGTCGGCAAAGCAAGCTTCTTCGCTAGGTTCGCCCTCGCTGATTCCATACCCGGAGTAGTCGTACGACATTACATTGGCCTGCAGAACAGTGAAAGCGGCATCGCTTAGAGCAAGGAATCATAGCTCCACCAGCAGATGTGCTAGCTCACCTGAAGCCTTCGACTAACTTCACGAAACCAATCGTAGATCATTCCGAGATCTGGTGACAAGGAAGATCGCCCATGTTAGCCGCAATAACGGTACAAGCGCAACTGAAGGAGTTTGCTGGCCTACCTTCAGCATTTCCGTGAGAGAAGAGCACCGTGTATTCGGCCTTGCTGCATGGAGAGTTTCAATGTCAGCAGCTGGTCATTCCATTGCGCCTTCATACACCAACGCTGAGCTGCTCAAGAGCGAGCCACGTACTCGTATGGAATGAAGAACGCCGGGATCCTGTTGTGCATGGCCGTCACGAGGAAAAAGTAGCGGCGCGTGTAGCCGTACGTGGCGGGCGGCGGCTGAAACACGAGCGCAGACACCGCGTTCCCCATCGTTGCGCAGCAATACCAGGCAGTCGCAATCTGTCACACCGCTACAATGCTCCCAAGCACCAGTGGTACCGCTGCGCAGTGCGTCTGCGCCAGTTGTCCAGTACTCGCGCGACGCTCGTTTCGGGTTGGTTGCTGTCTCCTGGGCAGGTCGCAGGCTGCGGGCTCTAATAAATAGAACACCACCCTGTTGAAAATGATACATTGGGACTTTTGTATGGGCCACGGTGAAGCTGAAGCGCGTGGGTACCGCGTGCGTGGCCGAATAAGAATGCGTCACGGAGGCCACGAGCTCAGCTAGGACCCACATGAGGGCATACATGCATGCATTTTTATTGATCGCTTGGCCAGAGGCAACTCGCTCTAGCTCGTTATTGTGTCGCGGCTGCTGGCTGCTTGGTGTACAATCGCAGGTCAAGAAGGGGCGAGCTGAAGCTCATGCAACTCACCGCTGGATGCGCTGGCGTTTCGCAAGGTGGCTGACGCCACGCAGATCTTCATCGACCGCACGGTTGATCTGGTGCACGTCCTCGTCGACTGGGATGCCTTCTTTCCGGAGCAGGTTTGTAAAGCTTCCTCGACTTGCTGGGGTGAGATCGGGCTTGGGCGAGCTCGGAATGATAGCCAGCAAGTTGTTGGCCTCACTTCGGGACGAAGTCGATGCGGGTAGCAGCAATGTCGCATGTGTCGAGGTCGAGCTGAGCGCCAGTTTCTGAACGTACTTGTGATCGGCGTCGTCCAGCTCCGTCCATGGACCTCGCAGCAGCCTCCTCGGTCGTCGCTTCTGGTGCGTGCGTTGGGGCCAGGGCATCGCGTCCTTCATTGCTTTCGCGTAGTCGATCCAGTCGGTCGCCCACGTGTTGAGTCGCTTGAGTCCAGGCACATGAGCCAGCAGCAGCGACTTGACGCTGTGCGGTCGGCGTCTCGCCGCAATGTACAGCGTCCGCATAGTCTGCAGCTCCTGCTTCCGCCTCGACTGCTTCCTACGCGTCGAAATGTCAGACAACTCACTGTTAGACCAAGAGCTCAATAAATCAGCTACAGTGTGCGCTAGAAACCTACTTTTTCTCTGCCTCGGTGGCACTGGAGAAGGTGAACCCCGACGTCAACGAGCCCTTGGTTTCCTCGCCGTCTGCCATGCACACAAATGAATTGCAAACGTCAGTCAATTAGCTCTTAATACGAGTATTGTGTATGCGCGCGTACCCACCCGTGAGCAGAGGCAGTTGGGACCTGGCCGACGCGTCTCCGCGTAACTTGGTGAAGGGCGAGAACGTCACGCGGCGATTGGCTCCCGTGTGTCTCCTGATGGTCGCACGCTTCCTGTCTCGCTTGGACGCGCTGCCCGAGCCCCGCACGGGGCTCGCATACGACGACAGCGTCTTGAGGATCGGGCGCGGCATCGTCTCCGTCGCAGCAGGTTTGTCCGTGCTGCGTTGGGTGTGCGTGAAACGGTTTCTCCGTACCGGTAACCAAACGGTATCACGCGGTTTCCACCCGGTACCAAACCGGTACCTTTCGGTTTTGCCCAAAAGGCGCTCAAGAGTTGAAGTGAACGTACGGCAGCGGCAGCGGGCGCTCGAGCTCAGCCATGGGGCTCATACTCCAGCTACTTGGGCTAATTTTCGTGCTCATTGCAGGCTTCGAGGTGCGCCACCGTTACAGTGGACACCTCTGGTAGGCCGACAGTCCTTCTAACGATCTATATGGCTTCAGCTATGGCGCTTCGTAGTCGACTCCATCTTCACGCTGATCCTGAAAGGTAGAGGAGTCTGTTACAGGGAAACTTAGCGCAGTCTTAGTCTGAAATCACCCTCGCAGCTGACTAACAAGCATTATATTACTGCACATTGGCCTAGCTGGATTGCTGGCGAACATCCGAGTCGACCCGAGCACGAAGATCTCGGTGACGGCAGCGGCCTTGAAGATCTCGTTGTGGACGCAGCTGCTCAAGTTTCTGCGCTCGCCTGCACACGAGAAGCTTGTTGTCTTGCAACTGTCTTACGTTCATTTACTGGTGGAGACGACAGATGCAGCTCCAACGATGGCTACTCCACAGTCACGACCGAGACCTCAGTCCCCTTCGTTGTTGCAAACGCTGGATACCAGCACTGCGTTGAAGGACATTCGACACCCGATGTGGGCCAAGGTCCGGTCGTGGATTCCACGCCTGCTGTTCTTGTGCCGCTGTGCTCATGCGGTCGAGGTGGGGATTGGAGATTTTTCGGTGGACGTTGCTCGGAGAGAGAAAGACGTTGCCACGCCGGTACTCACCATCCAGGTACTGTACTGTTGCCTGCTTTGCTTGCAGAGGTATGTGCGGACGATCCGACTGACGACCTTGTGTTGTTTGCTGTAGCATGGAAGCGTGTTTGTGAGTGCAATGTTTCACGAGAAGGCCAAGGAACTCTCGTTGACAGTAAGACTCTCGCACTCACAGCCGATGCAGGTGGCTATTCAACAGCTCGATGCAACTGCTGTGCTTGGCGGCACGGAGATTAACGTTCGCGTACCGATTTCCCACAACCACGACGATATACGGGCCCCGATTCCGTGTGCATATGCAGTGGTGTGCAAGTTGATCCAAGTTAACTTTAATTTTGAGCACCTGGTTCGCTCGGTACTGCGCGCGAAACAGCAACAGTCTGGAAACCCCGTGACAAGTACCTCAGAGTATGAAAGAGACGATATCCGGCCCAGTATGCTCGAGCCCATGACCATATTACGGCTCGCTGAGATCATCCCGAATGATCTTCGGTTCGAAATTCACAAGCTCGAGGTTAATATTGTCGACAAGCTGTCGGGTCGTGACCCTGGATCTACGTTTGACCTGGAGCTAAGTCGTCTAAGCGTGATGCTATCGGGTGATTCAGGCCAAGAGATTGAAACCATGAGTACGACCAATTATCCTGAGGTGCCTAGAAGGATCGACTTGACGCTTGGACCGCTGGTCGTTTATTTGAGCGAAGGAGACGGCAGCGCTGATACAACAGTCAGGGCGCCCGCACTGAAACTTATAGGCTTGAAAATTAACGCCGAAAGTACTATCAGTGCTGAGGATTCCAGCCACGACAGCGCGGACGAAATTATCGAGACTGATACTCAGGAGCCTGTACTGCGTCTCCGGTCAACGATAAGTGGCGAGAATCGCGCTCTCGAGGTGATACTTTCAAAGAGAGTTGAGCCGTGGATAGCGTCAGGCACTTTAGTGTACGATCAAGAAGTCAGCAAGTTGCAAGAAGACGATGCTTCGAATTCGTATGTCGTCGAGACACAAGATAACGAGTGGTCAATCCTCGACAATTGCGAGTGCGATCTGGACGCTCATTTCAAATTGATGAAGACGGAGGTCACGTTTGTTTCTCTGGAGCGAACATGCGATGTACTTCCGAAAGGAGTTCCCAGCATCCAATTGTCCATCGGAGAAGTCACCGTATATGGGCATCCCTTCATGAGCGAAGATCATCTTGGAGTACGCGCGAAGGCAGATATTCAATGTTCTCGATTAAAGGCGTGCTACTTTACGAGCGACAACTCGATCAAGCTTTCGTTTCTGTCTCTTGATTTCGCCCGGGTATTCATTTCTCCTGTCGCGACAATGATGCAAAGTGAAGTACCCGCAGAGGTTGAGATGGAGGCAGAGTGGATCGAAGTCAAGTGGGCACCAGAAGTTCTGCACGCGATCGGAGGATTGCTAGAGCTGGGGATTGTTACATTGGCTCCGATCTTACATGAAGCAAGACATCCAATAGTTGAAGCTGACAATGCGAATTATGATCCCAATGGGTGGAAGGCTACGTCTTCGTTGAAAGTGCCAGCAATGCATCAACTTGCTGACGTGGCACAAGACACTGTATCTCCAGGCGAAGTGATCGCGTTTCGGTGTACAGCAAAGCGCATTTGCGTTACTTTTCCTTACGTCTACTATGGTCAGCGTCATGTGGAGTGTGTTACCGTCGACACGTTTGCTATGAGCACTGAAGGAACCACCGAGCGACTTCGTATTTCCATCCTCGATGCGAGGGTTTTCCCGAATCGGCGCGCATCAAGCGAAAGTCCATTGTTTCCCGCCAAAGACACCCAGAAACAAGCTCGTTTTCGACGAAAATCGTTCACGTCTCGTGCGTCCCGTGGTCGTTCGGTGCGTGCGAGAGAAGCATCCACTGTCCATGCGGAAGAAATTTGTGGACATGATGCCACCTACTTCGTGGCGGACTGTTTTTCTATTGAAGAGAACAAGGTGCCCGGAAGCTCGAAGACTGTCGTTGATTTGTTTGTGAATGGCGCTCGAATGGAATGGGACATTGCAACGCAGTTGCGGGTCATGGAGCTCATTCGCCGAATTACCTTCTCGTCGTGGGAAATGATTTACCGCGCTCGGAGTGCCTACGCTCTGCGTTGTACTCGAACTGATAGCATTTATAACCGATCTCACGGCTTAAACCCACCGCTGGATGATGTCGATGAGTGCTTACGCTATGAGAGGATGTTTGGTGATTTGATCAGTGCATCAGGAGATAAACTTCATCGACTGCATGCCACCAACCTGTCGGTACACGCGAAACTGTGCGGTGAGGTTGATGTACAACTCGCTGTCGGGATGTTCGCAGGGGACGACCTACCCGAAGTATGGGCTTTTGATGATGTTTCCCTTCAAGTTAACGGTCTTGACATGGTCTCGGCTGGATCTGTTCGCGTCAGGCACACCATCAACAAGCAGATTGACTATGTGTATGGGGAATTCGAAGATATGCTGCGAAAGCGACTTTCTGCTTGCAGGCGCTCCACTGTGGTTTTGGATGAAAGTCTTACGGACGGAATACTCATTCATGTCAACAAGCTGCGGCTTTGCACTAGTTGCGATTTCCCCCTCCAACCTTACGTGGACGCCATCCAAACCAGCTTCGACCCTTTCAAACAGGAGCTAACTGCGGCTGCGGTATCGTTCTGGCGTCCTCAACACGAACTGTTTTACCAGTTTTTCTTGCGAACTCCAGTTGCCTCGCATCAAATGGAGGCGTGGATGCGTCTGGAAAATGTCGTGTGTGAGTGTCTTGGCAACCCACTGGAGAGCTGGCTCGAGCGCATGTATCCTGTGTGGGTTGAGGAACTGGCTGAGCAAGAGCTGCGAGCGCACATGCTAGACGACCACGTTGCTACACTCAAGCTCACAAATGCAGACCTCCTTTGTGATGACTCGTACCAAGAGATGAAGACGCTGTTGACGGAAAAGAACGCATGGATGTACATCCAGAGAGTGAAGTCGCTGTCTAAAGACAGACAACATGGCGATGGCGGATACTTCATCAGTGCTGGTGTTGGTGAAGTAAATATTGACATTGCATTCGAAGAGGACATCACAAAGGCATGGAGTCGCATTCAAGAACTGGATGAAGCTATCGAAGCGCTCCGAACCCCCTTTCAGACGGCAGGACGTGATTGGAACCTGTTCGTGCCATCATGCTTGCTATTCACGGGTGTTCAAGTCAACACTGCTGTCAAGGATCTGACAGTGCGAATGAGACGTTTCCCTACTCCGTTGATGAACTGTGGTTCTTTGAGCGTCAACGGGCAAGTGTTTTTGACGGCATTCAAGAGTAACTGTGATGAAGCCTTTGGTAGCGTGCCTTTTGACATGATGGCAGCCCTACGCTGCTTTGTGGATCTAACGGTAGATGTTTCCAGCCCAGTGTTATACTTCAACCCTGGCTACGTCTACGCGTTGGACGAGTTGGCGGGCTTTGCTCTCGGTATGATTCCATTGGCTGTGCTAAACGTCGATCAACGCTACAAAACCTCTGCTGCCGATATTGCACGCAGGCTTCTTCACGGAAAAGTGATTGTCTCCGTGAATGATGCAGGTGTTCGTCTGCTCTGTGGTGCGACATCATTTGAGTCGGGGGATTACCTTGAAATCGTTGTTCATCAAGTCCGAGCGGCGTACACCAGTGGCTCAATCGACATCGATGTAACGCGCGTGACGGCAAAGATTGAGCCTGGATCACTATCTCACATTGCAGAGCTAAGCCACCTCAAGCTGCAAGTATGGTTAAAGTGGGGCTGCGTTGGTGATCCGGCAATGCATTACAGCTACCCCATCGAATTTACTGGTGTTGACCAAGCTACTACTTCAGGCGAAGCATTCACGCTTAGACTACCTCACTCAGACACCTACTCTACGACTCCGTTCGAAGCTTATCAAGCTACAGAGCTGTCCGTCTTCATCAGCGGAAGAATTTGTCCTGTGGACCCAGAAAATGTCGACCCAAACAGTGCCGACGGGTGGTCGAAGCGAGACATGGCTGCGCGCACAGCCGTTGTGCTTTACAGCAAGAACGTTGAGTGGCTGATTGGATTCGGTCGCGTATATCAAAAGGTGCCCCAGTATCCGTTGCCGCGGCGCAGGGGTCATGAAATCAAGGCCACCTTGCCATCCCTAGACATCTCAGACATTCTCAAAGGACTGACAGTGGAGGAATTCGACCTGATCGGCCTGGATTTAGCGTTATATGCGAGTGAGAAGCATCCTGTTGGTGTTCGTGCCTTCCTTGACGACAAGATCAGCTGCTCCGGGGCTTTGTTGAAGAGCTCACACGAAGTTTTTGTGGATATGGACAGCAAAGATGACACGAGCACAACAGTGCGTCGGCTTTCATTCTCCATCGAGAAGTCGAGATGGATTGTCCACGATGTGAACGTGGACGCTAGAGATATTCAAGTCCGTGTATGCACCCCCGAGTCGGGAAGCAGAGGCGAGTCGCTTGTCAGTGTGAAAAGCGTGTCGCTTATTGTCGGAGGCGGCACCGAAAGAGCACCAACGCACGACAATGGCCAGATGAAGTTGCACAGCCCTCCTCCGATGAAGCGCGTTACGAATGCCCAGCCCCTTCCGTTCTCCCAGTCCTCCAGCAGGGTGAGGGAACGACCAAAGCAAAGCATTCTCGACTTTTTCGAGATTCCTCACGAAAACCCGTTCAGTTATCGAGAATCGGACAGCGATGCTGAAGGAGAGATTGACGTGTGTGAAGCTCCAGAGGTTAGTAGCAGCGTTGAAGAAGGAGACAGCGAGGTACTTGACGAGTTCCGGCGGCTTGGTTTCCTGCTTGGATTATTATCAAGCGAGGTACGAGTGACCGTCACAATGGCCGCTTTGGCCTCTCTGGTGGACATTGCGGACACGTGGGTTCAGGTCGTGGTTGCTAGTTTACCGGAACTCTTTGACACAGCCGAAACTGTCACCTTGCTTGAGCAGAAAGAAGAAGAGTTAGCAGAGGAAGAAAATATCGCGGAGGATTCGGATCCCAGTCCAAAGAAGTTCACGTCCCTCGCTCAAGACCCAAAGTTTAGCGGACTCTGCCTCCAGGGAGGAGCTGACGCTCCAGTAAGCAGGGATAGCAGTTTGCGGTTTGAGCCAACTCCTTACTCAAACGCGGATACGGTTCGACCTGCTAGGAGAAAGTCTAGCAAGGTATTGAGCCAGTTAGAACCCCTCCGTACGATGGAAGACACTTCGCCACGAGCTGTGAACTCAAAGAACGTCCAAGCGTTTATCATGGTGAAGTTTGAGGACTGTCAGATCAGTGTTCAGGACCATCTCAACAAAGGATCGGTGCTGCTCGCGCTAAACGCTGGAACCTTGCAACACGCAGTGTCGACAGACTCCAGTCACGAGCGCATCAACTTGAACGTCGACGGATTCCAAGTGTTCACGGCGCTGCTGGATGTGGATGTGAAATCTCACGCCATTTGGCTCAAAACGCTCGCGGACGGATCGTATTCCCCGAGCTCGTATGGTTTACTCCGGCAGATAATCGCACCGATACCTGCACAAGTTACAATTTGGATTGACAAGGAGAAAACTATCGTGAAAAACCGAGTGAAGCTGGACATCCCTTCCGTTGAGGTGCAGGTGAACCCCGTATGTAAGGGGACCCTCGAAAAGCTATCGACAACCGCCACGGAGCTTATCAACGCAAAGTTGACTGAGAAGAAGGGGGCAGACCATTCTCACCTTCTGCACGGTTATCTGCGAGAAGCGCAACACCAGGAACGGTCTCTTCACCAGCTCGTCGCTCTCAAGAAGCAGCTCAAGTGGAAAATTTCCGCTTTACAGTGGCGTCAACTGTGTGGTTGGGACTACCGCATGAACGAGCGTGCGATGGTTGCAGTAACTGCAGCAGAAAATGCCCGAAACCTCGCGTTCGATGTCGAGACCTCACCATTGTTCCGAAGACGCAAAATGTCCTCCGCTTCGGTGTCCTCAGCCTCGACAAGTTTCAGCATGCTCGGATCCACAGCTACGAATCGATACGAAGACGAACAATTTACAGATGAGCTACAGAAAATGACACAGCAGTACGAGGCGCTTTCCGAGGTGACGCGCTTCATGGCAAACGAGCTCAAGAAGCAGCTAAAACCGAGCCCGCTGCCTAACGTGGACCTGGAATTTGCACTGGATCGCGCCTCCTTGACACTCAGCGGCGATAATGTCGACATCCTTCGGGCGCAGATGGGGTCGTTATGCTTCAAGATGCAGTTGTTCGAGGATCACTCGGGAAACTTCGCACTTACTCTCCAGGATCTATCGGTCAGCAACCTCAGCCCGGGGACGCCGTATCCAGACTTGTTGCTACCAGTCTATTCGCGAACGTGGGAAGGCGATGACATGTTTCTTCGTGTTGACGCCGAAGTAGCGAAACCTGTTGGCATCACTGTCGTGCAGCATTTCGAGGTGAACGTCCACCCGATACAGGTCTGCATAACGCAAGAGGTGATCATGCAGCTGGTGGCGTTCTTCTCACCGTCAGACACCGCCAATGTTGCCAAGGAGGAGCAGCGTGCGGAGGTGCGATCCCAGTTCTTGCAAGCTCGTACTGCTAGCACGTCTGGCAGCGATGGACGAGTCGGCTCGGCGATTATCAAGGCAGTCAAGGTCGCTGGTAAAGCTGCTGCGCACCCTCTCGGTCTCGGACGTACTCACCGTGGAGACAGCGACGAAGATCTGGTGCCAGCAGGCCGGAAACCAAAGGGGGGATCGCTTCAGCTTATCCCCGAAGACCCGTCGCAGTGGATCGCGAAACTCGCAAACTTGTCGGAGTCTAGCGAGCTGCCGTTGTTTGGGTCAACCGATGAGATGGACCAGCACCACACCACGGAGTCTGCAGAACGAGAGATCAGCGAGATGAAAGACCGAGCCAAGAACATTTTGTTCAAGCGCATTCGTCTCGGAGCGATCGAAGTGGTGCTCACCTACAAGAACAAGAAGAGCGGCCTGGGCAACAGCAGCACACCGCACCTTCACATCCCTCACGCCGCACAGCCTCAAGCGTTAGAAGACATGCGAGGCTTCGAAGTCAAAACTCATGCGCTGGTGTATTGCGACAAAACGTGCTCCCCGCTGGACCTGGTCATGCGGATGCGACGCGATATTCTGCTGGACGTTCTCTCTCAGGTCGGACGCAACTTCACCAACATCGGCAACTTCCTGCGCGACCAGTTTGACCCTTCTAGATGGGCGGCCTTCGACGCACTAGCACCGCTGAAGTCCCTGTCCACGACAGTATCTTCGCTGACAGCCATCGGTCCGTCCCACGCCGGCGCAGTGCTGCCTCTAGCTGATCAGACCGAAGGCGGGAATCCTTCCGCCGACGCGAAGGCAAAAAGTGCTGAAGACACTCCCTCGAGCCCCGCGACTTCGACGTCATTGCGTCCGACTGAGCTTCTGCACGAGTGGCAAGCTCCATCGAGTCTCGACACGTTTAGCGACAACTACGACGCCGACAGCTCCACACCGACTACCCCGACATCCACCGACGCCGCGCATCCCAAGCAGGTTAAGGCCAAGCGCTCACTGGCCAAGCTCTTTTCCAGAAGGAAGTCCGCCAGTCCATTGACCTCCCCGTCCGCGCAGTAGCACCTAACGACTAAATAAATGCCTACTACTCCGCTATACTACAGCCGAACCGTCCTCCTCTCCAGCTTCTTTCTTCTGCATCTAGCAGCGAGCGAACACGTGCGCCTTGATGTCCGTGACGTAGCTCATGCTGTAGCTGCCACGACGCCGCAGCTCGCGTCGGAAGGACGTGGCTTCCGGCTGCTCGCGTCTCGCAGTGGCCTTCTCCGACTCCTAGCAGCACAACTCCGTCAGATACACAGCGTCTCCATCTATATAGGAATACCACTCACTTGCGTCGCCACCCAGCGCAGCGGCAGCAGCACCCCGAGCACGTACAGCGCCACCAGCAGCGTCACGAGCGTCAGCATGACCACCTGATTGAACGTTAATATCCACGACAACTCCTCTAAAACTGAGTATAATTCCACGCTCACCTTGCGCGCAGTAGGTAGAGCATGGAGCTCCTCCAGGAGCTGCGCAGCCAGAGGCAGCAGCGGCACGCGGCCGAGCACGAAGCCTCCGCCCAGCAGCGCCGCGTTGAACAGCAGCGACCCCATTCACGTATTGTTGAATCCTACAACCCTTCCTATAAAGGGTTGTAGGTAATCGCATCAACCAATCACAGACATTATTGCTCCGCCTTGTTTCTGCCAATCATCTGCCGTTCGTCCGCCCCACTTTCATCCAATCGATGCGGGCGCCGCGTCTCGGCCATTCAATCCGCTTGTTGGTGTGGCACGCCCTATTGGCGCTCCTCACTTTTCAAACCGGAAGTTAATAGTCGCACCATGGCTCCCGCTGCCCCGAAAGTGTACGTCGCCGTCTGAAGCGAGCGCGCGCCAGGCCCCAGCGCCTCCTCCTCTCTCTACTTGCTGGATCATGGATTGTCTCCTGCGTCTCTCCACCCTCCGCTTGAGCGGAGGGCGACGCACGGATGGATCGTGAGAGTAAAGCGCGTCCTCTAAGCCGACCTCCGCGTCCAAGCTGAGGCGCGCTCTTCTCTTTAAATCGATACGGAGGGGTCTTCTTTCTCTATTAAGTTAGGGGGTCGACCTCTCCAACATCTCCCAATGTGCCTCTAATGGCAGCATTCGTGGAGGATCCTGGTGTGTGTGGGGCTGTCAAACTTGATGACGGCGCCACTCCACTCAAATGGAACTGTGACGGGTGTGTCGGGAGCGGCCTCTTTGGAGCCACTGCCCCCTCCCTCTATCAGATAGAGAAGGAGAAGGAGGCAGTCGGCTCCGCTGAGCGCGCTGGGCTTGGCCTGGCCCACCACCGATGCGTCATGCATCCCGTCCTAACTCTCTTTTGTGTTATCTTCTACAGTCTCGTCCCTGAGTCGATCCTCAAGAAGCGTCGCACGCTCGAGCAGGTGAAGGCCAAGCGCGCCGCCAAGGCCGCCGCCGACAAGGTCCACCGCAAGAAGGTCCGCCAGATCGCCTTCAAGAGCGCCGAGAAGTACGTCAAGGAGTACCGTCAGGTAAGGCTAGCCCCGTTATCTATCCGACCAGATAGAGACCAGTATCTCTAACTGTTATCAACTTGTGTATCATCCAACAGCTCGAGAAGCAGAGCGTGATCCTGCGGCGCCAGGCCAAGTCCACGGGCAACTTCTACGTGCCCGCTGAGGCCAAGTTCGCCTTCGTGATCCGCATCCGCGGTATCATCGGCGTGTCCCCCAAGGTGCGCAAGATCCTGCAGCTCCTGCGTCTGCGCCAGATCCAGAACGGCGTGTTCGTGAAGCTCAACAAGGCCACCATCAACATGCTGCGCCTGGTCGAGCCCTTCGTGACGTACGGCTACCCCAACCTCAAGGTCACCCGCGAGCTGATCTACAAGCGCGGATTCGGCAAGGTCCGTGGCCAGCGTATCCCCCTGACGGACAACGCCGTGATCGAGAAGTCCCTGGGCCACGTCGGCATCATCTGTATCGAGGACCTGATCCACGAGGTCTTCACGGTCGGCGAGCACTTCAAGCAGGCCGCCAACTTCCTGTGGCCCTTCCAGCTGTCGTCCCCCAACGGCGGCTACACCAAGAAGCTGCTGCACTTCGCTGAGGGCGGCGACGCTGGCAACCGCGGCGCCGAGATCAACAAGTTCATCAAGCAGTGCCTGTAAGGTGCTAACTGCCTGGTCGTTCTTGCGAGGTTTCTTCCAGCAGCAACGCGGTGTTTGGGTGGGCTACTCCCTCAGCTCGCTCGGATGCTTTAACAAATCGGTTTGAAAGATAATGAAAGGGTCTTTTTGACTACCAAACAACTGCTGCCCCTCTGCGTAAGTGTCTTGACTATTTGGTGTTGCTGGTTTAGGTCGGCTTGGCTTGCGGGACAACGCGTCGTTGGCGTGACGGTGGAGCGAGTGGAGTGCTGAGTGGCAGACCCAAGCGCGGAGCTCCGCCTGCTGCAGCACCCACAGCGCTTTGGGCTCGACGTGACACGCACTTCTCGCACGTGCAGTTGCGCTGGTGGATGGCGATCTTCATGCGGCGCTTGGCCTCGGCCAGGCCCAAGTAGTTCTCGCGCATGTCGCTCAACTGGTCGGCTGAGCGAGCTGTGGCCCAGAGGCGCACCTCCGTCACCTCGTAGTCCTGCATGCGCCACCCGAGCAGCAGCTTGGACGGCTTGGACACGGTTTGGCTGCTGGGGGTTGTCTGGGATTCACCGACACAACGCGCGTCCAGGAAGAGCTTGAGACCGACGCGTTGTGGTGACGACACGTCCACGGTGAAGGCCACGTGACGCCAGCCTTGGTTGCCACTGTGCTCCATCTTCTGCGAGGCTCGGAGCTGCTGGTTCGCGAACGTCAGCACCAAGAAGTCGTCCTCATCGATAACCAGCTCCCAAGAGGCAGGACCAGAGACGTCTCCACCTTTGACGCCGTCGTCGAGGCTGTCGACACGCCGTCGAGACACCAACACTTGACGCACTCCACCGGACATCGTGGCTGGGACTTCCTCGTCGTCCTCAAGCAGCTTCTGGACCTGCGCGTGCATTTTGTAGTTGCGGATCCACACCTCGAACGTGAACTCACGACGGTACGGGTCTTCATCGAAGGCTGTGCCGACATCAAGAGTGCTGCCTGGTCGAACGGGGCATTGAACTCCCCAGCCACTTGACGGCAGTGAGGAAGGCGATGTCTCTGATGAAGGGAAGCGCAGAGCGAACTCTTCAGGGATACGACCAGGCTCACCCCGATCGACTGGCGCCGTCGATTCGACGAGGTTCACCACATTACCAAGGAGACGCAGCGTGTTCTCACGCTTGGAAGTGTCCAAACACTCAACCCCATCGGGTGATGCTGCTTCACCGTTCGCCTGCTTCTCAGCCGCTGTCGCGCCTTCTTCGAACCGCCAATACGCCACCACAGCGTCCTCTTCGTCTTGAAAGGGTCCGATGGTCATCTTCGCGCTAGCGGCTGCGTCTGCTGCTGCACTTGAAGCTGATGGACAGAACGCGGCAGGTCTTGAACCAGCGTCGCTACCGAATAGTGATCCGGTGGCGGCTGAAGCCTCGACGGCAAAGATGGAGTAGTTGGGCGCACGCGGCTCCGTCGTAGCAAGTCGCGCTTTGGTTGATACTCCCAGCCACTCACTCGCATCCTCCGGAGCTAAACGCTTCCAAGCGAGAGTTCCAGCACGCGTCGTGTCATTCGCTCCCTCGTCTTGGTTCGACAGCTTCTCGGCTGGTAGCTTGAGACGATCAAGTGGCGCGACAGTGTTGAGCAGACGTCCTCGACGCATTGGCTGTGTTAGCGTCTCGCAGCAGAGGATCGAGAAGGGATCCTGCTGTCCAGCCCCAGACGATTGAGGGTCCTGCCCCATTGAAGCTTTCGTGATGGCACTTAACGGCGGGTTCAGCTTCGTCCACGACTTCTGAAGCGAGTCCAGCACTTCTGAAGACGACGAGGTACTAAACTTGCGGATCATCGTCATGAGAGCTTCGTCGTCTCCCGAGAGATCGAGACAACGCATGGCCCAGTGCGGCTGCCCGATGCTTTCGAATACAACCGCGAGCTGTCGAAAGCGTCGCGCTGTTGGCCCCATTCGCGACGGCAACTTAGCCGCGCCATCGGAATCGATGGCAACCACGTACTCTTCCAACGCTGGGTCATGGGCGAGGAACACGCGAAGGAAGTCTTCCCACTTGTGGGCGTCAAGGAATATCGACCCCATCACCGCTCGAGACAGCAGAGACGTTCGGCTATAGTTTGACGACGGAGCGGCAGGCGCAGCTCCGTCGGTAGCTGCGACCGCGGTTGAGGATTTCTCTTGAGAGCTGATCAGCGTCTTCAGCACCTTCAACACTTTGTCTTTCCAGCCAAAGGAATGGTACGCAGTCTCCAGCACTGCGTCTGTGATTGAGCACACGGGGCGATCGCTGTCGTCGTTCATCAGTGTGAATGCTAGCACCTCACGCTCGAAGACACGGCGGAGAGTGGCGTTAGGGACTGCAAAACCCAACAACAATGGCTCACATAACCCGACGGAGTGCAGTGACAATCGGCTGTGAAGCGTAGCTGGATTGGAGACGGAGTAGCACAGTCGGTCTCCACACAGAGACACAAGCTGGACGCTGGACCGGGTGAAACCAGGACGAGCGTCAAGTTCGGCTGCGATGCTGCACAATAGCCGGCTTGGATCATTCTGGAGGTGGTTGGCGACTGGAGTGACGTAGCGCACTTGCTGTCCTTCTGTAGCGTACAACAGCGTCTGAGAGACCCACAACAAACTCTCGGGTGTCCCCATGAGGTCGTTCATGAAGTCGTAAGCGCGCAACTCTCGGAGCTCGGGCGACAGCACCACGATACGCCGAGTTGTTGACACAGCCAAGAGAAGCCGCTGCTGTGAATCGTGCGGGCCGATCTGAGCACAAGACGAAGAGTTCCACTGAGCGTCGACGACGCGTTCATTTGGTCCACACACCCAAGACGACGACGAGTTTTCAGGCACGGACAGGTCGTCGCCACTGATCACTAGACGCTCTGACTCCAGAAGGTATAACACCTTACAGACCACAGCACCCTGGAGCGGAGAACTTGCTGGGAGTAACAGCGGTGTCGGGAAAATACGCCGAACGGGCTGATTCTGCTTCACCTTGGATCCAGCGTCGTTACTAGGATCACGTGCCGCCTGGAAGCTGAGTGTGTCTCCTGCCTTCGAGAGGATCAACAGCAAATACGCTGGACTCTTGGCTGCATCGGGGGTTTCAGTGGACGGAGTCATGCCGAAGCACACATCGCGAGCGTCGTACTGTAGCAGGCCGCACTTCAACTCGATCGCTGGTAGTGAACTCGGAGCTATCGCGCCTTCTTCATCGTCTGGATGAGCCATCGCATCATTCACTGCAGTGTCCACGGTGGGATCAAGATCGAGTACTACGAAATAGAACGACGACGGACGGACGCCATTCGAGGCAGCGTCGTCACCTTTCTCTCGTAGTTTAATGCACACAGCAGACTGGTGGCTACTGCCAATAACTTGAAATGGGACCAATGGAACACTGCGTTGGCTCTTCCAGTCTGGAAGCTGGTCGCTGGAGCCCGTCAATCGCCCCGAGAGCTGTGAGAATCGCTGCAGTTTGAGGACTGGATTGCCTTTGGCGCTGGTCTTCACGGCGATTTGGAGCTGAGACGACGGCAGACCTACGGGATAGTCGTGATACTGCGCTAGCGTGAGCTGGGTCGTTGTGCTGAGCGTGGGAGGTATCTTAGGCTCGGTTTCGGTTCTTGAGCCCGTTTGGTTCTGCTGAACATCAAGGAGGAACACCGCCCGACGCTCCGTGGTGCTCGCATAGACCGCCAAAGAGTTCTGCCACAGAATGGTATCTGTGGCTAGTACAGCAGTCAAAATCTGGTTATTGCCAAGTCCACGATAGCCCCCATCACGAAGTAGTGAGGAGCTGGAAACATTCCACCACTCGGTCATAGCTCCTCCTCCACTGGTGTTTCCCCCTGCGCCACCCCGAGGACTTGTGATCGAGTTCCCACTACCATTCACCAGCTCCCAAGCTGCAATGGCATCAACGCCATACTCGCGTCTGAATGAACGCCAGTGCGCCAGCAGCACAGGAAGTTGACCATGGATTGTCAACGATAAAGTTCCACTTAACCGCGAGAAGTCCGGGGTTTGAGGCGGATTCCTACAAGGCAACACATTCGTCAGGCAAAATGGAGAGAATACCTCAAAGACAACACGTACAATGTGGTGGAGGCCACGCAGGTGTGAGCCTGTCCGTTCATCGCAATAACATCGACTCGGCGGTTCTGGTATCCTGCCGCGAGGAACATGTTGCTGCTGCTTCCATTGGCTCCGCATCCGGTACACATTCCAATGGCGAGTTCCACGACGGGAGACTGAGCCAACTGCACCGCAAAGAGTGGAGTGGCGAAGTCCGTATTCTCCTGCCCCTTCCGAGGAGCTCCAGCGTCCCCCTCATCCGAGGCGGAAATTATACTCCAGACTTGAATCGTGCCATCGTTGCATCCGGAGCTGAGTAAATGGTGCTCTGTTGAGTACGCCAACGACACGACGGACCCCCCACGCAGTGAACTCTTGCGGAGGATCTCACGCGCTGGACGCGGCGAGTCCACGCGAGTCACGCGGACGTTGTTGCTGCCCTCGGAG